CTGCTGCATTCTTCCCTCTCCACCAAGGGCGCTGAACAAAATCGACACGAACGAAGAAGACTGCAGAGGTACGAGAGAAGAATACAAACACAAGGCTCAAAATGTCAACAGAGACACATGAAGACCTCAAAGAGACACCAAGCAACCCCAAAGACACACAGAGCGACTACAGTCGCCTCTGCCATGTTGTTTTGTGTCTCCCTCAGTGTGGATGTCTTTCTCCTTTTGTAGGAGGGACTGGAGGCCTTTCACGTGTCCATGCCCGGGGACATGCTGTCCTATAATCCATCGTCACATGTTCTATTTCCTCTCTCCCTCCTGGTTGTTGCCGTACCCACCCTCCCTCCGCTGCTCTTTTTATATTTTTTAATATGTGCCTCTTCAGCCTTGGGGCATCTGCCACCATGAGCTGATCGGAGGACTCTCGCTTACGACATGGTCCTCCTCCCCTTCCGCTTGCATCCTGACCCTCCGTTGAACTCGCCTCACAGCTCCGAGGACTCTGCAGAGGCAGAGAAGCGAAATGTCAAAGATGGGGTGAAAAGGAGGCCGATCCCACTTTTTCACATCCGTTAGATGTGGTACTTTTCTAATGTCTTGAACTCTCCTTGCGCCCTTTGTTCTCCTCCAGGCAGAGTGGCATTTTAGATACGTTTCACCTATCATGTAAACATTTTAAACATCGGTCAAGGATCACGAATAAATGTCCAGATTGGGTCACGGACAGTTTATCCCACTCAAAGCGCAACAAAGATATTTGTAGGACATTCCAGATGAGAGGTTCTGCTTTTTGCTCAAAGGAGAAAATACTATATTTTATTCATGCTGCAACAACATGTCACTTTTATCGTCAAAGTCCCCCAGACATGTCACTGAATAAATGACACGTATATGTTTGTTTTTTTCAGGGGGTTTTGTGTTCAGTTTCATAGCAAATTGAAATATAGAACGAATACATCCCTGGGAAGTAATTCCATGTGGTTGTGTTCTAGTTTATTCAGTCATCAATATATATGAAACATCATATACAGTAAACCGTCTGTAGATACAGAGTGTAATAAACTCCATCACATACAGCATGAGTCATTTTGCTGCAAAAAAGGATTTTCTAAATAAATAAAAATGTAAAACAAATCCTTCATCTGCACATGTGGTCACATCAAATATATGTTAAAAGATTACTGTTGTAACAATCTTTTAGATCCAACCAGTGTTTTTTATTTTTTATACTTTACCAAATGTTAGCGCCAGTATACATTTCACTTCGCTCATTTAGCTTCTTTACTGTATGCCACGCCGGATAAGAGCACTGCGAGTTTTGATATGCAACGCGCTCTGACAGCTGCCTGCGCCGGACCCGATCGGCCAATCACCTCGTCCGCTCCCGACCTCTCCGCCAATGGGACGAGGACAAGCCCTCGGGGGGGTGTGTCTCATTAGCTAGATTCCAGGACCTGGCTCTGGCCCACCGGATGCACTCGGATGGAAAGAATACAGTCCAGAGGGGGATTCATCATCTGCAGCCTAGTCTCCTCTTCCTCGCTTTTTCTCCCCTCCCTCTTTGGGAAAAAAAGGAGTGTGGAAGAGGGAAAGTAGCTCACAGAGGACTACCGAAAAAGAAGCCACAATCAAGTATTTTTGGACGCTCAGTAATTTAAGGTCTCCAACTTCCTTCATTCCACACGTCAACAGAGGACGCTCTTCTCCGCGCTGGCGGACGTTGAAGCGTCTGTTCTTGCGTCGGGCTGCGTCGTTTCTCCAGCAGGAAGACTGCGTGCTCTCGCTGCCCTTCCTTGCGCCAAAACTATTTTGGGTACAGATTTCAGATGGCGTGTGGCCCCGGGTCAGAGAGAGTTCTCTAATATCTTAAAGGCTAACGTTACCTAAACGTGGCGGCCGAGTTTGGGAAACATCAGGCCAACAATTTTCTTATTAAGGTATTATAAGAGGTCTGTAGAGCTTTAATAAATGACCAGTGATTATGAGGGGTTCTGTATTAGCAAGTTGAAACGTAAAAACATTTAAAAATAACAAAACTGATAAAGCAGCTTCTTTTCCATTAATAGCCATAAAATAGTAAGGAAAATATTTCTAATTAAATTGACACATTGAACAGTTTCTTTCAAAGCAAAATACATTTTCATTTCAACTAAACGAAAGGCAACGTGGAAGCGAGCGTCCGATTTTGTGTTACAATGACTCATTCTGAAACATAAAATACATTCTGTATTTAATGACAATTTTGTTTTTTTGTTTTTTCTAAATGCTGACTTTGAGGCATTCCTTCCACACAATATATATATAAATGTATATTTTTGTTTCTGCAATGTTTTTTTCCAGCTACATCCGAACACGGGTTATCATTAACTAGCACCACTGCCATGCTAATTACGGCGTGTCAGAAATAAACCTTGAGTATTAAAGCCACTTGAATATTAATGGAGGTGTTAAAGCGGAATCACATTCATGTCCCTACTGGGTCAAGTACTGAAAAGAAAAAACAATGTCGGAAGCACCATTATTCAAATGAGAGTGCACAGACCTTAATAGAAATCAGTCCAACCATTAACTTCTGTTTTAACACAGCCTAGTAATTTTGTCTCCCAACATTTGCAGACATGATTGACTGTGTCGTTCCTGTCTATTGTGGAGCATGTTAATGTGGTCCCATCCATATTTTCCAAAAAGCCTCATTCAGGACTTTAAAAGGCTCCAGATAAAGATAAATTAGGGTTACCATGTTGCCTTAATCTGAACTAATGCCAGCTAAAACCGAAATGAGTGCCCAAGAGTGGTTCTATCATCCACTGTTTGCTGATATGGAGCAAGGATTCACCTTTGAACTCACAGATGTAGCAGGGATTTTTGTTTCCGGAATGGCCTTGAATGTTGACTGTTGGGTTCATAGTTCACCTAAAATAAAGAAGGAAAAAAAACAAACTATTTTACATGCAGATTTCCTCGTGCCTAAACCTCTCTGACCTTGGTTTTAATAACATTTTTGATCACCACTTCATTCACTGAAGGTTACGGAATGTGTTTTAATAAATAGAAATGGCAGCGCTGAGAAACACCTTTCATTTCTTGTTCCAACAGCAAGCAAAACCTTCAACAAACAATCATCTCCCGAGTGACTAATGCATCACCTAAAGGACTTTACACCGCTATAAGAGTGAACATAGTCACCCGTATAACTACTGTTTCTGTACACAACACAGTATTTGGTCATTGGGCTTCAGAGTAAATGTATTTGGTTGCTTGAGGTGCAGCACCGCTACCTGTTCTGTCTGTTTCCCATTCTTATATGCCATGTTATGCTGGCCGCTTGCACGGCTGCTTTAGCTATAACATATGATCTAATCTATGTCTCTGCAAGATGGCCTGCTATTCCTGTAAACAATTGTTTAGTTTGATATTTGGTATCTTTATTCTCCCTAATTTAGCAACAAATGCTCCATATTTTGTCTCAGGACTCTGGGTCTCTACCGATCTGCTAATTCTAACAACGCACTCACAAGTTTTTTGTTGTTAAAACTTCAAGCAGCCTAAAACATTTAAACCAAACCACTAATAACCATGTCTTAGAATTGAGCAGAAAACCATCAGGCGCTCTGTAATCAATCCAAGCTTATAATCAATAAATCAAGTGCTCATTTATGTGACTATAAATGAGCCATGCGATGGCAACTCTAAGGATTTAGAAAGGAAAGCGGGCGTAGCCTATGACATTTCATGGCTCGACTTTGTGTTGGACATGTTTAAAACATTATGCTAAAATGTATGAAAATGATGTCTGCATCAACTGCAATTTGACATCCTTTTTTTTCTTGTTTCCCCTCCTAATTTCTCCCCCAACGCTTTGAAAACAGTCCCACCCTGCAGTGATAATCAAAGGAGCAGGGGCTCCATCTTTGACACAACACCTTCTCATCTCGCCTCTAAAGGCGGCTCACACTGAAAGGACAGATTAAAAAACATTGCTGCCATGTTAGATACAGACCAGCACTCCCACTCCATAATTATTAGCCCGATGATTGCACACAAGTGTTTTTTGGCCATTGCATCTGGCTCCGCGGATGATGGAAGTTGTTGTACGTCTCCACCCGCATTTTTCCCGGCTGTCAAAAATTGCATCTGGAGAAAGCCGCACTCCTCTCATCAAGAGTCATAATTTACTTGTCAAAGCGGGGGTCCTCTCGGCGTGAGGGGAGGCTCCCCGGGGTTATAATTGCGAGACGGTTTGGTTCTTGTGAAATGCCTCCAGTCAGGATGGAGCATTGGGCCTTCTGCTCGGGCTTTGTGCAGTCTTTCCTTTTTAAAAGTAGCCATTTACACAGAACATTGTAAAAATACGGTTACCCCCCACATACTCAACTGGCTTCACTATACTTTCACCATCAACTCCTTGACATCAGTCACTTTCCACTACTTCTGTGCTCAGAGTCATCGCCACGCTGGCACAAGGTCGCCATCTTGTGGAGAGACGGGGGAGTCGGGGAGGGGTGAAGTCTATATTTCCCCCGGGAGGTCGGCAGCCCAGAGTTTTATGATTTTTCTTTCCCTTTATTTTGAGAATAAGTCATGAATAAGTCATTCAGAAAGCAGAATCTTAAATTCAGTTTTTCTCATGTACCGTACCAAAGTACAGTTTTGAAACACTAACTAAATTATTTCCACTTTTTGCAACTTTTTTCTTTGACTACATTTCAGAGGGAGTTGCTGTACTTTTCATTCCACTGCGTTCATTTTTCTCAGCTGGTTATTTTTCAGATAAGGATTACACATGATCCGTCTTTAAAGTACAGTTTATAGTTTGGGATTCAACCTTGTGACCCCTCGCCAAAAAATGGTGGTCTAAGCTGAGAAAAACTGTATATATTGTAGAATATTAACAATTTTGTAGATTTGATAAACGGTAAATAAAGAATCGGGGTATTTGTTTAAACACATTTTAAAATTTATTAAAAATAATTCACACTAAATAGCATCAATTCCTACAGCGTCATCAGAGTCCTGCGCTGTTCTCCTCCGCCACCTCCTCCATCTTCTCCAACAAATCCTCTATGGAGGAGCTGCTCCTCCTGTTGCTCAGCACGTGAAAGCGGCCGCCGCATCTCCCCACCAGCCCCGCCAGCTCGCCGCCCCTCAGGATGTGCTGCTCCGCGCTCTCCCCTAACATTTCCCCCCACGTGAACAGCACCAGCGTGCGCCGCCAGACGCCTTCCCCCAACACGCCCACGTGCTCCTCCGCCGCCCTCCTGTAACCCTGCGTGCACGTCAGGAAGGCCGGCATGAGCAGGAGGACCACCTGCGGCCCCGGGCGGCACCAGGCGGCGCTCTCCCAGGATGCTCGCCCTCTGCGCGGCGCCGGCGGCCGGATCCGGTCCGTCCCCGCCACCTCAGACCCAGCGGTTCGGCGACGGCGAGCTGGCGCCCGGCGACCTCGCCCTTCCAGGGCCTGAAGCTGGATGCGTCCGGTACGGACTCCTCCCCCCACAGGACGGTGACGGCGGCGGCGGAGCGAGACGACCAGGACTCCCCCAGCACCAAGACGCTCAGGTAAGACCCCGCGGAGAACAGCGTGGGATCCGGAAGGACCTTTGAGCCTCCCAGGTCCTCTCTGGCCTCCTGGCTCCTCGTCTCCCCTCCCCCTCCCTCAGCCGTCTCCGTCTCCATTAGTGTCTCGAGGTGACAGTTGTGTCTTTCTGCAGCTGACGCTGCCGTTTCCGTCCTCTGGTCCTCCCCTTCCTCGCCCCCCCTATCAGACTCTCCTCCTCCTCTTTTCTGTTCTCTCCTCTCGCCGACCTCTCGGTACATCGCGCCGTCCTCTGACCTCTCAACGGCGGCGAGAGACCCCCCCCGGTGTCCGTTGTCCTCACCTCCCGCCTCTCTTTGGCGCAGCCCTTCCTCCCGTTCTCTCAGGTCCCGTTCCCACCTGCCCAGTTTCTGAAGCGACACCTTCAGGTTCCTCTCCTTGACGCGGAGCTCCTCCTTCAGCAGAGCCAAGTCCCGCCCCATCTCGTCCAGCTGCCGCGTGGTGGAGTTCACGTGCTCCTTCTGCGTCTGCAGCTCCGACTTCCAGCCGAGCAGCCCCTGCTCCTCGTTCCTCAGGTGATGCTCCCGGTCTTTCAGCTCCTTCCCCTGGTCTCTGAGCCCTTTCACCTTCTCCTGGAGATCTTGCCCGTGATGATTCAGCTCTCTCCGTTGGCCCTCCAGAGCGCCGAGCAAGCTCTCCAGCTCCCTTTCCTTCTCCTCTACATTCAGCGCTCTCCTGCTCAGCTCCTGCGCGTATGTCTCTCTCTCCTGCTGCTCCTTTTGCAGCTCTACAAGACTCGCTTCCCATTTGCTAAGTTCCTCTTCCTTACTTCCCAGCTTGACCTCTTTTTCAACCAGCAGCGTCTCTTTGACGTGGAGTTCCTGTCCTCTCCTGCCCAGGAGCTGCTCCCTTTCTCCTACTTTGTTTTCCCTCTTTGAGAATTCTTCCTCCTTCGCTGTGAGCTCGCTGTGTTTCCGGGCGTGCTCTTCCTTCCTCTGCCTTTCTGCCTTCATCTCCACGCGCAGTCTGTCATTCTCCTCCTTCAACCCCTGCGTCTCTGCTTCTCTGCGCTTCGCCTGCTCCTCGTGTTCCCTCAGACATTTTCTAACTTCTTCTTCCCGCTCCCTGCTCGCGCGGAGGCGTCCCGTCTCCTCTCTCATCTTCTCGTTTTGCTCCTGCAGCTCCTCGGCCCTCCTCCGGGCGCTGTCCCTCTCCTCTGCGATGGACTCCGCGCTCGCGTTCCCCCTCGCAATCTCCTCTTCGTACCCCTGGATGGCGCTCGCCATCTCCCTCTCCATCCTGCCCGTGAGCTCCCTCAGCTCGGACCTGGTCCGCTCGATGGTGAGCCTCAGCTGGGCGACCTCTCTGTGGTTTTCCGCGCCCCTCCGCCTCAGCTCTTCTTCCTTCTCTGTTAGTTTTCTCTCCGAGTCGTTTAGAAGCTCTAGCTTCATCTCCTCCATCTGTCGTTCTCGGTCCTGCAGCCGCTGCGCCGCCTCTTGCTTTTGCCTGAGGATAATTTCTCCTCTCTCTTCGTCCTTCCTCTGCAGGATTTCGTGAACGTCCTTTACGTGCTGGTTCAGTTCTTCGATTGTTCTTTTTTGTTCTTGGAGTTTTTGCTCCATCTGTTTATTGTGATTTACGTGACTTCTTTCTTTTTCCTCCTCCGTCTGCCGCAGTTGTTGCTCAAGTTCCCTCGAATGTTCTTTTATCGCTTCTGTTTCTCTTTCCCTTTCCTCCAGCCTTTGCTCCACGTCCCGCTTGAACTGTGAATGTTCCATTTCTTTCTCCTGCTTTTGTTGCAGCTTTTCCTTCATTTCTCTCAGGGCCCGTTTCAGCTCCTCTGATTCTCTTTTCTTTTCCTCCAGTCTTTGCTCCATCACTTTCTTGTGATTCACGGCGAGCTCTTCCCTTTCCCGCTCACTTTCTCGCATAATGTCTTTGATTTCGCTTGCGTGCCATTGTTTTAACTCCTCCGTTAGTTCGTCTCTCTCCTGCAGCTTTAGCAAAATGTGTCGCTGGCGAGTTTCTTCTGTTTGGGCTTCGTGCTTTTGCTCCAACTCTTTTATCTCTTTTTGCCTTTTCTGCATTTGTTTCTCAGTTTCTTCTGCAAACTGTTGTTTCAGCTCATGAATCTCTCTTTGTTTTTCTTGCTCCATGTCCCTTATTTTATCACCATAGTGTTGTTGGAGCCTCTCCACATCTTCCTCCTTCTCTCTCACTGTCCTGTCTATTTCTTCTTGGTGAGCAGCGCTCCTCCTCTCCATCAGTTCTTCCATCTCTTTTGTTTTTCTTGCTATTTCTTCCTGGTAATGCAGTTTTAATGCTTCTAGCTCTTTTTCTCTCTCTTGCATCTTCTGTGTCATGTCTTTTTTGTAATTCGCATGAATTGTTTCCTTCTCTTTTTCGTTCTCCAGCATTACACTTCCTGTTTGGACGAGGTATCTCTGCTCTAACTCTTCTATCTCGCTCTTTTTTGTTTTTATTTGTTTCTCAGTTTCTTCTGCAAACTGTTGTTTCAGCTCATGAATCTCTCTTTGTTTTTCTTGCTCCATGTCGCTTATTTTATCACCATACTGTTGTTGGAGCCTCTCCACATCTTCCTCCTTCTCTCTCACTGTCCTGTCTATTTCTTCTTGGTGAGCAGCGCTCCTCGTCTCCATCAGTTCTTCCATCTCTTTTGCTTTTTTCCCTACTTCTTCCTGGTAATGCCGTTTTAGTGCTTCTAGCTCCTTTTCTCTCTCTTGCATCTTATGTGCCATGTCTTTTTTGTAAAAAGCATGAATTGTTTCCTTCTCTTTTTCATTCTCCAGCATTTTCCTTTCTGTTTGGACGAGGTATCTTTGCTCTAACTCTTCTATTTCACTCTTTTTTGCTTTCATTTGTTTCTCAGTTTCTTCTGCAAACTGTTGTTTCAGCTCAGCACTCTCTCTGAGTTTTTCCTTTATTGTATTTTGATGCTGTTGTTTGACTCTTTCTATATCTTCTTTATTGTCTTTCAGTGTTTTATCAATTTCTTCTTGATGTTGAACTTTCATCGTCTCCACAATTTTTTCTATTTCATAGATTTTTCTGTCCATCTCTCTCCGATGTTGCAGCTTTATTCCTTGTATCTCTGTGTCTGTCTCTTGCATTTCTCTCTCTATCTCTCTATAATGTTGTAATTTAATTTCTTCAACGTTTGCCCTCATTTCTTCCCGCTCTTTATCTTTTTCAAGTAGTTTAATTTCCATCTCTCCTTTTAGTTTTTCTTCCATCTCTGCCACCTTCCTGCTTTTCTCTTCTTCTTTTCTCTGGAGAACATCCTGGTGGCGTCTCTCAGTCTCGTCCATTTCTGCTTCTAATGAAGCCACTCTTTCTATCCACTCTGCTTTCTCTTTTTTCTGCTGCGCTACGTTTTCTTCCAATTTCTTGACCTCACCCATCCACTCTTGCTTCTTCCCTTTAATGGCACCTTCCCTCTCTTTTCTCTCACGGTCCTTTTCTACAACGGCACGTTCAAGGTCAAGCAGCTTCAGGTGCTGCTCATCAATTCTTTCTTTCAGTTCCTCAATCTCTCTCTCTTTTTGCTCCAGATTGAGCATCGCCTTGTGCTTTTCTCCTTGACTCTGGTTTAGTGCCGCACACATTCTCTCATTTTCCATGGTGACATCCTGAATCTCTCTCTCTTTATCCTCCGTCAGCCATTGCATCCTCTCCTCTAGCTCCCCGATGTCATTCCTCCTCTCCTCCAGCCTCCTGTCCTCTTCCTCCTCCTCTTCCCTTTGAACGTCGGCCTTTCCCGGTGACTTCACCTTTTTCTTCCTGTCGAAAAACCACCGCATTCGTTTCACTTCCCGCTCCCTCATATTTTTCAACTCGTCCTCCTGACGGAGCATTTTGTCTCCCATGTCCTTCAGGCGCTGGTTGAACTTCTCGTTCCGGTTGCGGCTCAGGTCCCTGACCTCGTGAACGAGGCCGGAGAAAGCCTCGCACCTGTTCGTCGCTGCCATCTTTTCCACCTTCTGCAGGAGCTGCGTCACCTCGCTCCCTCCTCCGTCCGCGCTGCTTATGACGTGGCACCGGCCCCTGCACTTTTCCAGCAGCCACTTGAGGTCCACGCCGCCGCCCTGGACGTGCTGCTCGATGGTCACCCCCTCTCGGAGCTGGTCGCCGTGCGTGAACAGCAATATGGTGTGTCTCCACGCGCCGTCGCCGAGCAGCTCCAGGTGTTCCCTCACGTGCGCCGCCCTCACCAGCGTATCCACCCTCAGCGTCAGCAGCAGCGCGTGGGGCCCCGGGGGACACAGGGCCACGCTACCGACGATCTCCCGCTTCACCCTCTCCGGTGTGGCCCCGCCTGCACCGCCTTCCCAGCCCGGAGTGTCCACCACCGTCACCAACCGCATGCCGACCTCCGCCTGCTGCCGTTCGCACTCCTCTGTCACCGCCCCGGCACGGAAGAGGGCCGCTCCGCCCAGGACGGCGTTTGCGGCGGAGCTCTTTCCTGTCTCGCGCTCGCCCAGCAGAACCAGTCTGACCTCGGGTAACCGGCGGGGAGCCTTGGAGAAGGACTGGTGGGCGTCTAACTCGGAGCCCTGGAGACCATCGCCTGGAAGGGAGAAAGGTCTGTCAGCTCTGTTGAAATGAAGGAGGTTCGGTGGCAGGAACAACTTTTCTGTTCCAATATTTAGGGAATCACAATTTCACACCGTCATTTGATCCATTGTCAGTGTTTTCCCTAACCATTATACGGGAGGGGGTTTGCGGGGTGGAAACATTGCATTGTACATATAAAAATACTTGTTAGCTCGGCTTCAAGCATTCATTAGTTTTTCAATACAAATACATTCAGTAGTTTTCCTTAACTGAACTCACTCATCAGCGCTGCTTTGATGGTTCCTCTTTGCGTCTGCGCCTCCATCTGCCTCTGTTTCTTCCTCCTCTCCCTCGCTCTCCTCTTTCCGTCGGCTTCCAGACCCACCAGCACCGCGTTATCCATCTCCAAGTGGCTGCTTCCGTCCTTCATCCCCTCCACCATCTCCTCCAGCTTCCTTATCAGCTCTCTAACCTGAGTCCCGTCCCCTTTGATCCGGTTATTCACAACATGGTATCTGTTCCCGCACTTCTGCAGGAGTCTCTGGAGTCCCGGGCCGCTGGTGGAGATCCGCTGCTCCATGGACACCAGGCCTAGCTCGTCTCCCCTGGTGAAGAGCAGCATGGTGTGCTCCCAAACCGCTTTCCCCAGTGGCTCCAGGTGCTCCTCCATCTCACCGATGTAGTCCTCTGTTATGGCGGAGCAGGATCGCACCACCAGCAGCACGGCGTGGGGTCCCGGAGGGCAGAGCGACACGCTCCGTAAGGTCTCTCTCCTCACCCAGTTGGGGGTGCTGTTGAGCGGGTAGTACCACTCCCAACCCGGCGTGTCCACCACGGTGACTCTCCTGCTCGCCACGTCGGCTCTCCTTTTCACACACTCCTCCGTGGGCTTCCCGCTCTCGAAGCCCCCCCCTCCACCCAGGATGGTGTTTCCTGCCGCGCTCTTCCCAACTCCTTTCCGGCCCAGGAGGACCAGTCTGAGCTCTGGGAGAGCCGAGGGGACGGCGAGGGGGTCGAGAGGGAGCTGTGAGTCCATGGCAGCCTGCTGACTCTCATCGGTGATGAAAGGAAGAAGTACTTCCTCAGTGCAGAGTACCGGATAAGCTGAATGAGTTTAAACGCACAAGCGGGACATTGATCAGTCGTCTAGTTTCTGCTTTGCATTAAAAACTGCTCTTTAAAAAGCATTTTTATTGAATCACTTCAATTGCATTATATCGGAATGTAATTGTGCTACTCACTTCACCCACTGTGCAATCATATTTAAATTGTATAATATTTCATCAGAAAAAGAGTGGAAGAGCTCTTCGATAAACTCACCACCATTCGTGTCGACGACTGGACTGCTGTTCTTATCCGCCGTGTCCATCGCCGCTATGTTTGCGGACTTCCTCTTGTCCTTCCTCTTCCTCTTTTTGCTCTTTCATACAAAGAGTTTGTGCAACATCATTGTGAAAGCAGGCGGGAGACTCGCGTGCCGTCACGTGAACGACGTGTGGTTCTGTAACGCGCTCTCATTCGAGAGGACAGGAAGTCAAACGATGCCATGGCGTCGCATCGCTGACACGCCGAAGTGCTCATGCTCGCAGTCACACACACACCAATGCACAGGGGCATGTTGCACGCAGGTGCAAAGATGAACCCCATGTATGCACGCTGAGAACACGGACGTTAGTGCAGGGGCTTCAGGCCGAGAGGGCGTTATTTCCGGAAGTCTTCTTGCGGTGAGCGTGCGGCATTTCTGTTTCCTCTTCCCTGCAGAGCGAGACTGAGCTGTTTCTGGCCCCGAGCCGCCTGTTCCTGTCTCGAATTAGCCTGTCGAGCTCTGTTGAGCAAGCAGCGCACGTGTTTGTTAATACAAAGCACAAATGAGGAAGTTGAGTGCCAACTGTCCGTTTTTTTATTCTACATCTCCATCATTTGTTTAAGCGAGCAAAACCGAAATCCACACTGGTTCAAAGAAGACCAGAGCAGCCGATGATTGATGACTCTCTTTGCTAAATTTAGATTATTTTTGAACAGTCGTTCTGTGTGACGCTCCAGTTCCCTTTCCTCCCGTCGGCCTGCTGCCTCTGCAGCCAGGCTGTGGGACTCTATGGCTCTATGGCACAACATGTTCTCATGCCCGGTCCCGGCCGGTGCCACGAAAACATACAGCAGCACATTAGATCATGTCCTTTTAATGATTCACCCTTTCCTGCAGTCTGCGTTAATAACAGCAAAGCCTGTTCACAGAAAGGACTGAATCGGCCGTATTGATTTGGTGCCATTAACCCCAGCAGAGTTGTTTTTGAGGTCTGTGAAGTGTTTGGCGAACGTTAGCACGCTGGGGGCCTTTGCACATGCGCGCCGCTTTTTGTGAATGTCAAATGAATTGCTTTTTATTGGACTCCCTGCAGACAGCAGCACTTCCCTCCAAATATGAGCCCATATTCCACATCATGAATAAAAAACAGCCCCCCAAAAAATAATTCCCGCAGCATCAGTGAAGCTCAGAACTAATTTGCATTGGTATTGGCTGATTAGTTTGCCCCTGGAATTTTCTGGTCAATCACGAAGATAAGTGGTGGAAATAGGAAAAACAGAAACGTACAGTATAGTGCTTCCTCTGTAATTTTGTTCTGTGGGTATTTTTAGCTGTGCCTCCACATCTGTAGCTGTTTTTTAAAGTAAAATTTGTACATTCAATCATTTCAAAACATTACAAGCGTGCATCTTTCTGCTTTGGATGGAAATTAAACTTTATTTTATGCCAATGTTTCGGGTTGCGCCGATGGAAATTCTTCCTCATAATGGCAGCGGGTCATTAAAGGCACGAATGAAAAGGACGTCTTGTGCACCCGCAACGCGGTGGCTCATTTCTTCCTTTTTAAGAGTCCGTCAACACGGTGTCAGAAAAAAACACTGTGTACATGCTGGAGCGAAAGCAGAACCTGGTTCTTAGAGGTGAAGTTTCAGAGGAAGTACAACAGTGAGGTAGTGGCAGCAGTGGGAGGGTGTTGGTAATATAACAGCAGCAATGTACTGGCCACTAGTAACATAAAAGGTTTTAAAAGAACACCTTTGTTGTGGAGCATAAATAGCTGTTGGCACATCTGGATGGCTTCTGGCACTAGGAGACTCAACTGTGAGCCGACAGCTACATGAAAGTTTTTTTTTTTCTAGTAGTGCAGTGGAGTTTGTATGTTTCTCCTTTGATTCCATTTGATTTGAGCTGAGAGAAATGCAGGAATGTGCCACACAGGTGGAAAGAAAGCTGCTAGCAAACAAAACATGAACGTAAACAAAGCTTTTGAGCTCTTCGAAATATTGGCTTTGCAAATGCTAAGTGAGGACGGAAATGTATTCATCTAGTTTATTAGGCCTCAGTAAATTACATTTGTAGGAAATATTTAAGAAAAATGATATTGTGCTTAGTTGAGGTGGGAAAAAGTGCTCAAATATCACTAAAGATGTTGTTTAAATGACAATCCCACCCTCTTTATTCAGAACGGAGGAAGAGGAGACACCTCAGATAAAAGCCTCACAGACTCTGCAGAGACAACCTGTGACCGGAGGCTGGAGACGAGAGGGACAGAACTAACATATTTCTATTGTACCTGTCAACTGTCCATTCCTAAATTAAAACTTCTCCACCTCCGGTAAAGGTCATGGTCGACTCTGGTAAGAAAGCAATCAACACAGTGAAAAGGTGTTTCCTCTTTATTATCAGTAACACAATTAATATGTTTGTCACATTAAACCTGCAACAAACGCTGTCACCTCAGACGTCTCCGTCCCTTTATCTGTCTGAGCTTCATCCAGCTGTGGTCTGTACAGAGGTGATAGATTCCACCCTCTGCTCCTACACACTGTTACGCCCTCGACAGCACTATTTCCCTGCAGTCCCACATACACACACACACACACGCACGCACACACACACACGCTCTCGTGGGTGGCTCTTCCTTTCTCCTGTAGGTCATAAAAGCAGAAGCAAGTTTCCCAAGACGGAGCAGCCGCAGACCGACTCCGACCAACAGCAGCTTCTCTCTCTTCTTCTGAGGTGAGTTCACTCTGCGGGTTAAAACTTAATATACACACACACACACAAACACACAGTTTGCCTTTTTTGTAAGAACTTTGCTGCATTGCGACAAAACGTTTTGCGCCGAAAGAATTCCTCAAGTGCTCGGTCATTTTGACTTCCAGATGTGGAATATTTCAATAAAACTAGTTCAGGTGAAGAGAATGATTCGTTTCAATGTTTGTCTTATAAAAAACAGAGTCTTTAAAAAAATGGTCAAAGCTGTAAAAGTCCATTTATTGATTGCAAGCAGGAGGTCAAATACGCAAACAGGTATTACGGTGCTCTGTGGAGATGGGAGGAGGTTTTTGTTTTGAGTTTTTCTACACGCATGTCAAGGCCATCCTCAGTTGCAGGTATGAAAAATTGCAAACCAAGTTGAGATAAGAACCAAGGTTGAGATGGGAGTAACTTATGGTTTCTTTGATCGAGCGTCTGTGTGAGAGCGAGTTGACTCGTCCTCCCTTCTTCAGTCACTGCTGCCAATGGAAACCTTGAAACGTTCTGCTTTTCGCACGTCACCTCAATACAGACAATAATCACTCTTTTAGCATAAGACTATGTTATAACATATTTTACCGTTACACTTCCAGATGTGGTGGCGCAAATTCATTTGGCCAAATCTTTGTGGTTGTGCAATCTTTGAAACTGTTTGGCTCAGACAAAGATTGTAGTCCGTTTCTAGGATTATTTTAATATTGGTGCGCTTTTTATGTCATCTAACTTTGATGCAATCCAAGAGACGCTACCTGAGTGCTTGTAGTAGAAACGGTTCGTATCGACGGGTTTTTACCCGTTAATTATAGTCACCGTAGTGACAACACAAATAAACAACAATCTGAAGGATTTGTCCAAAAACCTGGTTTATTTAACTCAAGCTTTGTAGAGAGTTTCATGTTGATGACAAAAAGTCTCAGTCCAGCTGCTTAACATGTGTGTGGATGTTCCTCCTTTGCCAGAATTTTCCACTGTTGTTAAAAACATGTGTGTGTGTGTGCAGATGTGGCAGTTTTAGGTCTTATTTTTTGGAAGGGTACATATATATACACATTTAAGTTCATTAAATTAATGAATAATAATTGAACGCAGTGAAAGCAGTTTCTTAAATGGAACCATGTGAAAATCAACCTGACAAACGCCTGAACAATGTGACAACAAGCTCGAGTACGTCACATTTTTGGCGTAAGTTTTTACTTATCAGACAGATGTGCCCGAGTAAAAAACATCATGTTTTCCTCTGCGGAGTTTGAGTACAGAGTGGAACAGAAATACAAGTCGGGAAGCCGCCTGTCAGGCCACAGAAGGTAGACGCGTCTCTCCGGGCCGCCGGTGGTTGGCGAGCAAACAGAGCGCTCTCTGTGTTAGAGGATGACTCACGCACACTTCTCCCCCGGAGAGCCTCCTTCTCACGCAGGTGTTTCTCACACAAACCCCACGTTGTGTGTGTGTGTGTGTGTGTGTACGCTCTGCTAGCACCTTTATGAAAACAACTGTTGTGTATTTTATAGTTCGTAATCGTGTGGTAAGTCGGACCCCACTTGGGCAGAGAGGTTGATGTCATCCTGAGTGAACTGAGGGACTTTGTTTCAAACATGTGAAAAATAAAGACGAAACGTGTGTTTTTTTTATATCCGCTCTCCTCTCCCAGTGTCAACTATCTCCGTCATGTCCAGTGAAGGCGCGGCCCCGATCTCCTCCTCTCTCCCCCCCGCTCCACCCGGACACCCTCCCAAGGTGACGAACCGCGGCCGCTCCGCCGTTCCCATCTCAACCTTGAACTCGCAGTCATCGGACGTACCCGAGTTTGAGCCCTTCGGAGCGCCGGGCCCGAGGGGGTTTCCCCCGATGAGCGGTGAGGGAGCGCGCCGCTCAAGCGCTACGCGTACATGTCACCATGAAACGGAAACCTGAAACGTTAACTTTTAAAAATACAAATAGTCCTAATTAGCTTTGGTGAACCCCAAGAAATACATAACAGGATTCATTAGTTTGAGACAATAGAGTATTTTTCCAAAATTATACCCATTTGTTGGCACATGATTGACACACAGATGTCGTCCAAAGAGGATAAATTCCGCTCACTTCCTGCAGCTCCTCTCCGCCCTGTGTTATCGTCAGACAGCTGCTGGGTGACAGATATCCGGACGTGATGGGAGTTTATGAATGCAGTGACTGGTGTCCTTGTGATATGACTGCAAACAGCCACAAAATGACTGTTTTTAGAGGGGCGACTCGTCCTTTATGTTAATGTTAACTCACAACATTTTTCTACTACTTTTTTCTCCTCGGCCTCTGATTTTCTCTCCCTGCCAATCCAGAGTATCTGGACATTTGGGAGGTGGACATGATGAGGAAGCCGGATGAGAGCAACAAGCAGGAACACCACACCATGCTGTTCAACTCTGACCATCTCCTCGTCCGTCGAGGACAAGAGTTCAAGATCAAGATTGTCTTCAACCGTCCCTACGTACCCGCCACAGACCTGTTCGCCGTGGAGTTTGTCATCGGTGAGGTCATTACACTGTAATTAGATGGTTCTAAAAGTGGTAATCTGCACTTCCACTTCCCCCCATTTTTAGCATTCATACTCTGGGTTCTCGATCTTGTGGTCTGTACGGCTCTTACTTTAAAGCAACGTTGTGAATCTGCCATTACTCCCCGACCGTCCTCCCAGGCTCCAGCCCCCAGTACAGCAAGGGCACCCACATCCCCGTGTTCACCACCAAGGACCGCCAGAGCTCCTGGGGAGGCCGCGTCACGGACACCGTCGACAACGCGGTCACAGTGGGCATCACTCCCGCGGCGAACTGCATCGTGGGGAAGTACCAAATGTACATCGCCGTGAAGACGCCCTTCGGCATCCGCAGGACCCGACGGGACAAGAGCCGAGAACTCTACATCCTCTTCAACCCCTGGGTGTCGGGTCGGTCCAAGCTTCTTCGTCGCGCCCTTTTTTCGAGTGCCTTTGGTTTCCCTTTTAATGTCTAAGGTCACGTGACCCGCTGTCTCGTTTCTCCTCAGACGATGCTGTGTTTCTGGATGACGAGGCGGAGCGGCAGGAGTGTGTGATGACTGAGATTGGGATCATCTATCACGGCACCATCGACGACATCTCTGAGAGAAACTGGAACTATGGGCAGGTAGGAGAAAAAAGAAAAAACATTTCGAGAAGACTTCAGGACTGTCTCTCATAATTATTTATAACTTCATCTTTTTTGCCCCCTAGTTTAACTACGGAGTCCTGGATGCTTGTCTGTACATTCTGGATCGAGCTGACATGCCGATCACCAGCAGAGGAGACCCCATCAGGGTGACCAGAAAGGCTTCTGCTATGGTGAGAGAATGTGGGAATAGGAATCTGATCACAAGAGAATCAAGGGAGCAGAGATTAAATATTACCAACATTGCATTTTACACTGACTAGCAATGGTTTGTTTCACCACCAGCTAGAAACAAGCTGTTTTCTTCTGCTAGACTAGAGCAGAATAATCCAAGCATTTCAAAATAATGTAATTTACCAAAAGTATGTGATATCACTGCAGTTTTACTGTGTATTATATTAGAACCTGTCTATAACTCTGTATATTGTGGAAGATTTGCATTTCCTAACTATTTACCTGAAATTTATTTGGAAATTATTAGAAAAATGTCTGAAAAACGATGGTCATCAAGGGGATCTTTCCATAAATGCCTAAAATCTTCCCGCTGTCGCACTCAGCTGAACTCCCGCGATGACGACGGCGTGCTGGTGGGGAACTGGAGCGGCGACTACACCTACGGCGTGGCGCCAACCTCCTGGACCGGCAGCACAGAAATCCTGCTCACCTACGCCAGCAGCCAGACGCCCGTCTGCTACGCGCAGTGCTGGGTCTACGCCGCCGTCTTCAACACCTGTGAGAAACGATGATGTGTACTTTGTCTATACATTTTATGAGAAGATGAGAAAGGGAAACCATGTTGCTCTAAATCGGTGGAGATCAGAGGAGAAAGACAAATAAAATGTGAGCAAAATTGATTAAGAAATAAACTACATGCAAATACTAAGCTACAGCCTAAAAAAACAATGAATACGTTCAGACTTAATAATAAGCAATAATAATATTAAACAGACAATTATAAAACACTACTTGAAAGCCAGTCAGAATAGATTGGATTTTAGTTCCTATCAAGGACACGATGATACCGAACAGAAGGAACCGGCAACCGAACCGAAAGTCCAAGGACGACCGCTGGACCCAGACCTCCACTTCCCTTCATTCGCTGCTTGATTCCTGTCTTTTTTTTGCTGGTTGAATGTTTTTCCTCCAGTCCTGCGCTGTCTGGGCATCCCGTCGCGGGTCGCCACCAACTACTTCTCCGCTCACGACAACGACGGCAACCTGAAGATGGACATCATCCTGGACGAAGGCGGCAGGATCGACCGCAGCCGCACCAGAGACTCTATCTGGTAAAACGTCCTGAAACATCTTGTGGTGCCCAGAGGATGAATCCTAATGGTTTTGGTGACATTGATTTTTTTTAACGATGGCCTCGGGCCAAAGCTTCAACTTTCAGTTAAATATCTAATAAATGATTTTTACCCCTTCATCCTTTCTTTTCTACTTAGAGGCCACCATCTATAACACAGAAGTTCAGATCAATAAAAAAACAGGACTCGTTTTCACACTCACGTCTCTTAAGGTATTTTTTGGAATTGTTATCAGGAACTACCACTGCTGGAATGAGTGCTACATGTCCAGACCGGACCTCCCTACTGGCTTTGGAGGCTGGCAGGTTGTGGATTCAACACCACAGGAAACCAGCGACGGTATGAAATAACATTAGAAATGAATATTTCTATAAATTTTGTTCACAGATGTAAGAGGTCTATTGGTTTCTAATCCAAATACACACATAAATCCCATAATGTTAATCGTGTTCTCCATTATCTATAAAGGCATGTACAGATGTGGTCCTGCATCAGTCCAGGCCATCAAACACGGGCAGATATGCTTCCCGTTCGACGCCCCCTTCGTGTTCGCTGAGGTGAGTCTTTTAAATGACACGATTTCGGTGGGATTTTCTCTGCTGCCGTTTATCGGAGCGTCTCCGTCTGTCCCCCCGACAGATCAACAGCGACGTGGTGTTTTACACCCGCGATAAAGACGGGACCCTGGTGCCGGTCAAGGTGAACCGGACCCACATAGGCCGCGCGGTTTTCACCAAGTCTCCGGGAGCGATGACCCGTCGTGACATCACCGATCAGTACAAGTTTCCGGAAGGTCAAAGACAATTCCCAGCGTTTTTAGAACATTTTTCTCTGCCGCAGCTTCTGATTTCTGTTTTATATACAAATATGTCTCAAAAACTCAGTCTGGGTCGAGAATTTCCTGGAAAAAGCTCCAGAAAACCTGGGCTTTATGATTTAAGCCTTAATGTTATTTATTGTACCAGTTATCTCCAAATTATGTTGACTGTGGAAAAAAGCTTTGAAATCAGGCTTTTAAATGCAAGAAATTAATTGAATCTAGGCAGCAAGGAGGAGCGGACCGTCCTGGAGAAGGCCGAGGAGTTCGGCTGTCCTCGGGAGAAAGCCGACCTTCCCGCAGGGGACGTGGACCTGGTCCTGCCCATCCTGGAGCTCAGCGTGGGCGACAGCTTCGAGCTGAGCCTGGAGTTCGTGAACCGCAGCGGCCAGCGGCGCACCGTGGACGCCTACATCAGCGGCAGCGTGGTGTATTACACCGGAGTCACCAGCTCCGAGTTCCTCTTTAAGAATCCCACAGTGACGATTGCCCCCAACAACAGTGAGACATTTAATCTATTCCCCACCAGCAAAAAGCACTTTTCCAATACATTAATTCAGCAACCCCAGACTAGATCAAAGAAATGATCAGGAATGTATAAGCGTGTATAAGTAGCATGACTCGGGGATTCTGAATAATAAATAAAATAATCAAAAGGTCAAAGCAGAGCGAGAGCTTAGTTGTGTTTTTTGGTGTTCTCCAGGTGTGAAGGAGTCGGTGGCGGTCGAGTCAAAGAAATACATGAAGAGTCTGGTGGAGCAGGCCAACCTCCACTTCATCGCCACGGGGAAGGTGCAGGAGACCGGCCAGATCGTCAGCGCCATGAGAGTCGTCACTCTGCACAACCCCAAACTCAACGTCACGGTCCGCTCCTTTTATCTCAGTTTGTAGCCATCCTGCGTTATGTAATATGCAGAGGCTTTATATCTTAGAGTATCTGGGTTATTTTGTGGTTCCTTCAGGTGTCCGCCGGCGGTAAAGTGAACGAGGAGATGACCGTGGCGGTGGAGTTTACAAACCCCTTCACCTTCAGCCTGGAGGGCGTCTACATTCGCATGGAAGGACCCGGGATCATGCTGCCCATGTCCAAATACTACAGGTGAGACAGGTGTAAACTCTGCCTTTTGTTAGTGTTTTAGTTTGATGTTCATCGTCAAGTCCAAACGCTTGTTGACATATTTTTTGTCTCGACTGTCACGTTACCTCTCTGCCTCCAGTCTGATCCCGGGAAACTCCTCTCTGAACTGGACCGAGTTTTTCGTGCCGCAGAGGGCGGGCAGCAGGACGGTGATCGCTTCTCTGGACTGCGCGGCTCTCCGGCAGGTCAACGGCACGGCGTCGGTCACCATCGAGCCCTGAGGGTCACTCACAGCTCACACACCTGCACCATAGTCACCTAACTGTAGGTCTACAACAGCTTAACCAGCAAAGCTTCAGCTTTTATAACTACGGGGATAAGGGTTAGGGACGGGATTTTTTCTTAATTGCAAGCACGTTAAATATTTTTCTACAGTTAAAGGAACGGTGTATTTCATTTAGTAGGATCTTTTAACACATTTTCTTCAGTTTATAATCTATTCTTGTTTTAGTTAGCTCTTCACAGAGCCATGTTTCTACAGACGGCCAGAAAAGATCAAACAAACACTGCCTCCAGAGTTATTCTGCAAACTTGCTGGAAGAATCAATAAAAAAGCAATGTTAATTAACGTATTTATTTGGGGTTGTAAAAGGGAATTAATGATTAGTACTTTATTCCCTCCCCCATTCAATACACCTCATAGGGATAATAAACAGCTTCCAAGTAGTGAAGATATTTCACTCTCAGAATTCACACACTCACGATATAACTTTCTTTTAAATTAATTAATCTACACCAGAATTACAGAAAAACAAACTACGTTTTTGTTTGGTGGATATGAGATACAAACAACCCATGTCAAGCTTTGTTCCATTCAACAAATAACATATTGATTAGCAGCATCAACTCAAAGGCACTATGCAACTATTGAGGTTTCTGGCTAAACAGCTGTTTCCACCTTTATATATGAAGCCCATCTTTCTCTGTGCCAAAACAAATGCAAATATCAACCAAATAAAAGAGTAATATCTGCATCCTTCCATGAGTGTGTTTAAGTGAGTCGGTGCTCATAATTTGTCGGGATCATTCCATTTTAACTTGAGCCACAAACTAAAAGTTGTACAAAAAAAGAGCGTCCATCAATGACATCACTAAAGAAACAGATGCAAAGCTGCCTCAAGTCAGTCTTACTAACATATAACACAAAGCATCATAACCCTCAAACAGTAAGTACACAAAGATCTCCTCCTCCCCCTGCGCCCTCTCGTGGTCACTTGAAGGTGATGAGGTAGTCCGGGTACGCTTGGTTATCGTGGAACACCACGTACATGCTGGGGTGGTCCGTGTTGTCCACCACGCTGTCGTAGCGCTCGTGGGAATGCTGGCCGCCGCGAGTGGGAGGAGTCCTCATGTTGCTTTGGCCTCGAGTGTAGATGCCGGTCGCGACCCGCACCACGAACATCAACTGGGAACCGTCGGGGGCCGGCGCGGAGTAGGTCAGGTTGGCTGAGTAGCTGGCGTCCACTGCGAAGTACGTTCCTTGACCGTATGTGGTCCCTGAGAACCAGAAGAAACAGACTATTGATAAGTCCTAATTCCTAAGGGTCTAAGGGTTTAAGAAACTGTTGCTAAGAGACGGGATGCAAACACAGACGTCTTGACCTCTAAACCTTCAGACCGAGTCGGTGTAGACCATGTCAGCATTGGGTCATTTTAAACCTTTCAAAAAATGGCTCCTAGTATTACTCTTCTGGTGAGGAGGGTTTGCGAACGATGGTCAAAGAGTAGAAGTTTGTCCCAGAAATAAGCGTCACTTCTGATCACTCCGCTGAAGCAAAGACGTCTTTGCCTTTGTAGAGACTCTTTACCGTTCTGCCCAGAGAAGCTCCTGTTGAAGCCGGTCTTCCCGATGGAGTCGCAGTTGTCCTGAGTCGTCCCGTGGTACAGAAGCTTTTCCCCCGCTTCAACCCGCTGTTTGTTCTTATGACAGATGTGCTTCTTCTGCGCTTCGTAGGCGCGTCGCAGGTGGACGTTCTGCAAGCGCTCAATCTGACGAGGGACGAAACCAAAGCGAGAAAAGAATGAACCTTTGAAATGCATCGCGTTATTTATACGTTATGGAAATAAAAGATTAATGTAAAAGCTTCGGTCATGGAGATGAACTGTGTTGAGCTGTGTTGGGGGAGAATTGTTGAACCTGGGGCTCTCAGGAATGTGACCTTTTAAGGCAGTCCAGGGTCAGATAAGACACAGATGGAACCATACGTGCCCCGACTGACCTTTTAAATGTTATCGATTGACTAGGTCCCATTAAGGGAGGGTCATGGTGACTCCCCTACGTTGTCTGGTACTTTTCCATACATTCCATTCCGTACTTTCCCTCCTTCAGGGGTGGGCTGTCCTGTGCTGAAGCAGCACAAAGCGTTTAAATCCTCCTGTTCTCCCCCAGAAACTTGGTCAGATCTTCCTGTTCCTTTTGGGTGAAGGAACAATCTGCCCCTTTTCAGCTGAATTGTAGTCATTTGACTTCTGGCTGTACTTACGACTTGTGTTGATGATTCCTGTATGCTTTATAATTTTTCTATATTCTAGTTAGTAATCAATACTTAATCACAAAGCAAGTTCAAGATACTTTTGTTTTCTCACAAGGGCTAAATCCACAAATTTCCACCACAAGCTGCTTACCTTCATCACAGTCTTCTGGACAGTTCGTAAGAAGCCCTCCTTCACCGTTTGGTACTCTGCAGAAGAAGGCTGCAGAGGAATCTTTTTGAAAGCTTCACCGGCAGCCATGTTGTCCCAGTAGAGCGGGAAAGTGAAGTCTGAAATGAGTCAAAGGACAAAATGGTTTAAAATAGTCAATGACATTAGAAAAAAACTGATCGTTGTTGACCAAAAAATCGATGTTGACCAAAAAAGCCTCATATGCACACGGCCAAGAAATTCTTTTTAGAGGCTGAACCTCCGCGACACGTCAGCAAAGCCCTGCTGATGAAGACCCTGTGAAGTCTCACCCGAGAGATGCTCAAGTCGCTTCAGCTTGGCCGTTTGTCCGGTGGACCGATTCGTGGCCTCCGTCCTCCGGGGATCCACGGACCACTTGGTGTTCTGTGCGTCCGTGATGCCTCCTGCCACTCGGTTGTTTTCCAGGTTGTGATTGGCGGTTTTGGGGAGTCTCTCCCAGTTGCCGCCATGTGGCTGGATGCACCAGGCCACACGGTTGAAGAGATCCTCCTCCTCCCTGACTCTCACCTCTCTTCTGAGGCTGTCCTGCAGGGAGGCGTTGATCATCTGCATCACCGTGTTGACCCCATCTTTTAACCCGCTCACTGCCAAGGTGCCCCGGTCGGGCTGCTCCCTCTGAACGTACAGACCCTCAAGCTCAACCAGCTGCTTCAGATCCTCGATGTTGTCCTGGGTGAGACCTGCCAGCTCCTCCTCCTTAAAGGTTTTGGTGGAGCACTGAGCGTGATACACATCCTTCAGCTTTGTCATGGCGTCGTGGACGTCCACTCTGGAGAGACCCAGGAACAAGAAGACGGACTGCTGACCTGCAGATCTGGTACACAGGCCGCTTAGATCTGCGCTCTCAGACGGAGGGGCCTGCTGCCCTGGTTGTGCACGAGGCGACGGAGGTACTGACACTTTAAGGGACGGGTCAAACGACAGCAACTTAGTGGAAATTCCAACAAAATCATATCATCCAACCATAAAAAAAGAAGGCTGTATGTGAATCACCTCTGTCAATTACAGCACTGGAAAACATTTGCAACGCTTCTTCTTTAAAGGCCAAGAAGACTTTCATTTTACTGAGGACGATGCGGATGTCCGTGAGACAAGCGAGAGTGGACGAAGTGGCCTTCCTGACCCCTCGGAGGATGGCGCCTGCCACGAGATGAGGGTCCAGCCCGGCTGCCCCTGCAAAATGATTGGATTTTTTTAAACCGACGCACAGACAAATTCATGTGTGTTTCATTTTAATAAATCAAACCTCTATTAACAAAATACTCACCAGCAGAGATGGCGGGAATGGCGACAGACCTGAACCAGAACGCTTGGCAGTTTTCCACGATGCGAAGCACCAGTTGTTCAATGAGTTTTACATCCTTTTCACCACTGACATGAAAAATGGCTAAAGAAGGGAGCAATCCCGGACCGGATACAAGAACATTCCCTCGGCTCACTTTTCCTACACAAGACACAACAGACTGGATGAGTAGAAGCTGTGCGATTGTGTGGCCTGTCCATGTTTAAATGGTCCTCTTCTCTCACCTGCTTTGAGTTCAGCCTCCACCGTTGGTCCAGCTGCGGTTAAGATGGCTCTGCACACACCTGTAGAAAGAAGATTATATTCATAATCAGTGGTGGGATGTAACTTAACCACAATGTAAACATAGTTTACTCAAGTGATCCCTCAGCAGCTATTGGAGCCATCCACCTCTTTGCTGTGTGAGGCTGTATGTTGAGATAAATGCTATTCAAAGGAAGGTAATATACCTACAATTATTAAGTGGAATAATGTTTCCAAACAGTCAACATAATGTTGATATTCTGCCTGGACCTTCTCTCTGCCCTCACTCACTGTTCTGAAAATTAGTGAAGTCTGTCGTGTTCACCACAGCATCGGTGGTCTCCTTGGTGATGTCACCAAACACCAGCTTCAGTTTAACTCCGCCTCCCACTGTCATTGTGAGGTCATCGAGGTCACTGGTGAGGGACTTGAAGATTGCTAAGAAGAAGAAAGGTCTGTGTCATATGTGTCATTTAAACTGATAACTTCAAAAGTAAAAGATGGATTATTAAATCACTGATGAAATAAATATGGTACAGGTTATAAACGCGTTGCTGTATTTGTAATTTACAGTCTCAAAGTAGTTTACCGTGGCCTCCCTGGTTCATACTTGAGCTGAGGTGACGGTAGACCTCATAGTAGCACTGTAAAAAGTAACGAGAGCATTACACACTTCAATCAACAAATCATACCTGGCCGCATCGTAAAGAAACGCAGAGTGTTGATAGTCACCTTCTCAGAGTCAGGATAGTCTGGTTTGATGACGATGTGGATGGTGGAAAGAGACCCAGCGGACGCAGTTAATCCAAACTGCTGAATGTTGTCTGTCAGCACCTGAACAGCTTCTTTCGGCGGGTATTTCAAAACAATTCCATGTCCGATAATGGGGAAAGCCACTGAGCACAAACCCTGCTGTACGCAAAGGTCCAAGCACTTCTTCAGCCCAGCGCTGAGCACCTGGGAAACAAAGAAGACATTTCCTTTGTGCTTTCAAAAGGTACTCTAATCTTTCTTTACCTCACCAATAGGATTCATTTTACCTGCACGCTCCTCCCACTGACTCCATCCCACGGCAAGCACTCAACGAAGAAGAGCTTGGAGCAGCCCAGAGATGGAGGAGCATCGACCTGCAGAACATCGCCGGGATAGAGGGCGACAGTCGCTGCCATTAAATCAAACTTCCACTGGATTTCATTCCCGGCTTTAGTCAACAGTCTTTTGCCAATTTTAGTAGAAGTCAGCTTCCTGTTGAGCATTGGGACCACCAACACATTCCCCTGGGAAAAGAAGGTGAAACAAAACCAACGTCAGTAGCTCCTCCTTCATTGTTTAATGTAAAGCAGAACAGAAATGGTCAAACCTGCTGATCCTCCAAACTGCCAAGCTTGATCTCCAGACTTGGCTTGTTGACAGCAAGACTCCCAGCAGCCATGCTCCTCAGTCCGTGGACAGGTCGGGGTGCTGCGCTCACGGGGCTTCTGGTGCCATGAAGCACCAGAGGCCACGGCGACTGCAGACTTTGCTGTTCTCTGATAAGAACCTGACAGGAGCTTTCTACCAGCTCCTTGGCCACTCTACCCTCTGCCTTAAAGTACCGTTGAGCCCCTGGTCCATCTAGAACCAACGTGTCTACCACCAGACAGACCAGAGCTGAACGCAGGGCCTGCTGGGTCTCCTGGACCAGATAATAGGGACCAGCCACGAGCACATTTGGGTATGGGTAAGAAGAGGTCGTTAAGGTCACCTCGATCTGCTTCATGCCAATCAAGTTCACAAATTCATTGAGACAGTTGAGCAGTTCAGGATGTGGTAGCTTCAGCACTTCTTGTGTCCTGACTTGGTTCATCTGGTATTCATGCAAAACCTCTTTGAGCTTTTTCACATCTTTTTTGTAGCCCACCAGTCGTACTTCGGCGGCTGCGGTTCCAACAGGTCCTGGGATGAAGCTGACGTCCACTCTGAACTCTCCAGAGTTGGCCTCGTTCTTGGCTTTGTTGAGGATTTCCTTCACGGTGTCCAGGTCCGGAGGTGCGGCCGCGGCTCCCTGCGCCGGCAGATTTTCCTCGGCGAGGTCTCTCCGCACCGCCACCTCGGCCTCATCCAGGGCGTCCGAGGACAAACTGGACAGGAGCAGGTCGGACCCCGCCTCCAGGGAAACAGGGTTTCTGAGGCTTCGCTGGAGGCGGGCCTCGTACTTTGGGATGACGTCACTTGATTTTATGAAGCTCATCAAAGCCGGGCAGAGCTTAACTCTCTTTTCCTTTACCTTCTTCATCAGTTCTTCCAGTTTCGTAGCTCCCGACTGCACGTCCATGTTTGGGCCCTCCAAGGTGATCGTATTGCGCTCTATCAGGATTTTCACTTCAGGGTAATACACACACACTTCTCGACTGAACTCTTCTTGTACCAGTTTGAACTGCCTCTCCCCAATTGGTAATTCCTTCCGGGTAGGCATGCTCTTTTTGACCATTGAAATCCTCTCATTCACAGCCTCAACCTCTCCAACAACCACGACGTAACCGCTCTCACTGTACACTTTGATATCGTCTGTCACAAAGGACGGGTCCTGCTGTAGGATTTTGACTTCTTTGGGCTCAACAGCAGTATAGCAGCAGTAGGTCTCATTGACACCGGTGAAGACCCGATCCACCTGTAACTCCCACTTCTCTGCCACACCGAAGGCTCCTCCCGGGGCCTTCTCAATATCCCCCCTAACCACTGCCGCCTCCGTTTCAAAATCCAACTCCACCGTGCAGCCAATACAAAATAGTCTCTTCTGTAAGACTTTATTAGCTTTTGGGTTGTCTCTCAGGAAGCACAGGAGGAAAAGGTTCAACGGGAAAATCATCTCAAGGCATTTTGTATTTGGTTTTGGGAATGTCTGTAGAAGAAAAGCAATATACAAAAAAAAAAATCCATCTTTAGTAATGTACGGAATTAGAAGCAGATTATGTTTTAGAATCTATAAAAATGTATGAATTAAAAAACAATATTTAAAAAAATGAACTAATTAATCACACATTTTGAAATTCATTAATTGCGATTAATCACATTTCATGAATGTTGTTACTTCTTCTAAAGACTAGATCTTACAAGTAATCACAGAAAGCACGTATTTTAGACACTGTTGTTTGATTGTTAATGTTTTAAACACTTGACTACACACATTTGATCATCTTGGAGGCAGAATTCCATCAGCGACTCTTCCTGCTGTCCTCGTGCACTTTGCTTTGCTCACAACTCTCATTGGAAAGTTGTGTTTGAAGTGCCAACAATCTCCCCAAATTTAGCCTGGGCGTTTTCCAAACCATGGTCTTTGAGGGACAAAGTGGTGGTCCTCTGCAGACAGTGTGCTTCAGGTGCCTCATTTATGAACGTGTACGCGCAAAAGAAGGCGTACGCCGCTCTCTACGCAATAATTGGTATTTATAAAAAACAATCTTGACGGATAAATCTTCGCGCAAGCTCGGACCCATGCGTACGGACAAAAACGGGTGAAATGAGAACCGTCGGCAAATGCAAGAAACACACAAACGTGCGTGAAAGTGTGTAAAACTAGACTGTTGTGTAAATGAAATGCCAATACTGCCTCTCATAAATAACACAAACGCCCGTTTGATCGATCTGCAGCGTAAAACAAACAGAAATACACATTTTTCAAAACACATAAAGAAAAGTGAAATATGTTCTGCAATAATATTGGCATGTTCATCCTCAAAACACAGCTGTTGTTTCTCAGATGCAATGGAACGATGGCGCGCTAAACGCTTTTTTGCATCCACGTGGATGTCAGACCATTTTTTCATTTTTTCGGCCACGGTCCGAGGGTGTGAGGCTGCAGCGTTGCTGTGGTGCCTTTTTGGCATTAGTGATGCCCACACCGTGCCCTCCAAAAAGCATCTTACTTCTCCTTTCCACCTCGCCATTGATCATTTCGACACACTGGGTTAAGTTGCGTTTCTTCGTTTTCCTCTCAGTGTTTGTCATGATTTCGCAATCGATGAATATTAATATGTGGGCGTTCCACAGACTATATAAGGGAAACTATGGGCGTGACATGAAGCCGCCAAAGCTGCGCTGCATTTAGAAGTGATGGTAATTTATTAAAGGAAAACTGACGTGCGTGTAATGTTTCTGTGCGTACGCACGTCCTACGTTTCATCCGTACGCCACTTCATCAATTAACACGTTAATGTTAACAGCCTTAATAAAGATCAGTTGGCCTGCACTTCAATGTGCGTGACATTTCCCTTCAGATGTTGACTGCTGAGAAATCCCACCCAAACCACGTGGCTCGGAGCAACAAGAAGTCACCTGTGACGAGCTGGAGGATGATGGCTCGTCAGACTGCGATGGCATCGCTCGGCTCACTGTCAGACGCACTTTACCGCGAGGGAGAGAGATGGTGTGAAACTTCCTCAGCAAAACCCTTTCCTGGTCTGTGAAAAGAACAAAGTTAAGGTTCCCCTTCCTCCGAATGAACAAACACACAAACAGACTCAAGCATGAAAATGATTCAAAAACACGAGTGTGTTCTGGCTTCTCCTGTGCGGTAGATTGGATTCCTCACCTTCTTTCTCCTTGAAACAGATCTTATAAGTGTCGCCTTCTGTCTCTTCAATCATTCCACAATCACCTCCACCAGACTCTCTTCTTATCTGAAAGTACCTTCTGATTTTCCCTTTCTCTTTGTCTTTCAGATCTTTTGCCTCGAAGAACAACGCATGTTTGTATTCATCCATTTGACCTAATCTATCTATCTTCAAAACTCATGTAAGGCAGGTCCTATGTGCAATGCCGTCTCCTCCGCTGTGCTGTATCTGATGTGGTTTTATTTGGTTTCACTTTCTCTTTTGACGTGGCTTCAGTTCTCATGTTCATGTATCTGCATTTGCCACACCCGGTCCATATTTCGGGTCAGGTGGCTGGTTCATCTTGTTGTTCAGGTGAAAACCATCGTTAGTGTTCCTGCATTGTAGTAACAATGACAACATTGAAATCAGTGTTCTTTATGTGATGTGAATGAATATACATTAGGCTCCTACAGTGATCCGACACTCTTTATTGGATGGCCGATGGGGGATCGTCGTCTCTCGACATCGATAGCTTCCGTGCTGTGATGTCACGCCAAAGCGAAATGGGACAAATAAAAAAAAGGCACTGCAGCCGGTAACACAGACACTACCAGTTCAAACCGTTAGATGTCCTACTTGCACTAAAAGCTGTTCTGATGACTGCTGAGAAGCAGCAGCTTTCAGCCAGCCGATGCAACGACTGAATGAGTACAGAAGACAATAAACATATCCACTTATCCACACTAACGCCACCGAGTCGAGAGAGCTCTAAACTACGTGACTGCTCACTCCGCCGTCGTTTTTTTTGTGCACTTTGTACTTTTGTCTTCAGTGTTTATTTTAGTGTTTTATTAACACCTTTACGTTTATGTTTATCAGCATTTCTTCCTCAGAAAATGACCCTTTTCCTTTGAGCTTTTATCTGAATCACATCATCAGTAGTGTCAGGATCTCCGATCCCCCCGAGTTGGTTGATGAGAAGAATTGCAGCACGTTGATCAATTAAAGTCAAAAAGTTAACATTTATTTAGAAGAGAAAAAGATTTCATGAGCAATTCTCCGCAGATATCTGGCTCTAACTATTGCTTGCAAGCAGGAGGCCCAACACAGCAGCACGTATCTCAGCGCTCGGCGTAATGGCGTCGCCGAGCAGTAAAAACGCTGAGTTTTTATACACATGTGAAGAACATTCTCCGTGCCAGTTACGAGAAGCTACAAAGCAGATTGAGATAAGAACCCGGGTGAAGCTGAGGGTAGCACACACTCAAGATCCTCCTCAGTGGCCGGGGCAAATCATAAATTGACATGAAGTAAAAAATGTGGATCTGGAACTTTTGTACCGAATAAGATATGAACCAAGGCCAAAGTACAGCTGCGAAGCAACATTTTGTATCATGCTGCTCTTTGCACATCAGGCTCAAATACAGGACACTTGAGACACGGCTTTAGCTCAAAACAATGTTATAATATATTTTACCAGTACATGCATCTCACAGTAGACAGACCTGCAAACAAAGACTAGCATTTGAAACAAGGGTTTTACCATAATTCCCACTGCATTTGACCACAACGTTACATTTGTTTGTTAACTACATCAGCTCTATCTGCTCTTCATTACCACAGGCTTCTTTTTAACTGCTCAGAAACACGTTAGTACCTGACATGCCAGGTTCAAACACATTACTTAACATTACACAAACACGCTTCTTGTCTTTAAACATGTCCGGACGCTGAATTCAGGACTGCAGCCAAGTGTCTCAACCTTTCCTTAATTACCTCTTAAGCCATACGAGAAAGTATTGTGCAACTCAATCAATGAGATGTTTACTTTGATCACTGAGATCTAATTAAGCCGAGAGCAAATGATGCAGGTGAAGTTTAGGACGCTTTGCTCAACCGCATTTGCATCTGAGAAGCACTTGAGTTGACTTTCAATTGACTACGAGGAACATGAAGTTCCCATATTTAACCGTCCTTACAGCTTCCTGTATGTTACTGTCATTTTTGCTATTTTTTAACGTCAAAATATTTCATTTTCAGCCACCCGTGTCTCCCAAACTAAGCAGCATGTTGCAGGAGAAAATGAGCTGTTGCTCTAACCATTTATATTCCTTCAGAATCTAAATAAAGGGGAGAATGGGTTGTAATTGGACCAGAACAGAAATGAACAGTCCCCAAATTTGCTCTTTCCAGAGGTTTCCATGACATAAGGTATACAACCACCTGTTGTCAGGTGTGAACGTCATTACCACCAAAGTTCAGGAGACGGATGTGAAGCAGCCAGGATTTATACATTGAAGTGACTCTTTAAGACGCAGAATTTTGTAAGACAAAAGCTGGGTCAGCTCCAGCATGATGAAACAGGGAGGAAGGATTTTTAAAAACACTTCTCTGGAAATCGTGTCGTCATCACTGAAAGGGAATAAAAGGGAGGCGCAGCAAACAGAGAACATTAGGGACACAGAGGGGGGGGAGATTCCTCAAACGCTGCAGACCACACAGGACCCCGTCTCTGCAAAAGCGACAGGCCTCTCCCATCACAGAAATTCATCCTTGGAGACATCTCACTCTCCTCTTCCACCCAGCGATGAATACGGCAACCCGCTGCATCATTCTCCTGGCCTGCGCCGCCATTTGCACTTCCAACAGTCGTAAGTGTGCTCATTTTTAATATGAAACGCTGTATTTAGGCTTTTGTTGAGCTGACTTTTGCCTATAAAAAACCTCTCCCTCTGTGTCTCTTGCATGGCTTCGAATGAGGTGAACTCTCTATTTACCCCGTTGTCTTCATTCTTTCAGCAATTCTGAACTGCCGCTGCGTTAAAAACAGCGATGCCGTGTCTCGCCATCTCATCGCTCGCATAAAGCAGCTCCCGCCTCGCTGGTACTGCAACAGGGAAGAACTCATGTGAGTGTCTGCAGGTGACTCTGTGCACAGTTGTTGACTTTCCCCCCGGCAGTGTGCGTTTTATCTGAAAGCTTTCTCTTTCTCCTTCAGTGCCGTGCTGAAAGATGGGAGAGAGAAGTGCCTCGCCCCCAACGGGAGGTTCGCCCAAGCGATCAAGAGATATAGAACGTAAGTGACGAAAAGCCGTTCTTCTTTTTTACGTGCGTTGCTCTCTGATAGTTTACAGCGTGAACTCGGGTTATTAGATGAGTGAAAAGGGAGGTTGAGCAACGTGAACGTCGCATCAGTCTGTCGTCACTGTCAGTGACAAAGCTAGAGGGCTCTGTGTTTAATGCTTCATCTGTTTACTACTCAAAACGGACTCAAACATTGAACTGTGTCAAACTGAAATAATTCATGTACGCAATGACAGGTGGACACAGCTTTGATTTAAGGGGTCACAAGCCAAAAGAGCGGCCGTAAACCAATCCAACGTTAAACAGCAAATGCTTCCTCCACAGGCAGAGGGCAATGACTCGCAAGACCAGCACCACCGGCCCCAAAACCACCGCGGCATGAGGGCCCACAACGATTGCACCCTGTTAAACTGTCCGTGACAGCCCTGTTTGAGATGTATTCAAGCTTGCCAGTAATAATGTGAAGGTTGGTAAAGGTGACAGTTTGTGGAACTGTTTGTATTTCTACACCACACTGAATGTAATTGTCTGTAACGGCTGACCATGATGTACAACACTGACTCCTCAAACGTGCTGAAAAACTCCAATAAAGATGAACTGTAAAAGAAAAGACAGTTGGGCATTTTAAATTAAATAACTTTTCAATTTCCAGCAACGATGAGACACAGAATGGGCATAAAATATAGATGTAAAATAAACAAGGTACATCTGTTCTTAGTTTTTGGTCATAAAATGGGGCGTTTTTGCCGATCATGCTGACGAGAATTAAAAAGTCAGTTTCTAAGGATTCTTTTTAAAACCAGAAGTAGCTGGTTGGCGAATATCCGGGGGACCAGCGGCTTGTGACGACCGTCTGTCCTTCTGGCAGGCCGGTGGTCAGTCTTGATGTCTTTTTGTCATGCCTTCCCAAAAGGAGAAGTCTCAAATTTGTCAGTTATGACACCTTCTGCTGCAATTGTTATTGGAACAATGCCGATAAAGTAATATTTTCGACCCTCGGGTCATATAGCTCCTGTTTTAACATACGCCAACAACAGAGTCGCATCAATAGGAACAATATTTTAGCTGAACAGAACAAACTGGAAAAGGATCGCAAATTTTGCAGAATCATACTGTAAAGATGCAAAGTCTTCTTGTCATGTGCCGTTGAGGCTTCGATTGTGTCGTGTCCTCAGTCACCGGGGAGGGATGTTGGTCAGGGCAAGTCGGAGGACGCTTTGTCATCAAAAAGATGATTTCAGCTCTAAAATACAAATGCATGTTGCGAGTTTCTGACTAAAGCGAGAGAGACTTAAGATAACCAGAACTAATGGATTGTAACCGTGTGGAGCGGCCCATTCACAAAATGTGAATGTGTATATATAACATATATATAATTATTGTAGTGTTTTTGTGATCACACAGTGTACGCAATGTTTTTTGTTGTTGTTAATAAACGTGTACTTTATCTATTTAAATTGTAAGTGATTACTTTCATGTTTACCACCCATTCATCATTGGACACATTGGGATTTTGGGAAGTAAAAGTGAAAACATAAAAACAAAAAAAAACACATGACAGTTTGAACTGAAATTACTCATAAGGATAAAAGCTGAAATGAAATAGCAACAGTTTACTGCCACGAGGTCAGAACCAGCCCCAAAGTATAAAACCCGTCCACGCCACCTGGCAGCGGGTCCTTTTCATTTGTTATTCTCATTTGTCTTCCTCCGCTGCCGTGTGAATCCCGGGGGGGACAGAAGAGAACTCGAGCTGCGTCGCCGTGACTCATTTCCCCGCCGAGACAAAAGCGTCGTCTTTCAACCTCAACGGGGCCCCTCGTCTGTCCCCGAACTCCCCGTCCCATGACTGCCTTCTGCTGCACATGTGAACGCACCCAAGTGAAACCACACACACACACACACACACAAACTGGGCTTTTTTTTGTTACATTTCTCAATTTCCAGCATCCCGTGATCTCTGCGTACATAAATATGGGAGTAGGGGATGTGTGTACGAATAAACACTTCCAAAGGGGGAGTTTGTTTTCTGTCCTACAGAAGCTGCTTGAACGAGATGAAGCTGAGCGTCCTGCTGGTTTTTGGCACCCTGCTGGTCCTCGTTTACGGTAAGAGCCTGGTGGAGGGAGCGTTTCTGGGTGATTGGCCTTGAGAAATGGTTGTGTGCGGCAACGCTTGACATGCAGGAGGTTGTGCCAGATCGGAGGATTATCAACTTCAGATCTTTTGATGGGACATTTAAGCAGTAATCCATTGAGCAACACCAGAAATATCTGCAATGGGGGATTTATCTTGAAGTTAAAATACTGTATATCCATTTATTTTCCTAAATGTGAATGAATCACGTGGTATTTTACTGTAAAACTTAAAATATCGCTCGTCACTTTTTCCACATTTCAGGCACTTGTTTTTATTCTTTTCTCCGCTTTATGAAAATCTACATGCAAAGACACATAAAACATGTCGTTTCGTCAAAAAGACTTAATTGCAGCACCAAAATTAAGGCCAAACCGTTGTTCTGATCCTTTAGTAAAGGAAAATTAAGAGTGATGAATGACCCCCGAGAATTCTTGAATTGAAAACTTTACTGGAGTGACGTTGAGTCAGAGTACTATAGTATTATCAGCTATAAGTACTTTAAGAATCAAGTAGAAGTGCTTAACGTATCAGAATTGAGGAATCGTCACTTTGCGTAATAATAATTACTTCAACGCCACTAAATTTCCGAAGTTAAACAAAGTACAGTGACTAAAACATTGTGTCCGGCAATGAATGCATGTAGCCATCCATGATCATAAAACTCCCAACGAAGTTCCAACGAAGTTCCAACGAAAGTCACAGTTTAGGAAGACAAAGGAGAAGTGCTCATTTTAACCGTGTCGCAATATCACAGAGGTGGTTGTGAAGAAAGCCGACTGTCAGCATCTAATTCATAGATTCATGATCACACACACACACACATCGAGTCCAACATCGTCAACACGAGTCCAAGCCAAGAAATGGGAGATTGCAAGCCGAAAACGTGCTCTGACCCCTCACATCGCCTTCAAGTGTCCCTTAGGGTCCTTTCAGACAGAACCCGTCCAAGGACGACGAGCCACGTGGTTGGTGTTAAAGGTTTAAAGTGGTCGTGATCTCACCGCGCGTCGACGCCATTTTCACAGGCATGCCGCCGATCAGCAGAGACTACAACACGCACTGCCGGTGCCTCCAGGTGGAGTCGAGGATCATCCCTCCGGACAGCCTGAGGAGCATCAAGCTCGTCCCCGAAGGGCCCCACTGCCCGGATATTGAAGTCATGTAAGTGAAATAAATCACGGGACCTTTTACCTCACAGATAAGATTTAAAAGAAAATGTTTTGGGCTTCTTGATATCAGCGTTTCCTAATGCGCAGCATTTGTTCTCCTCCTGAGCAGAGCCGGACTGGCGGACGGCAGGAAGGTCTGCCTGAACCCTCGGGCCGCCTGGGTGAAGAAGCTGGTGCACTTTGTCCTTGAGAGGCAGCTTCACCAGCAGGGACAAGCGCTTTCCAAAAATCAAGGATAATCTACACGCTGCGATTCTCCTCCGTCCTGCGGCGAGGAGCCGGGTCCGTTTCACACCAATGACATGGTTCATGTTCTTGCCACTTTAACTCTGGATCTATATTGTCTAAGTGTGTGAAAGATACGTGTGTGATTAATGGATGGAAGTGAAGCATTTCACCGTGACTGAGCAGACATTTTGGTTGTCTGACCCTTTGAAAGCAGATACTGTATGTAGCATCAACTCTGTAACTGTGTATAATATGTCACATTGTTTGAAGCTGTAATTTCTGTAAAAAAAAAATAAAAGTAAAATGAGACTTTCTCGCAGTAGGTTACACCCACGTTTGCTCTGTGAATTCTATCACACAACCATTTATTTATGAGAAATGAGAAAGTTTAGTTTAATTGGCTTACTGCCAAAGTGCAACATTTCCAGATTTATTCCAGTATTTATTTTATTCCCACAGTCAAAAAACGGTTGATCAGATCAGCCGATCAGATGTTCAAAACTATTCTCGGAACAAGGGATTTATATGTGGCCGTTTGCCGAGAAGGGAAAATGTTCTTTGGGAAACATGCAGATATAGAGGTCTCACAGGTTGTAAAGACCCGCGGGCTGCAAGAAGAGAAGCGTGAGATAGTCGACATCCCAACATCCAAACAAGGAGCGTCATGGGTCGCTTCTTTAGAAACATTTAATTTTCTTCCCTCAACTGCCAACATTTCACACGCCGGCGTAACTATGTAACTTCTTCCTCCACAATGCTTCTCACTACTCAACAAAAAGATGAACCGAGAACGTTAGAAGCACCAAAGCTCCTTTTGTTTTATTGAATTCTTGAATATAAATGAGTAGTAATAAACATGCACAGCATGAAAATGTGACTTTTTGTTTTCAATGTAAACAACACCAAGCAAAACAAAAGTTCTCTCTTATTCTCACAAGTGCCTTATCAAACAGCTCCCCATTCTTTGCATCCTCCCCCACTAAGCGAGGGGCGCTTAGTGGGGGAGGATGCAAAGAATGTCTGGTATAAATCCAAAAAAAAAAAATCCAAAAAAAAAAAATCCATTCACGTGCTAAGTGTCTGACTGTGGACAATCCTGCAGTGCAACACAATAACCCTTCCCCGGGGGAAACCAGGCCTGCAGGGCCTCGGTCCAGCTGCCCGTGTTGCTGAAGGTCAACAAGATGTCAAACACTGTGGACAGACAGAGACAGAAATACTTTCAGAGTTGCCCCGGTTTCCCGTTCTGGCAAATTAAAAATAACTGGCTCACCTTGATTTATTGCCAGGATCTTGGAGTGGAAGTTCTTGTCATTGCTTGTTTTCGTCATGTACTCGTCTATGGGAAGCCTCGCCGTGTGAACGCTCAGTTCTCTGGCTCTGGACAAGCTCAACGTCTGTGGAAGTCACAGTGATTAGACGTCCCGCGTGCAAAAGTTGACAACAGTGAAAGCGCTGCTGTTACAACCCGTCTCAGTGCAGAATACCTTCCTGATGCTTTCATCCACAAGGCCACCGAGGACGTACACCTTGTCGGCGTCCACTGTTTCTAAAGCTGAAATGAGAGAGAAGAGCGACGTAAAACATTTTATTAAGTGAAAATCAAACAGAAGGACACTGAATATGCGAATATAGTTTTAAGTAATTTAAAAACTTTAACTTATTAAGCAATATTTGATTAACTTTCCTTTACCTGTCTGTTTTATGATGTCCATGTAAGAATACATAATTTACTAAAGTCCTAATAGTCGTATATATAGTAGCATTAGTGAAAGCTGCAGTAACAATACTGTGATTATTTATGAACTGTGTGAGCGACCCCTGCTGGACAAAAGGTGCATTTCAATTTCAATGTTTACATTTTATTTTTCATTTTTAAACTCCTTATTGGTCTAGACGTGAAAACTTTACAGTATGTATCTCCTAGAAAAAGAAACAAAAAGAAAGGAAAGATAAATATTGAGAAACAAGTTTAGAATAGCTATTGTGTATCCTTGCTGTCCAATAAAAAAAATATCAAAGAAAGAAAGAATAAATAATAATAAGACTTAAAGTAATAGCAGTCACAGTTATCTTTGATTAAGACATTTTGCAAGTTTACAAAACCAATATATCAACTTTTGAGAAGTTCATCAAACCTTCTTCTGCATCTGGCGTGAGGTAGACGACAGCTTCTGGAGGAAAAAGGTCCAGGCAGCTTTCTTCTGTCATGTCAATCTGATACAAGCGTGCAAACAGATATAGAAAATAACCTGAGCCTCTTGCTTAATATTAAAACTATTCTAGATCGACATTATCTCACATATTCATTCAATGCTCATATTCTCTCATTAAAATAGCTGTTTGCAGGTAAACATAAAAGCTTTATCTCGTGCTTCATCCTTGCCTTGAAATATTTCCCAGAGTATCCTGACAATAATCACCATGTAGTTGAGGAAGCCCTCGTTCATCCGAAGGCACTCTCTGTAGAGCCGGCCGCCCTCCACCAGGTCCGTCAGGAGGAGGTGAAACGGCCGGGTCGCCTTCTTGTTCGACCCGTACAGCCTCCTCAACTGGCCCGCGAGGCGACTCACCTCCTGCACCCCCGAGAAAAAACACAGTCCAACTAATTACGTGAACGCAGGCGGCGGAATCCGTCTCCGTGGGGACCGTGGCGCCGCTTCTCTGAGACGGGACCGGCCGCCTGGTGCTCTGAACTCCATCGAGTTCACCCACCTTGTCGGACATGCCGTCGGTCATGCTCAGGTCAACACAGAGCCTGAGCCCCGAGGACTGAGCCTCAGCCAGACGTTCTTTGGCGATCGCTTTCAGGACCCGTTTGGTAAACTGGGGATGATCTGTCAAAAAGGAACACAAACACGGAAGAATGTTAACGCCTTTCGCCTCTCGATCTCCATTCAAAGGCAAAGTGAGCGCCTGAGTCTCTTCACTGGATCCGTACCGGGCGCCTGCTCTCGGTTGACCTTCCTCCGCTGCTTCTCTTCTTTCCTCTTGCTTTTCTTCGCTGCCAGCTGCCTCTCCCAGTGTCGCTGCTTCCTCAACACGTTCCTCTGCATTAAAGGGAGCACGGCGGGCAAGAACTACTATGTTTTAGGAGAATCTACACTCCAGCCACACAGAAATATGCCCTCTATCCGACAAAGTAATCCAGAAACATGCTTATTACTTAAATATGACTGAGGCAGTGGTGAGATAAATATGCTTTGAACTGCACACCATCGGGATATGAATAATCGAGGTGTTTGGGGACTGCTTATCACACCACTGTAATGAATAGTGGCTCCACAGTGTGTTTATGAACGAGGGCCTGGTAAACAGACTCACAGAAAACAGGGCAGCTGCTCTCGCTGGCCTCTCCTCCACCGCATCAGCCTCCACGTCGATGTGAAGCAGCTCCATCGCCTCTGAAACTCCACCCGGCCAAGTCTCACACGCCTCTGATCCACCGTGCGCCATTTCAGTCCGCGGCTCAAGTCATTTGTGGGCGACAGCGAAATGGTTGGATCACATTCGTGGGGTTCGTCTGTTATTAAATCCACTCAGTGGAACTTTAAAGGCAACATAATCGTGCTCAGTAACCCAAGAGGGAGGAAACGTACCCGAGTTGCCGCTACGTCTCGTCCATGTGAGTGGCGCATGCGAATGACGTCAGCGTAAACAACGCGAGGGGGGGGGGGGGGCGGGGACAGGAGGGTGAATTCGCGAGTTTGGGAATAAACAACCGGTCAATAATTGGGCAGCGAGACACCAAATCGCTCCGAGTCTGTACAGAACAAACAAAGCTACACCGGAATATCAGCAGAAGTGTGAAGGTTCACGTTCCCCCGACACGTCCGGAGAGGGCGGTGGAAAAGCACATAGATTAATGATTGGGAAGCTATAACACACTATATGAAACTATGTTGATCACGTGTTTAGTCACAGATGTTCATTCGTGTGCATTTTATAATCCTGCCAAAGTTCTCTGTGTAAATTCTTCTCAGAAACACAAACATAGGCCACACGTCTGACTAGAGCACGTACTTGTGTTATTCATTCAAACTTGATTCATTATTAGGATCCTCATTTACTTCCATAAAGTAATGCCCACACAAAAATAACGGGCCGATGAAACAATGAGAGACAAAAGAAGCCGAATGTAAAGGTTTGAAATCGCTTGAAATGACGGCGTAAAATAGAAACTAAAGTAAACTTCTTGCAAATACACAGTGAGAAAATACTGAGAATAATATTTCACTATTTATACATTGAAGATCGTCATTATTACTTCGCAATAAACTCCGAACCGTATTTTCTAATTATTTCAAAACACTTTTTAAAAAGAGCACACGATATAATGTTAATATACGTTTTTAATTTCAGCTTGACCTTTGTGAACTTTCTCGTCCTGTCCCTACCGAGCATGCGCAATGGAGCTCGAATGATGGATTTGTGGTGAGTTATTGCCTTATTTTAATTCACATGATTTGTATGACTAATTAATAAGGTGTTTAGCATCTTAAGCGTTTGGGGCTTCCCCTTTCAAACTGTGAGGTAACGTAATTTGAGTGAATAAAATACTCGCTGAGAGTTTTGCCCTCAATGTTAAGGTTAGTTATGCTAGCTAGGATTGACCTTGCTAACTTTACCTTAAAGTTATTATTTTAACGTAAGCAGTGTGTGGTTCTTATCGAGACGATAGTTCCCGTCTTTACTAAACGCGTGGTGATTTGGGGGTAAACATTACGTTCTTCAGTTTGCCTCCAAATATTGCCTCAAAGTCGTGGCGCGGACCGCTAGTTGCAAATGTGCGCTAGCTTAGCATTCTTAAGCGACTGTCAATGCTGTGAGTAACTAAACTTTCAGTTAGCTTGCTAATGTTGCGTTTTAACGTTAATTAAGATAACGTTATACGATGTGTGGGGTGATGGGTCAATCATCAATATTCAGCTGTTCTACCGCAACTAACGATGTGTTTGTGTAATGAAATAAGATGTCAACTAACCACCATATTATTTTTATTCAGTACTTCCAAAAGTTTCCTCGTGCCGCCACCATTTGTCAACGCAAAGGAACTACCGTGTGAGCTCGTTTGAGGTCGGAAGACAAAAGTGGCTGCACACTCAGTCCAGGTTACTAACCAGCTTACCTTGACGTTAAAACTTTACTTTTCTCGTTTCTTCCGTGGTGACAGTATTCACATATGACATTGATCCACACAATGTCACAACGGCATTTCGCCAATATACTTATACTGGGATTGTCTTATATACCGGCTTTAAAAATAACAGTTATCGCCCTGCAGATGTTAGCATTTGAAGCTAACACGCTGCCATGCAGGAGCTCAGCAGCCAATGAGAGACTCTGACGAGGGAGGTATTCCACCGAGCAGCATTGTGGGTATTTCAAAATGAATATTTTATTAGATAATTTAATGGTTTTATAAGCTTTTATCGTTGAAACGGCTGTCATGTATACGCTGTTCTTTATACTGTTAACGAAACCGTGTTGACATATTTTTCTGGTTGCTAAATAGTGGTTATTTGTAAGTTTACGCTTAAAATGCTACTAAAAATGTATATTAATGTGAAATGTGTGACTTTTATCCGGTGTTAGCCAGTTGAATATTATTTTGTGGTCATGTGTATCAGTGTAAACACCGCGTGCACGCGTTTGAATGTCAGCACCCTGACAGAGAAGAACACGCCCGTCGGTCTAGTAGCAGGGCGGGATCACTGCAGAGGTTAAGACTATACTTTCAGGGATCATTTCTATAGTTTCTGACTTGAGAAATGCGTTTCTAATTTGTTTGGTCTCGCTAACCACGATGAAGAGATGGTGATACTCTTCCCTGAGCGCGAAGCGGGCGGACAGATTTGATTCATTTCATACGCTGTCCGCTTTTGATGACCGTTCTTTGTCTCCTCGGGGACATTGAGGGGAAGAGTATGTGCGGAGTGGTAGTGCATTGATGTTGAATATCAATTTAAATTAAGATCGAGGAAGGAAGACTAGTCTTCAATCGACGGCATATCAATGACGTCTTATCTGATTTATTCTTGTCATTGTGCTGCGCGTCTCGACACCGTAATGATAAAATTGCCCGTTATCTATTGTTGCGTTCTGTGAAATCACGAGCATTACCTTCAAACAGATCTAGAGGATTATGATCACGTTGCTCGATACTTTTACTTGCAACATGTAACATACATCCCCCCAACAACAGTTTCCTCACAGTTGGAGTAACTTATTTAGCTGGAATACAACTTTTGAAAGGGTTTGTAAAACTGCCATTAAAAAACAGCAACATTAATCAGGGCTCCAACTCAAGAAAATTGCGTAATTGATTCTTCCAGTAATCAAAGTGCGGGAGGGGTTGTCGCGATCGCCCGCGTTGAAGTCCAGTTATTCCCCCGAGTCCTAAGAAATAAAGGAGCCACTAGCGAGGGCTCTTCAGCTGAGCTTTTTACTGGTCACCTGGGGTACACGTGGTTTCTGTCAAAACACCGATATTACAATTGTTTTGCTTTGCTTTAAATGTTGCTTTAGTTATAGTGCTATAGTTTAGAACACGTGTTAATGTGTAATGACGCGTGTCCGGCGCGTCCACTCCTTATCGGTGTAAACACCACGTGCACGTGTTTGAATGTCAGCACCCTGACAGAGAAGAACACGCCCGTCGGTCTAGTAGCAGGGCGGGATCACTGCAGAGGTCAAGACTATACTTTCAGGGATCATTTCTATAGTTTCTGACTTGAGAAATGCGTTTCTAATTTGTTTGGTCTCGCTAACCACGATGAAGAGTTGGTGATACTCTTCCCTGAGCGCGAAGCGGGCGGACAGACTTGATTCATTTCACACGCTGTCCGCTTTTGATGACCGTTCTTTGTCTCCTCGGGGACATAGAGGGGAAGAGTATGTGCGGAGTGGTAGTGCATTGATGTTCAACGTAAACTTTAATCCAGTTTCTTATGACGCTATAGATTTAAAAATACGCACCGGCCTCCTTTCTTATAGCAACTGTAGTCGCATTATACCTGACACAGACGTGTGTGAATAATTCCTACTCAGATTGGCCATTAAGTCGTTGTGCTGCGTGTCTCGATTCACTATGGATGTTATAATTCTCCCTATTTTAATTGTTGCGTTATGTGAAATCACGAGCAATACTTTCATCAGAACTAGATAATTATGATCACGTTCCTTGATACTTACAATGTCACAAACATCTCCCCATAATCAGCTACCTCACAGTTGGAATAATTTTTTATCTGGAATGCAACTTTTTAAAGGTTTTTGTAAAACTCCTGCCATTAAAAAACAGCAACATGAATCAGTGCTCCAACTCATGAAAATTGCGTAATTGTTTCTTCCGGTAATCAAAGTGCCGAGTTCTTAGAAATAAAGGAGCCACTATTCGAGGGCTCTTCAGCTGAGCTTTTTACTGGTCACCTGGAGTACGCGTGGTCTCAGTCCGCCTGCAAAACACCGATATTATAATTGTTCGCTTTCAATGTTGCTATAGTTTGTTTAGAACATGTGTTAATGTGTAATGACGCGTGTCCGGCGCGTTCACTCCTTATCGGTGTAAACACCACGTGCACACGTTTGAATGTCAGCACCCTGACAGAGAAGAACACGCCCGTCGGTCTAGTAGCAGGGCGGGATCACTGCAGAGGTTAAGACTATACTTTCAGGGATCATTTCTATAGTTTCTGACTTGAGAAATGCGTTTCTAATTTGTTTGGTCTCGCTAACCACGATGAAGAGATGGTGATACTCTTCCCTGAGCGCGAAGCGGGCGGACAGACTTGATTCATTTCATACGCTGTCCGCTTTTGATGACCGTTCTTTGTCTCCTCGGGGACATAGAGGGGAAGAGTATGTGCGGAGTGGTAGTGCAATGCTGTATAAAATAAATACGAAGCCAAATCAGCGGTCGACCATTAGTTTTCGTTAGACCATATTGACATATAATATGCAACTGCAGCACGTGGGTCAAATCACGTGCGTTAGTACTCGGCCACATAATTGAATAAAATAAACTGCTACTCATATGCAAGTATTGCAAGTCCAGGGCGAGGGGCGTGTTTTTTGTCCACTTGCCAAAGAAGGACCGCGGGGACCAATCGCGGAGGTTCCGCGCTCGGTGCGTGAGGTGTTGGACCGGTCGCTCCTCCGAGGCGGTGACCCACGTGAGAAGCCGGAGGAGGGTTCGTTTCTGTCGCAGCTCAGCCCGCACGGCGGGGTTCATGCGGGGGATTATTTTTTGTTTAGTTGGCACGAGGGCAGTTTGGTTTAAGTTTTTCCATATGGACCTTTTTGGAGTTTTACATTGGGATTTTATAAAATGGACAATAGATTTCGGTTTGGAGAGAAAATGACACGCCGATGATGTTTAACGTGTCTGCAGATGGAGGTTCATTTTCTGAAAATTTAGATGATTTTGACTCCATCCGGAGTGTTCTCCTTTACAGGTCAGTAAAGGCTTGACGTGATACGCGATGCACTGATGGCACGAGTACCTTCATCTTACAGACAGTTGTTCGCGTTAGAGGTGCAGATGTCTCCTTAATACCGGAGGGGATTTATAAAACACTCGTGCAAGCCCGCGGGGAGGAGGAGCAACACGTTGAGTAATTTATCCTGCGTGACATTATTAAGTGACATCAGTGTTTATTTCCGCCAGAATTATTTTAACCGGCCCTGCAACTTTACTATGGGCTTTGGTGTGGTCACTGCGTTATTTAACCCAGTCGCTCGGTCTCCCACGCCAGACGGCAGAGGAGCACTAAAAGTTTCTGCGTTGTTAGGGGCAACTGCGCCGCCCGCCAATCACAGCGGGCCGAGCGGGTCACCTGACCACAGCCGGCGCGCTCATCGGCGCTTCCAACATGGCGAGCGAACGCCGCTGTTGAGAATAGTTTTTTTTTTTTTGTGTTAGTTTCTTAATCTATAAAGTTATTACAGACGCGCTGCGCGAGCACGAGAGGACGCGGAGCACGTCGCGTAACACGGATGGCCGTCGCAAACGCGCGTACCGAAGACGCTGTTCCCGGCGGTCGGGAGGAAGAGGAGGAGGAGGAGGAGGAAGAAGACGGCGGGTCCTCCTCGCCGAGTTACTGCTCCGAGTAAGAAGAAGAGAAACACGTGCACGCGCTGGCAGGAGGACCCCAGAAGCGAGGGACGATTGCGCGTGCGCGAGGAGAGAGAGAGAGTGAACAGTTTGTTGGGAGGAGACGCTGTGACTTGTCGGTTAAAACATCAACGAGCGTTTAAGTTTCTGATATCAAAGTCTTTAGATCCAAGCAGTTTACTCACACGCGTCATCTAGGTGTGTTTTTATTAACCTGTACGTGTCTCCACGTCTCTTCCCCTGTTTGACGCTTTGTTGGAGGGCTTTCGATTTGGGAGGTAAACCTCCTTAAATAATTGGGTGCTACTTGCGTTCCTCGGTTTATTTATGGGCAATCCTTCAGAGCTGCGAACCACAGGTTCTTCAAAGCGGGTTTAAATAGAGAGAAACCAAAGAGGGAAAATATCTCCCCTTTTTTTCCGGCCCACCCTTTTGGTCAAGCATGTGATTGCAGGTTACTGACTGATACTGTAAAAGTAAATATTATCATGCGTTCGACTCAGTAGTGGGACATACGTTTGAAACAAAAAGAAGCTTAAACTGCATAAATGTGGATATGATGGGTAGCGAGTAGAGGCATTTATTGGACAGTGCAATCGGAACAGAAAACCTGCCAGCTATCTCACGCTAACCAAAAGGTCAAATGGTGACGAGTCCTCATATTGAGTAAAGTCGGTGCATCTCTCCCAGCCTGGATTCTGTTTTAATCCTCGCTCGTTCCCCTCAGTGACCTGGAACCAGAATGGCTTGACGACATCCAGAAGAATGGGGAGCTTTTCTACCTGGAGCTGAGTGATGGCGAAGAGGAGGCCGCACTGGCCCAAGCCGCCGGCCAAGGCGTGTCCACCAATCACGTTCGCTTTAGCGAGGAGACGGCCGAGGTCATCACGGAGCAGAACAACAGCAAGAAGAAGAAGAAGAAGAAGAAGAATCCGCAGCCATGCGGCTCGCAAGGGAACGGCGAGCCCACTCTCAAGAGGTTAGCCAGGATCCTGAGGAGAAAACGCCGGCCATCTCCGCAACGAGAAGGCGGAGGCAGAGATGGAGATGGAAAGGATGGGGGCAAAGACGCCTCCACTTCATCACCCCCAGCCTCCATCCTTAAGAACCAGCCCGGTCAAAGGCCGGGCGTGACGGTTCCTCAGCAGCAGCAGCAGCTAAAGGAGGTGTGCGTCTACCTGAACCCGAAACGCCTCGGAGGTCCATCCACCCCTCTGTCTCAGGGTGGGGGGCTGCTGGAGGCGCTGCTGGGGGTGGTGCACCGCGCCTCGTGGAGCAGAAGCCGAGAGGAAAGACTCACCGTTTGTGGATTCGTACCCAACGGCCCGGCCGCCAAGTGTGGCCAAATTCTGATAGGTGAGAAGCCTTACGAGGGGGCGAACTGGTGATTCTACTCTTCATTTCCACACCACATAAAAGGAGAAAGCAAATAGCCCAAAGCTAAAATGCTGAGCGTCGGGTCGAACTGGGCGTGATCGGACGGCTTCCACCGCAAACGTCCGCGCTCAAACAATTAGACCGGTTGAAATAGAAGGAGCGTCATCCATTTGCTGTTTAGTTTTGGACCCAGATGTGCTGATACACGTATGTGCCTTTTTCTCGGTGCCGTGTTCAGGTGACGTGCTCGTGGCAGTGGACGATGTGGACGTGACCTCTGAGAACATCGAGAGGGTTCTGTCCTGCATCCCGGGACCGACGCAGGTCAGTGATTGCACTTTCCTCCCGGGCGGATTATTGGTCGCTGGGAGCTCGTTTCCGCTATTCTCCGTTTGAGGGCCGTCATGCGAACGTTTCCACATTCAGAGCTTTAGTTACAAACAGGACGCTGCGTATGGAGAATAAATGACTTTAAAATGCAAAGGCTTCTTCTGAGCAGCTGGAATGTGAATGGAAAGTCGCTGCGGTTTGACGTTAGAAAAACCCTCAATTAGAGAAATGATGATTTGAGCAGTGACTATAAAAAAAATCCACAGTACGTGGATTTTAACCAAAAAGCAGACCATCACAAAGTAGGAATTTGCTAATGACAGAGTTAGTGTGTGTGTGTGTGTGTGTGTGTGTTTGCTGCAGGACGGGGGCCAGCCCTCCCTGGTGGAACGCAGACGGTACTTATTATGTCCTGAGAATCAATTGTCGGACTCCGAGTCCGTCCACCGTGACCTTTGCTTGCAGTGGGCGAGCGCTGCGCCCTATTGGTCGCTCCTCATTGTTTATGATGACCGTTCGTGATGCAGAAAGCCCAACGAGCCTCTCAGATTTTTCCCATTTAAACGTGTTTTTTCTTTCTTCTTCTGATTTTAATTTTGACTCCCTACGCTCAGTCCAATCAAAGCCACCTCTCGCACCCCGCGGGGATCCTCAAGAACTGGTTCCAAAATATTGACCTCCGAGTCAGCGCTTTGGAAGCTCCGCCGCGGCTCCGCTCTTCTTTAATAATAGACCTGGAGTTGGCTGACATGGCGGGCGGCCCAGTTGCAGGCGCCGCGTGTCCTGTGGTCGGCGCTGGGAGACCTTGGAGGGGTTCTGGGAGTGATGGGCGGATTAGAAAAACACAGTTTTCACTTTTTTGACCCACCCTTTTTCCCTTCAGCATATTTGGTAGGCAGCACGTGATCGAGGACTGCCCACGAAAGCAGCAGCCTCAGCAGCTCATTTATTCCCAGGAACACACTAAATGTCTGCCTTTAGGTCTGTCACGGACCCGAGCAGAGCCCGGGTGAGGAGCCAGACGCTCCTTTTGGGTCGTTGAATAATATTCCACATTCTGTGTTGCAGACAAACTGGGTACGTCCGGTTCAGATGCGGTGGTTAGAGCGTGTAACTGGGTCTGCAGGGCCCCCCTCAGCGGTTTTTGGGGTTTAAACCCAGCAGAACCTCCTCGGTTGTGCTTTTGCTCTGCTGGTACTGAAGAAGATAATATGTCTGTTTGAGATAAAGACGTCTGGTTGTTATTAGTCAAACGTGCTTGGATAAGCACGTACGCACATACACACACACACAGATTGGTGCTATTTGCTATGCTAGTTAACCTCAGAAAATCAGCATCCTGCTTTTCACTTAACGGCTGTGGTGTTTTTCCTACAACAGACACATTTGTACCGTTAACATTTCTTGCCGTGGATATCATGCAGGCCCATATTGACTGATTCCTTCTTTATACACATATAAATGAATGAACTCTGAGAATGTCTTCTAGGCAGGCTGATTCAATGAAATTATTTTTGTCCTCACCCTTTCCCCTCCCGTTCTCCCCGTTCTCCTCCCGCAGGTGAGGCTGACGTTGGAGACGGCGCCTCAGGTCGGCGACGCTTCACCGGGCCGCAGGACGAAGGCGTCCTCTCCCCCGGTCAGCCAGCTGGTGCGTCTGCTGTGGGGAGAGGACACGGCGGAGCTTCAGATGTCCATCGGACACGTCCCGCACATTGCCATGTTCCTCTCTCTCAAACTGGACTCGGCATCGCCGCAGGAAGAGGTCAGTTTGTGTCTAAGATGAAGTCCAGGCTCACTGCTTTGCGTTTTTCTATTGCGCCTTAAGACCCACATAGTTTGAGCATAATAGTCGGCTGAAGATCAATGTTGTAGAACCCCACTTTGAGCTCTGGCGGTGGCACAAGTTGCATTAAAGTTGCATAAAAACTACCACAAAGGTCACATGTGACTGTAACTCTTTGGACATTATAAAGCTCTCCACCAGGGGTCTGCAGCACAGCCGTCTCTGTGGCGCAATTGGTTAGCGCGTTCGGCTGTTAACCGAAAGGTTGGTGGTTCGAGCCCACCCAGGGACGCACTGTTTTTTTTTTTTTTAAATAACAGAAGACGTCATGTTAATAAGTAACGTGGTGAAGTTACAAATAACCGTGGAAGTTTTGGAGAGAAAAGATCAGAGTTCCTCAGTGGGAACGGGCTGTTATTAAGGAGCAACGAGGAGGGACAGTTTGACGGCTTCTGGGAGTAGAAAACAAAACCTAAATCCTGTCATTAAATTGAAAATAAATAGATCTGACAGAAGAACCCGGAGCTAACGGCTGCCGCTGATACATAAACCCTGGACGACCACACGTTTTTTCCGTCCCCTTTGGAAAGACGGCGGGTCACAGTGAAACCTGAGCACCGCTCTGTGGTCAACAGCCCGCTGACTCCGAGCAGCCGGGAAAGAACTGTGCCCGAAGGCCTCAGCTGCACGGAGGAGTATTCTGTTAATTGAGTGTGAAGGATGACCCGAGGTGTGTAGGAAATCTCACGCCCGGAAGCTTCCACTGAATTCCTCCCGGCCACGTCGGGTCACTCAACTGCTGTGAAGTCTATTCTCTTCTTTTAGATTGAACCCACACGGCTGTCAGGAAACACTATTTCCTCATCTACTCTTTATGTTCACTTGTAAGTGTTGATCCCACAGTGTGTGTTTTTCTTGTAAACCTCACCGGTTTTCCGGCCCACACTTTTTCAGGCCTTTTAATTGCTGGCTGGCGGAACTGTGAGAAGTTGGTTTGAGTCTGAGCTGCGCGGTGGTTTTGTGATTGAAGACGTTTTTGTTCTTTTGTTGTGGTTGTCAAGGCTCCGAGGGCCCATTCATTAAGGCTCCTCAGCCCCCTCACCCACCACCTCTGACCCCCTTCCTGCCCAGGCGTCATCTAAAGTTCCTGAGGTGCTGGGAGGAATATTAATCTGAATCCGCTCTGCTGTCTCTCTGTAGTTTCTTCTTGGGATAATTACAACCACAATGTGGTTTTGCCGGAACCCCTTTTGAAAGCGTCTGCGGTTATTTCCTGCGAAAGCATGATTTAGAGGAGACGCATTTTGGTGATGCAGCTATTTCCCTATCAAGTGTACATTATTCGCATTTTCCTGTTGGCGGCTGTCACGACACCGTTAGGCACACGCTCACGTGCGGACGTGTGTTTGTGTCTGCAGGAGGAGATCTTGTACCAGTACCCGGCCTCCGAGGCGTCCGGACAGCTGAAAGGGGTGAGGGGCATCTTCCTCACGCTGTGTGACATGCTGGAGAACGTCACCGGGGGGCGGATCCTCAGGTAGGGGACGCACGGTACCATCGAAAGCTTTGCCATCCTTTTATAATGGCCTTTTGAATATATATCACCGTCTCCCATTCTTTTCTTTTTTTTAGTTCTTCTCTCCTTCTCGGGAAGCGGCTGGTTCACGTGGGCTACTGGAAGGAGGGCGGCTACCTGTTGGTCATCGGCCTCCCCGCGGACAGGTAGTGGGATCACACGACAGCTTTCTCGCTTTTAGCCACCAGGGTCAACGCGATCGACCGCCATTAAAAATAAACTGTCAAAGCCGAAGTTTGTTCACGCTTGCTTTTGGCATTTCCTCGTGTCCCTCCAGGGTTCCACTGCTGTACTTGCAGACGGTGGTGGGAGACGTAGTGCGCACACTGAAAGTGATGTACGGCTCCTTGGACAAGTGAGTCGGCCTTTTAAGCCTAAAGCGGCACGTGCGTAAAAAGGATGTTTCTCCAATTCATTCTTTTCTTCGTTTAACTCTCGTTCCGTGTCCTCGGCAGGGCGTTCCGTGACGAGGACCACGCTCCCAGGTTGGACCACTTTTTCTGCCTGTTCTTCCAGCAGCTCATCCAGCCGCTCCGCTTGAGGGACGGCGCCTCAGCGACCGCCGCCGATGTCTCGGGGACCCTTTTCCTCGACGGGCTGCCAGCGGTCCGATGGCTCACGCTGCCTCCGGAAATCAAGGTGCGTCAAATCAAAGAATATTGTTTAAAGAAGTGTTTATATTATTTATGGGAGAGGTGTTGTAGAGTAAACGCAGCAACGGCAGCTCGTCACGTCTCATTTTGTCCATCGTTTCCTCACCAGGTTGAATGGGATGTTGTCACAGATGCAGCTGTGCGCCCCCTAGTGTCCACTGTGGAGAACGACAATGCGTCACTCACACTGATTGTTGGCGCTATTTCATTAGTTTGATTACTTTGTTACCTGGTATTTCCTGTTGAGCCAAGAGATTGCAGGAGAAATGTTTTTGTGTGTGATCACTAGAATAAATCAACCCTGGACGAGTTATTAAATGAAGCATCAGAGGCCCTTTTTAATGCAAAATTAGTTTGGACAGTTATTCCTTTTGACAAATAGCCACTGCACTTATATTTTACTTTCTCTGTCCCCAGATGGAAGTGGAGACTGTGCTTTCTGATTTTGAGTCTTCTGATTTTGGTGAAATGGTAAGAAAATACCACTGTCACCTGGAGGGACATTTGTCTCAAAAACAAGATGTGTGATCTTGTTAATGTTGTCCTCTTCTTAGTCTTTTAATTTATCTTTTGTCCTTTAACAGTCTGAGGACTTTTTTGGCCTGAGGCGACTGTACCTGATTCTCGGCTCCTGTTTGTTCTACAAGGTAAGTCAATCAAGAGACACCAGCAGCTTTTTCATATTTATACTGCCCCCCACCTGTAATATACATGTACATGAACAAAGATGGATAATAATGAGTCCATTGAAAGGCACTGAAGCCAGACGGATGTTATGTCCGTAGGTTTATTTTTCTATTTGTTCTGCTGGCTGCAAAGCCCTCAGCTCCTTATTTACTGACCATTTGCCTACGTCATCCGCATGCCCACCCTCCAGTCCTACCTGATAGCCAACCATCTGCCCAAAGAGGACCTGCTGGACGTGTGCCTGTACTGCCAGCACTACTGCCTGCTGCCGCTGGCCTCTGAGCAGCGGGTGGGTCAGCTGGTCATCTGGAGGGAGGTGTTCCCCCAGCAGAGAGCCAACAGCAGCAGCACAACGCCCGGCTACAGCCTGCCTGAAGGACGTCACTTCCTCCTCATCGTTGGATTGGTAAGGAGGCAAAATCTCCTTGTCTTCTTTGCCCATCATCCATTCACAGTCTTGTTTTGTTGTATTTATTTGCACTTATTCCTTTATCTCTCCACCTCAGAGGCACTTCATGCAGTGTGTGCTGTTGGAGGCAGGTGGCTGTGCTTCACCAGCTCTGGGCTCTACAGGACCTGATTGTGTTTACGTGGATCAGGTGACCCCTGTCATACCATAGATGCATCTACTTGAACAAAACCACAACATCTTTGTCTTTTTTAAGTGATCCCTTTGGGGACTTCTTTAGCTAAAATCCCTAAAACGAGTCCCATTCATTCTCTATGGTAGTGCTAATCCACTACGGATGTAATATATCTTTGCCCACTAGTTGTGCTGCAGCCCTTTTACCAGTTTAATGTGATCTGGTTGAACGTCTTGACGTTAATTCCTAACGTGTACTGACATACATTATTGTCCTTCTCCCTTCCGCCTTTTGGATCTAGTTGTAGTTTACTAGTAGAAATCCTGACGTACCAGAATGTTCCGACTCTGGCAAAGAAAAGAAAAAAAGAAGGGAAAAAAAAGAACTCCCCGTCGGGGAATCGAACCCCGGTCTTCCGCGTGACAGGCGGAGATACTGTCCACTATACTAACGAGGAAGGCTGAAGGGTAAGGGAATAGCAGGGTATTTATTCAACAGCGTAAAACAGCTGCAACTAGTGGTCAAAGATGTATTACATCCGTAGTGGTTTAGCACTACCATAGAGAATGAATGGGAATCGTTTTAGGGATTTTAGCTAAGGAATCCTCAGGTGCCGCCAGCAGGCAATCGAGGTGGGATTCCCGGAGGAGGGAAATTTATTGGACGAGGAGCAGAAACAAAGCTAAAATCACGGGACAGTAGAAATAGGAAGAAAAACTGTCATTTATTTACTGTGAGATTTGACTACAAACTTCAGTTAGTGAATTCGATCGATTGCGTCTAGGGAGCAGACCCCACCCCCCGCCCCGAGGCCGGTCTACAGGCCGCCGGCCCTGCAGAAGAGAAGACGAGAAGCGGCCATTATACTATGAACTTTTAATGACTTTCTTTGACATGTTTTATCAGGACTGTATCGTCTGTAAATCCACTAGTATCCCGCTTCTAGACACCCTTCCTCGTTAGTATAGTGGACAGTATCTCCGCCTGTCACGCGGAAGACCGGGGTTCGATTCCCCGACGGGGAGTTCTTTTTTCTTCTTCTTTTCTTTGCCAGAGTCGGAACATTCTGATACATCAGCACTTCTACTATTGATCTACAACTAAATCCAAAAGGCGGAAGGAGAAGGACAATTTTGTATGTCAGTACACGTTAGGAATTGGTGACTGGCGACACCAGGGGATTCTTTAGCTAAAATCCCTAAACGGAATCCCATTCATTCTCTATGGTAGTGCTAAACCACTACGGATGTAATACATCGTTGGCCACTAGTTTGTGCTGTAGAGCCGTTTGGCTCGTCAAAGAGTTTCAGTCACACAGGAGGAGGATGACAGCACACGTCTCCTGTGCCGCTGTGTTAACTTTAGGTACAACAAAAGAGACAAATGTCATTAACTCAACCACGTATTTTCTATAGACCAGACAATGACGTCTCAGAGTACATTTTCAAATGAGCTTGTTTTATGTTTTAAATTTTTATGGGTGTCTAAATGTCCGCCTCAAATGTAAACTGCAACTTGACTGGTTGCTTGAGGCATACAACACACTACTTCCTATGTCTTGTGGTTTTAGTTTACCTTCTGCAAACAGAAAGCCCGTCAAGAAAATAACAATACGTCGATCACTCTGTCCTACATCCTGGGTCCAGGTGAAGGCCACACTGCTGCAGCTGGAGGTGTTGGAAGCGGGCATTGAGGAGCGTCTCAACGCTCCGCCTACCCCCTGCCTGTCCTGTGCCGACTGGTTCCTCCCTGCTGCCTCCTCCGCCTCCCCCGTCTTCAGCAAGCTAGCGGGGGCTGTTAAAGGCTCCTCGTCCTCCAGGTCCAGAGGCCGTAGCCTGTTTGGGGAGAAGGCCCGGAGGTCCAGCCCGCAGAGGAGCCTGGCTGACAGCGGGAGCGATGGACAGACGGACGCCGGGTCGGGATCGTTTTCGTCGACTGCTCCGGGCCTCAGTCCGCATTCCACCCCGGACTCGGCGAGGAAGCTGGGGGGGCGCCGGGACTCGTTGGGATCCGGGGGGTCCGATGGGAGTGGAGGCAGCGGAGGCCTCTTTAAGGTACACTTGCAGTCCATCATTGATTCTGATATTTAACGCAAGAATGCATCGCTGCAACGAGGGAGCGAATGGATGTGTTGTGTTTTGTCTCATGCTTCTTTCATACCTTGTTATCAGATCCCCCGAATGAAGCACCCAAACCCGTTCTACCTGGGCACCCTGAAGAAGACCCTGACTGAGAGGGAGGCGGAGGAGATGTACAACACCACAAAGTGAGTGGTGGTGAAATGCAGCATTTTCTCTCCCCCTAATTGTGTTTGCGCTGAATGTTGCTAGAAGTAAAGCTACATTTTGTTATTGTGACAGATTGACCTCGGGCGCAGAGAACACCTTGTTCCATTACGTCTTGATGGAAACCGTTCAGGGGATCTTCATCGCTCCGACCCACAGGGAGGTGGCTCAGCTCAGCGGCTCCATCCACCCACAGCTCATCCGTAACTTCCACCACTGCTGCCTCTCCATACGGGCTGCATTCCAGCAGAGCCTGCCTGCCAAGGTGAGTCAGAGTTCTCTGCTTAGAGACTGTAGCTCATCCCTCGTCTCACCTTGGTTAATGGCTTGAGTGTAAATAAGAGGTGTTGAACTGACAAAGCTTCTGTGAGTCTGTGTAGTTGTAACTATCAATTATTTATTAGGTATATCAGCCATGTGGAACTTTAAAGTAAATTCTTAATGTATGTGGTAACACACCAATTGTATATTATTTCTCCTGAAAAAGGCAACAATATAGTATTTTTGCCTTGTGGATTTAGCTGTAGTTTAATAGTAGAAATGGTGATGTTAAAGTCAATACCAGATTGTACTACTTGAACAAAACCACAACTTCTTTGTCTTTTTTAAGTGATCCCCTTTGGGGACTAAAATCTCAAACGATTCCCATTTATTATCTATGGTAGTGTTAATCCACTTCTCCTTGCGCCTTCTGGATTTAGTTGTAGTTTACTAGTAGAAGTGCTGACGTACCAGAATGTTCCGACCCGAAGAAGAAAAGAAAAAAAAAACAACTCCCCGTCGGGGAATCGAACCCCGGTCTTCCGCGTGACAGGCGGAGATACTGTCCACTATACTAACGAGGAAGGATGTCTACAAGCGGCATACTAGGCTATTTAGAGGCGATACATACGAGTACTTCTCGGGAATGTTTAGCTAAACTCCCTAAACGGAATCCCATTTATTCTCTATGGTAGTGCTAAATCACTACGGATGTAATATATCTTTGACCACAGCGCTGTGGTGCAGACACAACATGTAGCAGCCCATCCAATCGGGAATTTCTTTAGTTAAACTCCCTAAACCGAGTCCCATTCAATCTCTATGGTAGTGCTAATCCAGTACGGATGTAATATATCTTTGACCACTAGTTGCGCTATGGAGCCGTTTACAAGTTAGATATGATGAGAGGTTAAACGTCGTAAATTCTTTTCCTTGCCAAATGCAACGACATAGTATTTGTTTTACCTTGTGGATTTAGTTGTAGATCAATAGTAGTGTGCTGAAGTAGAAGTGCTGATGTATCAGAATGTCCCGACTCTGGCAAAGAAAAGAAGAAAAAAAGAACTCCCCGTCGGGGAATCGAACCCCGGTCTTCCGCGTGACAGGCGGAGATACTGTCCACTATACTAACGAGGAAGGGTGTCTAGAAGCGGGATACTAGTGGATTTACAGACGATACAGTCCTGATAAAACATGTCAAAGAAAGTCATTAAAAGTTCATAGTATAATGGCCGCTTCTCGTCTTCTCTTCTGCAGGGCCGGCGGCCTGTAGACCGGCCTCGGGGCGGGGGGTGGGGTCTGGGTCCCGTGAAGGAACAGGGGGTCCTGTTTCAGTGTAAACCCGAAAACTGGACCGACCAGAGGAAGCCCGCTCCCACCATGACTTACTGGGTCATAGGGTACGCAAACTTTCCCTATTTTGATACACACAAACCCTATTACTCCTTTTAAAAACTGGTTTTATTGCTGGGGAGGGATTCAAGTCAAAGCCCTTCTATCCTCGTGTGCCCATCTTGTAGGCGGATGCTGCTGGAGCCCGTCCCTCAGGAGTTCTACGTGTGTTTTCATGACTCGGTGGCAGAAGTTCCTGTGGAGATGGCCTTCAGACTCTCTTTTGGCCTGGCCTTGTGACCTCAACATCCAAGACTCTCCGACTCCCCAACATTTCCTGTTACACCTGTACACCGAAGGCCCGTCTTGGAAAGAACCCTGATCACAGCAGAGTTTGACCACTGGTGACCAAAGAGGCTTTGAGTCGAGGAAAAGCCTCTTCTGCTGAGAGCAAGTTAGCGGCTGTAAACTTTACCATGCTCAACCAATTAACTGGTTGATAACTAAGCTGTTGCACGAGTCTCTGTGGAAACGGGACGATTAAGGTTTGTTTGCTGTGTTGGAAAGCCTTTCCAGTTGTTAATTTAACATGTACAGTTTGTATGGAGTCATTTCTCGAAGAAGATTAAAGAATGAATTCGGTTTCTGTTTTATTCTTTTACAACCTCCTAAACATAATTGTACATTATCAACAAAGTAATCAATGGTAGTGGAAATAATGTTGTTTTTTCCATATGTAACAAAAATATTTATGTAGTCTTCAACAAACTGGAAATCATAACATTATCTTTGTTGCTACACTTTTTAATTCTTATTTTTATAATGTACATAATTGAATTTGAAAATCCTTATTAATGACACAGCACATGAAAAATCCACATATTCAGTCCAAAAACAAAAAAGACAAATGTCCGGTTGCATTGGGCCACAGAAGCGCCTGCGTCGGGCTAATGTCCGTCCCTTTCCACGCCTATGCGGCGCTCTGAGCGAGCAGCAGGTTGGCCTGGTAGCACCGGAGGCTGCAGAGAGGAACCCCGGTCTTTGAGCACGAGTACTTCTTGCGGTTGGTGCAGCCGTGGACCCCGCAGCTCGCCGGGGCCGCCGGCGGAGGACGGGGAGGCGCCGGCGTGTGCGCGGTGACCCCGGCGGGGAAGGAGACGGCCATGCCCAGGGCGCAGTCGCTGTACCGGATCATGGGACACTGGTTCTGCTTGGACTTCCTCTCCCTCATGCTCTTGATCTTGGCCTTGCTGGTTTTCGTCAGCCTCTCGATCGTCTGGTTCTTGCTGTCTTCCGCCTTCTTGGCCGCCTGCAGGCGTCTCTTCCGGGCTCGCTCCTCGCGCTTCTGCATCATCTCCACCGTCATCTCCTTCTCCTTGTAGCCCATGGGGAGCTCCAGGAGAGGCTGGCTCTGCTGCTTGTGTAACAGGGCTTTCTGGACACACACAAATAGACATGATTGTAGCAACATCGCCAATTTCTTTTTAATCAATGGGGCACTACAGTACATTCTCCCTCACCTGTCTGGCTGTGAGCAGAGACTCGTCCACCTCCTTCTTCAGCTCCCCGTTGTCGTCGAGCTCTCCCTTCTCCAGGGCGTCCAGCCACCTCTCCTCCTCGTCCACCGGCACGCCGAGCATGGAGTCGGAGTCTATGTCTGGCACAGGGCATGTGGCCAGGTTACTGTCTTCATCTGACACAGAACAAACACCAATTTATTGTTCAACTAGGGCCGTGTCACGGGGGATTTGAATCCAGGAGAACAAATGTATCCATCGAGACTTCTGTGGGTGTCGTCTTATAATTACGTACAGCTTTGTTAAAGCCGTCCATATATTTTAACCTAACTTATGTTTTCGTTAATGCCATACATTGTAGTTGGTTACATTTAAAAACATCTCTTTTGTAACTTCTTGGCAATGAAAATGTGTCAATTTGACCGTTTTAAATTTTACTTTCTTATATTTAGACATAAAATTATAGTGTTTTAACTGTAAAGCATTTACTTCATCTAGAGTTAATTTAAGAGCAACAATTACAGAAGTAGTTTTTGGAAATCACTGCAGTGTGTAACTCTTCAGAACTATTGCACACTAATTTGGATACACAAATCATTTTCGGTGGCACGTTTAGTTTTCTTTCAGCGTAACAGCTTGCAATCTATGCATTAAATAATAGTTTAATCAAAAACAAAAAACTGATCCAACTTGAATACCAGAAAAAAACGTTTCATAAAGCTCCAGTCTAAAGTATCTTCTTATTAAATTATTGCATGCTTACCCAGCCAGGCCCGATATTGCTCCAAAGGCACAGACGGCTCATCGTCGTCGTCATCATCATCATCATCGCCGTCCTCGTCATCATCATCATCATCATCGTTGTCGTCATTATTATTGATAATCATCAAGGGAGTGGGAGGACAAGCCACACCGGGGTGCACGGTGAAGGTGGGAACACTGTTTTACGGACAGGAAACAGAAGCTCTGTGACTGATTGGGTCTTGGTGAAGACGAGCACCGTCAACGCCCTCCCCCCCAAAACCACACCGATCGCTCTCCTCATCCCGCCTCACCTTTTGGTCCCCAGCGTCTGTCCTCCCAGCTTGATCTTGAGGCGGAGCTGCGGGGGAGGACGAGGAACCGCGACGGGCTCCGGGGCCTCTGTGAAGCTGTGATGCTTCCTCTTGTGTTTCTTGTGCTTCTTGTGTTTCCGTTTGTGCACGCTGTGCACGCTGTGCACGCTGGAGCAGCCTTCGCCTGCAGAGGGGGAGGCCACAGATGAATGCAATAAACATGTATAAACTAGCAGATAACGGCGGCTTTTAGAGGGTTTTCCCATTTCCTACAAATGCCTCCGTTGATCGAGAAGATTTACATGCAGACTTCTGATCTTGCACAGTACATTTTGTCCATTTCTCAGAAGTGGTGTTTACAAATGTAAAAATTGTAAAATAAAAGGAATGTGCTGCGAGAACCGGGCAGTGGTAGAAGATAATACGCTCCCAGGAGGAGTCTACTATGTTAGTGTTGAGAATAACTGCCCACTTTCACAACACTGCTCTCCAAAACGGGCATAAAGTGTAACCAACATCTTTCATGGAGATTTGTGTTCATGACGAGGCTGTTAGTAATGTGTCACTTTGAATAGCAAGTGAGTGCACACGTAAACATAAATGGAGCTTAATTGCGCCGTTGTAACGTATGAATGTTATACACTTAATGTCGTATGCTTACCGAGAAACCTGGGGTGAATCATGTCTTTCCTTTTCCCCATTGGAACGACGACGAGGATGTAAAAGCCAAGAACAGGAGCGTCGGTCTGCGGCTTCACATCTCAACGTGTTTTCACCGGCTCGTCTCTGCAGAGGAGAGACACACACCTGTTAATGCAGCATTGATAAAAAGGGAAACACTTGAAGTGAATGTTAATTCGCTGTATCCGTCATGTTAGCGAAGCCATACACGAATATAAACAGAGCAATGCTTACAATATATTTAGTAAGTGATTTAACGCCAGGCCAACGGTTGTTTAGAACAGGCCCGTTAGCTTCACGTTACCTTATTTAGCCGAGAAGGCGTTCACATTCTCCATCACGCATCCTGAACAAAACTGCCATCCAGGAAAAACATTCAAGTTACCAATTCAAATAGAAAATACCCGATACGGGGTACAAAACTGAGGCAATTTGGAATGTAACTGATTTAAAATTAAGCTAGCTCGACTGAGCCATGATAAAAACACGGAAGTTTATTTACGTCATTTCCGGTCAGTCTGAGCCCTCGCGTTCGTTGGACCGCCCTCTATGGGAGAGACAATTAAAATAACCAACGGCTTCCGCTTCTCAATGTTAACGTTTACCACCTTATATTGATGTATCGAAATAGTTACGTGACATCAATTTCAACAACAAGACGACAAACATGTCACCAGAGTAGTGGAACCGCAAACTGTGAGTGTGTGCGTGTTTTGTAGACCTCTTGGGTAATGTAGTTCGCGTTACGAACACCGCACATGAAGACCGTCGACGTCTTGCGGTTCAAGGAGTACGTTACCCAGAAGCCACCGGGGCGCTTCAGCTGAGACACGCAAGGTCAGTTACGAAGCTGAACGTGGTCGAGTTAAACCCGTTATGACTTATTTATACTTCTTGTTAACCTGCTCGTTGTAGTCTGCTCAGCTTCTCGTACATTATTCCCAGCTGGTCGGATTCCGTCAAATTTAGCGGTTACAGTTGAGTAGTTTACGGCAAGCACGCTGAATGTGGGCAACTAAGTCGTCACACAAGTTCCATTTTTATAAACTGCAACCTTTTCATACGATAGCAAAAAAAATCCAATATATTCATTATCATGTACGGGTAAATTATCATGATTTTATTACTTCACAGGAATCATGAATTACGCTCGGTTCCTCACCGCTGTGAGCGCAGCTAGGAAGCCTTCCCCCATCCGGATGCTGAGTAAGTGTTCATCTCCTGGAATACAGATGCTGACACAGGGAACCTCCTCAAAATCATACCGTAAACACCTGGAGGTCGTGCTTCTCATGTCAATTAATGCAAAGCTTTAGTGACGCATGTCAATGTCTCCGTGCATTTAATCAACGTCACCTCGTGCTGGAACACGAACACGGTTCGTAACTATTATTTGATCTCTCCATCTCCGAAGCCGAGCTGCAGCAGCGGTCGCCCGCGTCCCTGATCTCTTTGGCCGGCGGAGCGCCCAACCCCGACACCTTCCCCTTCCGGTCGGCGTCCATCGAGGTGAAGAACGGGCCGACGCTCACCTTCGACGAGGCCACGATGAAGAGGGCCCTGCAGTACTCTGCCTCCAATGGGTGAGGCAGACGAGGCGTCATTCGCAATCGGCCACCATCGCCCCACCTGGAGATTCCAGTGGTTTTGACGGTTGAGTGAGCGGTGATGCCGGATAGTTCGGGCCCTCTAGAGAATAAGATGCTGACCGTGAAACCCCAACGTCTCTGTTTAGAATCCAGCCCACCGTCCCAAAAATAACTTCTGATGCCTCTCAAAACACTGCAACTGAAAATAGCAAATAGGGAAATGTACAGTATTTTTATATAAATAGTTTTTTGTGCCGTTCCTACGTAGGATACCTGAGCTGCTGACGTGGATGAAGAGCCTGCAGAAGGACCTCCACAAGCCGCCGATGGAGATGGACATGTGTGTGACCACGGGGAGCCAGGAAGGCCTCTGCAAGGTACCGGCGCCGCCCGTTACTGTAGCCAGGCATCCTGCAAAGACATTATGTTCCAATACATTCTTACTCGTGTACCAGCTTGGCCTGTGATGAGATTCTTTTTTTGTGCGTTATAGGTGTTTGAGATGCTGGTCAACCCCGGGGACAACGTCCTGCTGGACGCACCCACGTATTCGGGCACACTGGCAGCGGTGAGAGCGCTTTCTTTCCAACAACAACAACAACAACAATCCTGCGCAACGCGGTAACTGGAGCCGCCGTGACCCTCCGACCTTCTGCCTTCCTCTGCAGCTTCAGCCGCTCGGCTGCAACCTGATCAACGTCCCCAGCGACCAGCACGGCATGATACCCGCCGCGCTGAAGGAGGTTTTGTCTCGCTGGGACCCGTCAGAGGTCCACAAGCCCGGCAGCACCGCCCCCAAGGTCCTCTACACCATCCCCAACGGAGGAAACCCCACTGGTGCCTCCATGACCACTCAGAGGAAGCAGGAAGTGTACGAGGTTTGTTTCCCCTCATCCTGCAGGAGTCACGACACAAATACTCAGTCCGTCCTAAACAGGACTGCATATGGTCTCCGAATGGCTCTTTTCTCGGGCTTATTAATGCAGTCGGTGAAGGTCCGACTGCATTAATAAGCCTGTTATGAGGTTCATACTTTCTACTAAAGACCTCCCATCTGTTTAAATAGCTGGCCAGGCAGTACGACATGCTCATCATCGAGGACGACCCGTACTACTTCCTGCAGTTTGACAAGGTTTGTCAAAGAAAAGGTGAAATGGTTCCTTGGTCTCATTGCTTCATAGGCTGCCCTTTGGAACAGTGCAAACGCGCTGGTTATTCTTTCATTCATGTTTGTCATTCATCTGCAGCCGTGGTCTCCCACGTTCCTCTCCATGGACGTGGACGGGAGGATCATCAGGACCGACTCCTTCTCCAAGATCCTGTCCTCAGGGTGAGTGTGTATGTGTGTGTCCTTCCCCATCATTTAACGTGCTGCTGTAATTCCCCACATTAGCCCTGGTTGACCTCGCGTGTCTTTGGCGGTCGGCCCGCGCGTCTCCCTCTGTCCCAGGCTGCGGATTGGCTTCGTTACGGGTCCCAAGCCGCTGGTGGACCGGGTGGTGCTGCACATCCAGGCCTCCACGATGCACACGAGTACCTTCACGCAGGTGAATCAAACATTAGCTTCGCAGCCCCGGTGCTCAGTCCACACATTGCATGACTGATGAACGGTACTGATGATCCTTTGATGAACATGAGCACGGAAACTGCAGATCGAGCCAGACAGTCGCATTACAGCGCCAGTTGGCACACATCAGGGCGCTGTGCAGCATGTGTAGTCTACCCACGTATCCGGTTTCGGTTCCCCTCCCCTCGGGCACAAGGGATAGCAATTTTCCCCCCCGCCAGGGGGGGGGGGGGGGGGCGCGTCGTCACGCTGCAGCCTGCGTCTGGATCAGCAGCAGCTGCAGAGGAGTCGAAGGAGATTCATTAGGATCTGCTTTGATTCGGTCCTCGACTCTGCTTTCCTAGTCTAATCTGGACTAAACGTTGGCAATAACGCACAAAGATTCTAAATGGGACACATGTCCGCCGGGGAAAAAACCCAACATTTCTAGGCCGCGTTGACAAAGAACAGGTGCGCTGTGCTCGTAGGAGCACTTTGGTTTCCGGGCCCTTCTCACACGTTACGTTCTGCCTCCTTTCAGCTCATGGTGTCCCAGTTGTTGCACAGCTGGGGCCAAGAGGGCTTCCTCCAGCACATCGACCGGTACGTCGCACACCCAAGTGTTGAAGAAAGCAAAAAAACAAGGCAGCCATTGTTTGTGTTTCCTCTCACAGGGTGATTGAGTTTTACAGGAAACAACGCGATGCCATGATCAGCTCTGCCGACAAGTGGCTCAGAGGTCAGTGAGAGACGGGCATGTACGCACACATTCTGATCGGCTCTCTGGATTTGAAAACAGTGTCAACGTTCCTTCTGGAAAAACTCCCCTGTTGTCTGTTTACAAGTGAACTCAACGGGGTGAAACCGAATTCTGTACCAAGCGAGACGCATAAAAGACAGAGCTTGTTTAGTTTTTGTGTCGTCTGCTTTTGTTTTTCATTCGGCACAGTACACCTAGCGCCCGTTTGACGAACTACACGGCACGGCATTTCCCACTGCATTGTGTGAAAGGTTCAACTGCCTCGACACTCCGCATGTAATTCAAGCGACAAGAATTGTTTTAGATGGACTGACGAAAGCGACAAACGAGGAGAAATCCTGATATGAGTCGGAAAGCAAACACGCGTGCTTTTCCCTTTTCCCCCTCTGCTCCCGTGTGCTCCGTGTGTTAGATGTGGCAGAGTGGCACACCCCGTCGGCCGGCATGTTCCTGTGGATCAAAGTGAAGGGCGTAGCCGACACCCAGCAGCTGATTATGCAGAAAGCCCTGGAGAAGGAGGTCAGCGCACAATGTGTTCCTGTTGTGTTTCTGTCTAACCCCTCACATATTAATCTCCTCTCGACTGAAGGTCGACTGAAGGTGCTCTTTTTATGCAAAAAGCAGGTACCCAGAATGCATTTCTGTGTCTCTCTGGTTGCGAGCAGATGTTTTGGCACCAGGCCGGTTTCGTGTCTGGACAGAGTGTAGGGTGGGGAATTTAAAGTGGCTATTGCGTGCACACACACACACATTTGTAAATCCCTGCTAGCAGATATACGATTAGCTGAGTAATAAACAAGAGTGGGTGCAATCAGGCTTTTCCAAGGTTTTGCACACTTCCCTCCACACAGCAGGTAGTGAAGACTCCCAGTCTCCCTCTTCTGTGCCGACAAAGCAGCACTTGAGATTAGAAGAGAGTCTTTGTGTTTTATCTTTGCCGTGATTCAATCTGTAATGATTGCGGGTCTGTCTCCGTTGTAGGCGTTGGGACGAGACACGAGAACGGGGATTTTGGATAAGAAATTAGAAGAGTGATGCCGATCTCGTATTTGTCGGTTACATATAAAGCCACAGCCAGCAAGTGGGTTAGCGTAGCTTAGCACAAAGCCATGCTCCGAAACGCAGGATAAAAATGTATTCACTTAGACAATAGGCAATCGAATGGATGGTTTATGTGGGACTATTTTCAAACATTTCTTTAATTATAACAGAACTGATTGTCTTGTTTGTCTTGTCGGTGCGTGAAGAGATCAGCTGTGCAAATGTACTGAGACGGCGCGCGCGTGTGTGTGTGTGTGTGTGTGTGTGTGTGCTAAAAGGTGCTGCTGGTCCCTGGAGGCGTCTTCATGATCAACAGTAGTGAGCCCTGTCCTTACGTCAGAGCGGCCTTCTCTCTCTCCACACCAGAGCAGATTGATGAGGTAGGTGCACACACACACACACACACACACACATGGTCACACACGCACACATATATACACTCACATGCTCTATTATGACTCTAATCTCTCACAATCATTTCAACAGGCTTTCAGAAGACTCTCTTCTCTCATCAAAGAGGCTTTATGATCAAACATCTGATTATTATTATTGAGGTTGTATTTTTAAATACTAAAGTTTGAATGTATTTGGATACTGTGTGACACAGTGAAGAGGAGAAGCTCAGAACGTATGTACTGTACTTAGTGCTGATTATTGAACCATTTGTAGCAGTGAGTTGCACTACACAGGGAGGATGTATTTATGTTTCACATGTACAAAAAAGTAAACTACTTTTTTTTAAATCATATTGTCTTTTGTGTTTTTGTGACTGCTGCTTGACTGGAACCATTTAAATGTTTTAATCACAGATAGAACAAATAACTTATAACAATAACTGATCTTATCGGTGACTGAGAGATTTCCTCTGAATTAGACCACATAGATTTAAGCTCGCAGATTCAACAATAACTGGAACTTTCTACAGTTATCCTGATCATCGTCATGAGTTCTTCCTGCACTAAACCATCGCTTATCTGGGATTTTGGGTCAAAACTAACTTATCGTGAGACGGAGACGAGGTTGGTTTCACAATAAAGTTGTTCTTAAATGGACAAATGTCTCCTTTCTTTAAGCCCATTTGAAGGAGTACTTTGGCTTTTGCCCTTTTTGTATGTCTAAAGTATATAACAAGTGGTGCCTTACCTGGAAGTAAAGATTTAGGCTGCTGATAATCGGGGTAAATAATAATCCAGACAGTTTCTTTGGTAACAGCAGATGAAAGAAGCGCATTGGTGTGTTTAGGATCAAACCTTGTTGACCCAACATTGACTGGAGACCTGGTGATGGACCCTCTTTGTTTCTGCAGAAGAACACCGGCGTGTTTGGCGACAGTGAAGTGTAACTACCTGCTGACAACAATAGGCTCCGTGTGTGTGTGTGTGTGTGTTGGCGGCGGGGGGCTGCTTCCTTTTCCTTTGTGCGTGCTGATACGAGGCCCTTTTGTAAGCAGAGTGACCGAGCTCTCAGAAGTGTTTGTGTAGAGCTTGAGCGTTCATCCGTAAAGGATAACTGGGTCAGAGGGGTTGCTTATAAAAAGCAACAAAAAAAAACACGTATGCGCTGTGAAGAGAGGTTTTAAAATCCTGAAGACTTGGGGTCTGCTAAGAGAAATGAAGTAAAAAGTGCAGAAAAAGAAAACATTTCTCACAAAATCCTAAGTTTGATAGACATACAGAGGGGATTGTTTGTGTGTTTATCAGCAGACGGAGCTTTGTTGACTTATTCATTGACTGTTTGCCCGGCCCTTGTACAGAGTGTGTGTTTCAGACTCAGGCTTCAAGGTCAGTGAGCTAAACCGTGGCACACAAACAAACCGCCCAGATGACCCTGACCCGGCCGTCATTACGAGGGAAATGGATAGTCACCTGTCAGTATGCGTCCGAAAGCAGCGGCGCACCGAGGCCTCTACCAGCTGCACCACAGACTACAACGCACTTTACCTCGGCGTGAGTGGAGACCCAAGTGCGTCGGCCTCTCCGGCGGTCGGTTGGCACGCTGGGAAGCGGTCCAGGTCCTGCTGCGGCGGCGCTCTCTGAGGGAGCCTCGAGGGCCCCGGGCTGCACAAACACGCAACATGAATACAGATGGGTTACAAATTCAGTTGCACAACTACAGGAAATGCCAAATCTTTGTAATGGCTGTTGCGGATTATGCCCAGAATCTGTCTCATGACTACTTCAAAGCTGCACTTATCAATTACAAGTGGATCAGATGACCAAAGAGTTGGTGTGACAGGGGTTGCTCATTGCAACAATTCCACTGGAAACAATCGCCCAACTGTCCGCCTCTCCTCAGCTTTATGGAGGATCTTTGGTAGAAGACAGATACGCCTACAGAACTTAGCTACGGTAATATTGAATTATTTTTTTAAATGTGTATGTACTTTGCTGAAAACGAGTGGGGACAAGTTGCCGTCTCTATTCAGTGCTTTATTCACGTCAAGAATGTCCAACAGCTGCTTTAACCACCTGTGTTTTTCTCTTCACTCCCATCCAAACGCCCCTCGGGGTGAACCACTTATTTGCACCTTTAACTGCATCATAGTGTAACGGGCCTACGCGTTCACGTTGCTGTCGCACTTGTCGCAATGCAACCCGAGCAACTGGGCGACGTTGCCTCCGGGGTTGCCGCTCGGTTCCGTTCCGGAGGGGGGGAAGAGGGGAGGAGGGGGGAGCGTGGGGGAGGATGGAGATGCGGCGCAAGCGCTAAAGACGGATAGTCTCCGGTGTTCTCCTGCTAGAAACGTCCACGGCGACGGAGGGACGATGTAGGTGAGAAACCGTTAATCCGCCGGGTCGGTGGCGTTTGAGGTTTTTTTTTTTAGTCGCTTTCAGCAGTCGGCGTCCATTGTTTTGAGCCTTTGACGTCGACGTCTGAGCCCGCTGGACCGCGGCGGCTCGCGGAGGAACGTTACTGCGTTTAACGGGATTAATTTTTTTTTTTATAGCTCTCTGCCGATGATTCGGGCTGTTATCGGACATCTGTATTCACCTGTAGCCATAACGGGTAAAAGTCTTTGCTCTTGTATTTGCTAGCTTAAATGTTTCAAGGGCCGCCTCCGTTCCAGAAGCCTCCCGTGATGTAAAACCAGCAGTCCAGCAAATAGCCGTGTCCCACGCCCTTCCTTTTTTGTGATGTCTGGCGATCAAACGTCTTAGACGGGCGTCGAAATAAACCGTTCTCGCGCTCAACGGCCCGCATTTGACCAATACGACGAACGAGTCGTTGCCATTTGCATCAAATAGCCGACGACGTTCCTTCTATGGGATCTGGCTACGTCTGTGCAACGAAACGAGGGAGGAATTAGACGGCACCGCCGCGGCGCTCCGTTATGTTGCAGTGTGGCTCTGACGTTCGTCGAGCTAATGGCTGCCGTTGTCCAACACAGGAGGCTACTAACGTTACAGATGGTCTACCGCGTCGTCATCGAGAGTTATTGATCGTTAGATATGTGTTATTATGGATGTATAGATATGTGTCATTATGGATGTATAGATATGTGTCATTATGGATGTATAGATATGTGTTATTATGCATATATAGATGTGTGTTATTATAGCCTCAGGTGACGTTAACCTCTGTTAGCTGTGCGCGCGCATTGTCGACGTCCCACTCCACCAAAACATGCTACATCTGTTATTGTTATTGTTAACGTTATCCAAACGTAAACGAACGTGATCTTTTAGCTGATGAAATAGAAAAGGCTATTTGAGGACGAGGAGTTTGTGCGCTGACTGTGACGTAGGCGATTCTGAGCAGCTTGTTAGTAACTAAGTCAGCCATCAAAGATGATGCAATAACTCGCACTCTTCCCTCTGTGTTCATATGATTGCAAGCTGAATATCTTTGTATTCGGTACTTTAAATTGGGCTGTTAACCGCTCAGCTGTTAATTGGTTATTACTGATGATAAGGCACAATCCCGCCCCCTTATCGTAACTCCTCCTTATCGGTTCCGGCTGCTGAGCATCGATTGAACAGGTTGTTTTGTCATCCTGGATTAACACAAGGCCCCCTTCTCCTGATCTAGTGAGATGTTTCAAGCCGCCGAGCTGATTACCAAACTGCCTTCTGCCATCGAGAGATAGCCGGTCTGCCCGGATGGATCCCCAGGAGGAATGACAGCGTCTCCTTCCCCTCGGACGACACACAAAATGCACCGGGCCGGCGGATCCGTTTTGCTGGTCCTGGCGTCCCTCGTCGCCTCTCACGCCACCGGCGCCTTCTCGGGGGACGCCGACGGGAACCGCACGGAAAGCGGCAACGCCACCGAGGCCGGCTTCGTCCCGGTCGTGTTCACTAAGGTGAAGCAGATAATTGCCCGGGAGGGGAGCTGCGCCGTGATCGACTGCAACGTCACCGGAGAGCCGTTCCCCAGTGTTCAGTGGTTCAACTCCCATGGAGAGCGTCTGGACACGGAGATGAACGGTGAGACAAGATCGCACATTTCCTTTGCACCTGGTTTCCCCTTTGCTGCTGGCACGGCGCCGCCGCAGCCCGGGTGTCGATTTCGTTAGCAGCAAACGCAAGGAGAAAGTCGGGTTTATGATCGGCTGTTAGTGAGGCCTCCGAGAGTTACCAATTAGACATTTAGTTAGTCAGTAGTCGGTACGCGCTAACGTGCGCTACGGTCGGTTTACATCAGCCAGCAGAGTCGCCGGGGTTTTAAGTAAACGACCACTGAAGGAAACTGATATAAGAAACCTCCCGATGTTGTTGTTGTTCACAGCTCAGTGTGGATTAATATTCTGTATTTCAAAACTTCGCCAGGGGGCAATTTCAAGATACGGGTGCACGATATAAAAATAGCCACACGTCCATCTTATTCCCTCCTAAAACTTGCTTTGGCCTGCTGCCTTGCTCCGGGACATTTACATGCGTCATAGATGGAGCCAAGAGTGTTGTGTTGCACAAATGAACCCCCGGCAGTCATCGTAAGGCCTGAAGATCATTTAGAAACTGTCAATGATTAAGATAACCAGTGAATCAAACTGGCGTGCGTGTGAGCTCACACGGAAAACGGTACTTGCAGCTGCTCCGATGCTCCTCGTATGCCACCGATGTGTTTACACAGAGGACCAATCAATAAGTGTCCAAGTGTCACGCGTCTCTTTGCCGGAGAAAAGCGGAAACGTTTACATGTTGGAGCTACAGTCGGAGAACAGGAAATGTCAGCTCCTGGTCGAGTCTCTTCACAGTCATGGTGCCGGGTTATGAGAGCAGCTCAGAGCTTATAAACACCTTCTGTTTCAGTGGAAAGAGAGAGAGAGAGACAGCAGTGATTATTTTATCACTGGGTTATTACCAATTAAATCAAGCAGGTTTTTTACTGCCGGGCCTCCTCCGCTCGCGCTTTGAATATCTCGTGATCGGTTGCTCGGATGCTTTCCAGCACCGGGCCTGTTGAAGCCTGCCGCCCTAGAGGAGAGGCAGCGTTGTCAGTTACGGGCCCACGGACCCGGAGAGCGGCGTCGGCACCACCACGCAGTCAGGGAGGGGCTGACTTTCACCACTTCCCTCAGCAAGGATCAGTTAGCGACCCGCAGATGTCCGTCTCTGACTCTTGGCTAAAGTATTAAGCAGCACATCAATCACATCACGTGATCCGGTGGCACGGCTAAAATTAGAAAACTCGCTCTCAAATAAAAAAGGCGGATGGGCGGGACGCCCCCCAGTGGATACAGGAATGGGAAGGACATTGTTGTAGCAGTAATAGAACATGTTGTTTTGGTCTCTAACAGACTTTCCTCATTATAGCCAGCGGCCGTTAAGTCATTTCAAGTACCAGCTCCTCCGAGGCTCATTAAATGAGCATTTATTTCAGTTTGTTTATTCTGCTCTCTATGCTAAGCTAGGCTAACTGCCTGCCCCCTTCAGCTTTATATTTAACAGACTGACGTGAGCTCGACCTCAATCTTCTTATCTAACCCCACCCCCCCCCTCTCCCTCCTTCACCAGCAGAAAGCAACTAAGCCTGTTTCCAAAAATGTGTAAGCGTTCATCAGAACTGCACGAAGGCGGTCACATCACCTCGTAGCTCGATCGGTTTAGCAGTCAGATAACGACCTCGTCGCTTTGATAAGAGCTGATAACCAAAGCAAACAGTGAAGTGCTCTCCAAACATACCGCAGTCAGTGTGCAAACACATGCGCTTATAAACTGAACACACACACACACACACACACACACACACACACACATACTGGAACAATTGAAAACAAGACAATTTTTAAACAGACGCTATCAAAACCCTCACTTAAGTTTTGACTGACAAGCTGCCCGTTTTACATTTGCTAAAATTTCTTTTTGTAACAGCCTAAGTAACATTTGTTGAAATTGTGACACTGGACTTGATGTTGTGACGCTCGTTTAGCTCAACCACCCTGACCCATGTGAACAGATTGTTCTTGTTCTGATTAATCAAACCTCAGCACACAGAGCAGCCACCTCTTTAAATATTGAAGGCCCGGCTGGAATAATAAGGTCACACTCTGGTTCCTCTTCTAAAAGCGCACCGTCAGCTGCAAAAACAGCGCCGGGGGAGAGTTTACTGTCGAGTCACACGGCAGAGCAACGGGTGCATTGAGAGGATTTTCAGGGTTTAAACTTTCATTGCTTTAAGTACTTTAAGTATTTGTACCACTTGATCACGCCGGTTTTGAGAGTTGGTTTGGTGCTTTATTTGTTTACTCACCACCTCCCTCCCGTCTCTCCTCTGCAGGGGAGAAGTGGTGGCTGCTGGACACCGGTGTCCTCAACATCACAGGCATTGAGTTCGCCGACCGCGGGAAGTACACGTGCATGGCGTCCAACGCGCACGGCAGTTCCAACTGCACGGTGACGCTGCGCGTGGTCATCACCAAAGGCGACATGGGCGTTTACTACATGGTGGTCTGCCTGGTCACCTTCACCATCATCATGGTGCTGAACGTCACGCGCCTCTGCATGATGAGCAGCCACCTAAAGAAGACGGAGAAGGCCATCAACGAGTTCTTCCGCACCGAGGGCGCCGAGAAGCTGCAGAAGGCGTTCGAGATCGCCAAACGCATCCCCATCATCACCTCGGCCAAGACGCTGGAGCTCGCCAAGGTGACGCAGTTCAAGACCATGGAGTTTGCGCGGTACATCGAGGAGCTGGCGCGCAGCATCCCGCTGCCGCCGCTCATCATGAACTGCCGCACCTTCATGGAGGAGATCCTGGAGGTGGTGGGGGTGGAGGAGATGAGGCACACCTTCGTCCGCGCGGCGCCCGAGGGATGCCGCGACACCGTCAGCAGGGCCATCGGCGGGAGGGACGTCTTCACCATCCTGCAGGAGAGGGAGATGGGGCGGGAGCGGGAGCGCAGCGAGTCCCCCGCCGCCGACTCGGACAACTCCTCGGTCCAGGAGCAGCCGCAGCACATCGCCATCCAGGTGTCGGTCCACCCGCAGCTCGCCGTCACCAGCTACTGCAGCATCGAGGCCCCGGCTCCGCCAGAGGCGCCGCCCTCCTCGCCTCCTCCGCCGTCCTCTCCCTCGCCGCCGCCGCCGCCACCCGCCCCCGTCGACCGCGACGAGGAGCAGCCCGAGGAGGAGGGCGAGGAGGAGACGGGGCGGGACGGCGAGGAGGCGGCGCCGGAAGCGACAGAAGCAAACGACACCCCCCCGTGTCAGGTGTTCTACGAGAGCCACGTGTGACGGGCTGAACCCAGCGAGTTGTCCCGCTGCGCATTTCCAATCGAAGACGAAAACGAGAAAAAAGGTCAACGGAACATTTTTTAATTTCACATTTTGGAGAGAAACAATCACATTTTTATTCATCCTTTCCCCGAGCGCAACAATCTCTGCGTATAAATCATGAGGTTTTTCAGACACTTGAGCAGCTTGTTCACTCTGGACCAGCTTGAATGTACTTGAGAGGGGCAATCAATAATATTAGTAACGCAATTAGCAGCGATTTGTAGAGAGACATCTCCTGTGTTGGGGTTTCCATAGCTCAGACTATTATTTAAAGAACATGGGTACTTGACTCAAAGGGGGGGGGGAATTATTTTTCAGCTTTTAGTCTCCTGCACTGCTCGGGTTTTAATGATTAACACCAGAAATCTGCCTCAAGCTGCCGCTTTGCTCTCTGAAACCACCAACGCTTCGCCGTTACAGCGAGTAGCGCTGTTATCGCCCGACATCCCCGCGCGCAGAGAGATGCATGCTGGACCGAGAGAGACGGATAGTTTGGTCACCATTTCATGATTGTGCGGCTTCCTGTAAGTAAGCCAGGTAAATCTGTGTGTGTGTGTGTGTGTGCAGTATATTTCCCAACTGGGTCAAACAGGCCTCCGAGTAGAGTTTTTGTCTGTTTCCTTTTAAATATCTAAAGAGTATTATTCCTGCCCGTCGTGGTGTGGTTTTGTTCTCGGCTAGTTTAAGGAGCTTTTAAAGTACCGTTTGTCTTCTTTCATCCTCAGTACAGAAGAGTTTCCTTTTCTCTCCGTGCAGTTTTAGCTTTGTTTTGATTTCTGTTCCCAAGCTTCTCTGTACAGTTGCATTCCTGCTGCATGTGTAGGTGGACAGTGGGACTCAACGGACAAACGCTCCAGTCTGTTAGTGGCGATGAACTGGATGCTCTTCTGCTTTTTCTGCTCTTCTTGAAATGGATTCTTTTCGCTCTTTTTTTTTTGTAGTGGAATAAAATGAAAGTGCTGTGTTGAAACAATAACATTGTTTCCAATGTTGGTGAGTTGTGTTACATCCGTCAGTCTCACAAACACTAATATATGTGTAAACATAAATAAACAAGAGACATCTCTAAATCGCCACTGCGGCGAGGTGGTAACTATAAACACCGAAAACATAATATGAGATCCACCAAGATTACCGCCTTAAACTCCGGAAACAAACACCTTTAAACGCGTGATCTCTATGGATTTGGTTTGTTTGTGGAGACGTGATTTATATTGATGAGTCATGAATGATGGATGCTCTGTAACGAGACACCAGGAGGAGGCGGCTCAGCTTTCACAGTAGGCTGGCCGCATAAACCTTTTTCATCCTACTCTACGATGTACCACATTCAGCGCAGTGACGTGGTTGTGTCCTGTCATTTACTGCGGAACATTTCCCTGCAGTTTGGGTTAATTGTTCTTAGGATATCGGGTCTGTCAGCAAAGAGACATTTAATCTACTGGGGGTCCAAGGTCTGTGGGTAATTGGCCTAGTTTTGTATTTAACACACATAGTAAGTCATAAGTCTGTAACTTAACTAATGTATATTTAGGTTTAGGTATATGTAATTGTTTGATGAATAAGAACCAATGGAACCCTGATTCAAATGTCAAAATTAAGATATAAAACGGAGTCAAAGGGGCGTCAGTGGCTCACTTTGGCTCAAATAGTTTTGTGCATGAACGTTTTTTTAAAACTCACTTATGCAACTTATTTTGTCCCGACTATTTGGCTCACAAGCAAGCCGGTAAAACCAGTGACATCTGACCAGCTGCACTTTGTGTAACACAGCGACTCTCCAGTGAATAAATATGGCGAGTCGGGTTAAAAATGTCAGCTCGGCATCAACGCAGACATACATTCGTCCCTTAGAAGCTCAGTTTGATTACATGTGCAAACGTAAAAGAATCTTTCAAGAACACGCAATTACACACCTTTCAGAGTGACTGTTATCGTAGCCTAATTTATTGGATGTATTGATACAACATGGATAAAAAGGGGAGGTGCTGCCCAGTCCCCAGATAAAACCAGTTTGCATTATACATTTCTGAATAATAATTCATCTTACATGTTAGACAAGACTAAGTAGTTAATAACCATTTTAATTAATAGAGTCCTCTGTCCAAACAAAATCAGATCATTTTTTCTCCCTTCTTTCAAATAGCTATTTCTTGTTTCTATAGATGGAGCAAAAACCCGCCAATACACAGCTTATCAGCATGAGATAATCCAACGTCCCTTTCACAGCTACAAACCGTGTTGTTGGATCCGTGTCAAGAATGAGTCATCATCACATTAACGTGACGTTTACACATGCTCTGCTGTTCAGAGTTGTGCAGTCTTTTAAAATGAGGAAGTAGATGGTCAAAATCAACGTGAAGCAACATATCTGTGCGGAAGGGAAGAGATGAAAAGAGTCGACGTGGATAAATTATATAAAATGCAAAAGCTGGATCTTAAAGCTCAAATCTGCAATGTGACTGGGGTTCCATTGTGGTAGATTCAGCCTCCAGCATGTACGTGGACAAATAACACAAATAAAACAGGTAAAGAGGTAAGCGCTCTACAACTCAAAATGCTTCTCAACATCTTGTCTGGCCCCCACGTGCTTGTGTGCGTGCTTGACAACGTCGGCGTGATCCTGATGAGACCACGGATGGAGATCTGTCTCAGAACATCAGTGTGGGGACAGTTTATCTGGAAGGTTTTACTCTGTTAGGGTGATGATAGTGAAGCAAAACGCCATCTAGACCCTTTAGTACAGTCCCAACGATGTGCGACGAACTCCTCGGATTGACTCGGGGTCTCATTCTGGAAGTTCAACCCCTCTTTCAAATCGCCTGATTCTATTGGATCGGAGCAGCATGACGTGTTTGAGGGCGGCAGCTCCCGCAGCCACACAGAAGCAAAAACGCGTGTCAAATAGAGCAAGTAGAGCAAGTGATGACGCTGGTCTTTGATATTTCCCTCCCGGAACCCTCGAACTTAGTCTGAAAACGGGGGGAATCTTTTCAGAGACGAACAACATGGCTGCGCGTGTAGTGCAGTCTAAAAACAGCGAATTAAATTCATATTTCCGCCGTTTAGGACTTAACTACCGAGACACTCATACGTTCGCTATTGAAATGCTCTCGCGCACACCAGATGTCCGGATTTATGTCGGACCGTGTTTCATTAGTACGCGTTTACGTTACGTAAGAGTGTCTCTCTAAACGGCCCCTCATATTTATGGTTGATATGATTCAGTGGTTGGTGCTTGGTTTCCAATAAATCTGGCACGTTTGCCTGAGTGAAATGTTACGAATATCGCAGTAATCGCCGTGGACGCTCTCGCTGCTTCGTGTCTCGCTTCCACCGATAAATATATATATATATTTGCATCGCGTTACGCTTAATTTGTTGCACTAATTTGCGTCGGATATTTTCTAACTCTTTTAATACTTGTTGGAGTTGTGTTTGCAGCATTTTTGAACGGATATGTTTTATGTTTTAACTTAGACGACCGTTTCTGTGGCTGTGAGGTTATGTTTGTTTGTGACGAGTGCCTCTTAAAACAGGGGTCTTCAGGCCAAGGACCCCCAAACTGACGGCGAGCTGGGGCAGGGACCCCCTGTTCTACGGCCTTTGGTCCGCCATCTTTTATTTGTGATCTTCGCGCGCTTTAGACGTGAGCATAGACGCGATCTGATTGGCTGCTGCCTGCACGACGCAGGAAGGAGCTGCGAGTGGACCGGTGCTGCTGTGGGAAGCTGAATGTGTGCGTTGCAGACTGAAGGATAACGTCTTCTCCATCGATGCATCCGTTTGCTTCAATGTGTTGAATTCATGTTAATGTGTATTTAAAGAGAATACAAAAAAAAATTGTCTCATCAACCAAAAATTTCGCGACCCCCCTGCAGTACCTCCGCGGACCCCCTGTTGAAGGCCTCTGTCTCATAAGATGTGACAGAATTATCCAGTTCCAAGGGAAAAACCCTCTACCAACCCCACCAGTGGAGGTTGTTGTTTCTGAACCACTACTAAAGTTAGTGTACTCCACCCTCCGGTACCTCCATCATTGCTGCAAACAGGAGGAAAGCTACTTACAGGTTAATATACGTTATTATATACATATATCATGCAGATATGTATTAAACTAAATGTTTTTGTCTCTTTCTCTCAACATGCTGTTGCAGATGAGGAACTAAATAGTTGATGGAAAATTTGATCATCACCATCTCTCCTTCGTCTTCTAGAAATGACACAACTACATTTACAAATAACAGACCTATGAACTATTTCCTCTTTGGATATGTGGTTTAAAGGTTTTGCTGCCAATTCACACCTCTAAATAAACCTCTGATGACATCAGGACCACAGAGAGCCGTCACATCTCCCACCGCAAAATAAAGACACACCTCTACCTCGACTAAAGGACTAACAAATTGTAGCACTTAAATTCTACTTATAACGCCACTAATCTATAGCAAACTAACTTATTTGATAAAATCACACTTTCTTGTTTGTATCCCTACGGTTGAATGCACTTATTGTAAGTCGCTTTGGATAAAAGCGGCAGCTAAATAACTTGTAATGTAAAACAAGATGTGTGGCTGTGGTGTCACACGACCATGACTCACGACAGAGCTGATCCGCTTCTACAGAGATGCATGATATCATGTTTTAAAGATAAGAAGTAGAAATTAAGTTCAATAAACTGCATAAACAGTTTATTTACAAATTGATGCAACATGTTTCTAGTAAAACATTGTGATTACAAAGAACAGCAACAACCACAAAGTTAATAGATGTGTAAAGGTCTGACAAACAAGTTCCCCTCTCTGATCCGCTCCTCCTCATTTTAATACTGCAAGTAGAAAAGATTAAATCATTCATTTTAGTAAAGAGAAGGTACAGAACGGCCTCTGGGTAGAACGTTTCTGTGTCCAAACTTTATCACTATTGGAAAACTTTGGCACTTCTACAAATGAAATCACCTCACAGTGCAACAAGCAGACCATGCAGTGCATTAGTGCACGTGACGTGAACCCTGATCAGATGGTTGTAGATCTCGGAGCACGCTGCCAGGAATTGAGTCCCTGGTACTGAGCAAAGAAGTCAAAGACTAAGAAGAGTTTTAACTTCAAAAACAGGTTGTATTGAAAACACATCGAACTGAAACTTTGCATCTACTAAACAACATGATGTGATATGTATGATACTTTGGTTAAACCATGTTTAAACTGCAGCAGAAGGAACACAGTTTCATGTTCTAGTGCTGTAGAAGTGAACAGGGGAGGAAAAGGCATTCACTATTCTACGGGAGGCTGATGAGTTTCACAGAGGTGGACTAAACTATCAGAGGCCTGATTGGTGCTCACAGACTGGATCGGCCTTAAACAGCTAACAACTAATATGAGATGTATTTAAAGTTGAGGAGAGATGGTTAGCAGTGATCTAAGACATGTTGTCAATACCTTTCAGTGGAATGAGTGTCAGCATTGTGTTCAACGCTTATTCGTTAGAAAGGAGCTAAAAACTGCTGTTGTTAATTTGGTCATTTGAGCTTCGTGTGAAAGGGAAGGAAGTTAAAATGAAGAAGAGGAGGAGAAAATGTCCAACCTGATGATGTCATGTCACCCTTTACTCAAAGTGTGAACGCCGTAAGCCGTTTCTCAGCAGAGTGTCAGCGTGGACGTGAGGATGGGACGCGCTTTGTTTGGCGTGTTGGGGCTTTTCTGTGAGTACTTTCTCTCTTTAAATCATAGTTTTCATACATACAACTTTTTAAATGGCAGAAGTTAATAGTTTCTGTCAGTTTGATGATGCGTGATGATGTTTCTCACTTTGTTTTAGTGCTGAATATTCTCCTCTACTGTGGACACGCTAAAGGTTTTTATACAACTTCCTTTATTTGATAAATTCACTCAAGACGATTCAACACCTTCTATCACTGTTTACATTTAATATCTCTGTTCTCTTTACTTCATTTAAGATGAATACGAGTAAGAAAAAACAATTCATTATTTGCATGTTGTGTTTGTTTCTAGACGCTTTGCTGCATATTGAACCAAACTGGTCTCCTTTATTTACTGGAGAGAAAGTTACCTTCATATGTGACTCACAGGAAGGAAACAACGCTGACTGGGTTTACTCATTCAGATGGAATAGTCAAGAGTTCATCAACTACAGACCAGCGAATAGATTTACATTACCATCTCTAACTACAAGATATAGTGGTGAATATCAGTGTGCTGCTTATCAGAAGATCCGCCCCAACGTTATAAGAGAAAGTAATAAAGTCTCTCTAAGTGTATCAGGTAAGTGATCAAAGTTTTACCATCACAACGAGTTGATTAAAGCACTTTTATATTAATGAGACGTGTTGATTTAATAAACCTGTTTAATAAAGTGCTGATGTGATATAATGTAGTGATAATTAATAAATGTTAACTAGTTTAAGAGGAACCTTGAAGTTGAACACTGATGCTGTTTAGTCAGCTGATCTTTGTTTAAAAGGATCAATTATCAGATAATATTGAGCATTTTAAATAAACCAAAGAATTTATTTCGTCGTTGCTAATATCTTGTATCATTGTTCATTTAATGAAGCTGATTCAGTAAAGCAAAGAAGTAACTGTTACACAGACAGAGATGTGATCCTTTAACTCCTGCGTCCTCCTTGTATGAAGGAGAATCAGTGACTCTTCACTGTAGACGTGGAGACCAGAGAAAGGAGAAGAATGCTGATTTCTACAAAGACAAAACACTTATTGAGATGGACACAAACCATCAACACACACATGAAATCACCATTTCTCTGACGTCTGATGGAGCTCTTACATGTGCAAATATGAGGATGAAGAATCTGAACCAAAGAAAATCAAAACAGAAGCTAAAAAGTTTTCATATTAAAGAGCTGCAGGAATTTAACATCGTCAGTGTGATGAATCCTCTGAATTATCTTTGAGAAAGTTAAAGAAGTTACTAAAAAAGGTTATGTCTAAATTGTCCTCTAATTTTCCTTCGCTTTACTCCACATTAGGTTTCTTTCACAAATACATTTAGTGGTGAATAAATATGAAACATTAAGATTATTTCTTGAGTTTACTATTTCTTAATTATATACACAGATTCAGAAGTGATTAAATAACGTCTGCATTGTTTTATCAGTAAATTCTTATGGTAATTTATTTTATTTATCACGTTGTAGTATTGACAGGGGGGTGGTGGTTCGCACTGGTACCTCTCAGCCAGTTGGTCCTGAGTTCGACTCCATCCAGCAGCCTTCTGTGTGCAGTCTGCATGTTCTCTGCCTGGTTTCTCTCCGTGTTCTCCGGCTTCCTCTGAAAGTCCAAAGACACGCTCTGTGATTAGGACGATTGGGAACTCTAAATTGTCTGTAGGTGTTTAGATGTGAGTGTGGATGGTTGTGTGTCTCTGTGTTAGGCCTGTGATTGGCTGGTGACCAATCCAGGTGAACCCGTCTCTCACCTGACGTTTGCTGGGATTAATGGAAGGAATGTTGACACAATAATCACATTGTTTTGTCTTTGTTCTACATTAAAACAGCAAAACCAAAGGCCCAACTGAGAAAAGACTCTCCTCTAGAGGGACGTGTGACCCTGACCTGCTCTGTGGGGTCTTCATCATCATCATCATCATCATCTGGATGGAAGTACTACTGGTACAAACACAACAAAACCTCTGAACCTCTGAAACCAGGAGCTTATGTTCTCCTCCAGAGAGGAAGCATCTCTCCCTCTGGCGGAGGAGTCTACTGGTGCAGAGGAGGAAGAGGAGGAAGAGGAGCCCCAGTTTACTACACAGAGTACAGCCATCCAGTCGGTAAAGAACTAAACTGATAGTTGATGTGAAACAAAACATGTAGAAAAAGTATTTGTGAATAAGGATTAAGACGCACACTAAAACTCTGTTTGTGTAACTTTTCTATTTGGGGCCTGATGATGATGAACAGTCACAAACAGAGCTGTTGTGACTCTGCAACACGACTGGCCTGAGATTTACTCTGGAGAGACGATCACTCTCACATGTGGAATAGAGGAGGGAGGAGGCTCTGAGTGGGAGTATGAATGGAGAACACCCGACTATTACACACCTCCAAACCCAAGAGGCTCCGTGATGACATCATCAGTCAGAGGAGACTACAGCTGTAAGGGCAGACTGAAAGATGGAGCCTCTACAACAGAATGGAGTGATGCTTTCACAGTAAAAACATCAGGTATGTCAGTATTTATATTTCAATTAATGACAATATATTTAAAATTCTAGTTCGATTATGTTATAAATATATTTTTATATATATATATATATATATATATATATAAATAACTATCTATTTATACATATGAAAGTGATGAATAAATTGTTACACCACCAGGATGCTGACATTATTCAATTAAATTCCTTAAAATGGAGAAATTTACAGGCACCATAATCACATTGTTTTATCTTTGTTCTACATTAAAACAGCAAAACCAAAGGCCCAACTGAGAAAAGACTCTCCTGTAGCGGGACGTGTGACCCTGACCTGCTCTGTGGGGTCTTCATCATCATCATCATCATCATCTGGATGGAAGTACTACTGGTACAAACACAACAAAACCTCTGAACCTCTGAAACCAGGAGCTTATGTTCTCCTCCAGAGAGGAAGCATCTCTCCCTCTGGTGGAGGAGTCTACTGGTGCAGAGGAGGAAGAGGAGCCCCAGTTTACTACACAGAGTACAGCCATCCAGTCGGTAAAGAACTAAACTGATAGTTGATGTGAAACAAAACATGTAGAAAAAGTATTTGTGAATAAGGATTAAGACTCACACTAAAACTCTGTTTGTGTAACTTTTCTATTTGGGGCCTGATGATGATGAACAGTCACAAACAGAGCTGTTGTGACTCTGCAACACGACTGGCCTGAGATTTACTCTGGAGAGACGATCACTCTCACATGTGGAATAGAGGAGGGAGGAGGCTCTGAGTGGGAGTATGAATGGAGAACACCCGACTATTACACACCTCCAAACCCAAGAGGCTCCATGATGACATCATCAGTCAGAGGAGACTACAGCTGTAAGGGCAGACTGAAAGATGGAGGCTCTACAACAGAATGGAGTGATGCTTTCACAGTAAAAACATCAGGTATGTCAGTATTTATATTTAAATTAATCCATCCATCCATTGTCAAACCGCTTATCCTGCACACAGGGTCACGGGGGGGCTGGAGTCCATCCCAGCCAACTTCGGGCGATAGACAGGGTACATCCTGGACCGGTCGCCAGCCAATCGCAGGGCTACACAGAGACATACAACCATTCACATTCACACATCTATGGACAATTTAAAGTCCCCAATTAACCTGATCCCCAGAGCATGTCTTTGGACTGTGGGAGGAAGCCAGAGAACCCGGAGAGAACCCACGCAGACACCATGCAGACTCCACACAGAAAGGCCACTGGGCGGAATCAAACCCAGGACCTTCTTGCTGTGAGGCAACAGTTCTAACCACCACGCCACCGTGCCGCTATTTAAATTAATGACAAATATTTAACATTTTAGTTTGATTATTTGAGATATATGTGGCAATCGTAGAGATTTACATGGGTAGAATTAGACCACGATGTAATTGGAGTTGTCAGGTTCTTGCACCTCAGGAGTTGCACCTGAAGATTAAACCTCACTCACATCCAGGAGCGTTTCTAGACCCTCTGGGGGCCTCAGGCAAGAAGGACCACGGGGCCCCAGAATCATGATGAATGAAGTCCAGGACTACGGATCAGTAAAGAAATCTTTTATTAAACAAGTAACATATAAAATAAATAACATAACAATCTGAATGCAAAGTTGGAGTTTGGCTTCTGTGTTCTTGTGGGTTCTGCTGTTTCATCTGATGTGCAGCCTGTATTTGTGATCAGTGTTCGTATGAAGCTCATCTGTTACTAATGTTTTCAATGTGCAGTGAACTTGTTTGGTGGCTGGTGGATGACTGGGAGTTTGGGATAAAGTGGCAGGCTGGCTGGCAGCACTACTTGTTCATAATGTAACACACGTAGCTTCCACATTCCCACTGTCGCGTTTTCTCTCTTCACCCTCTTGTTTTTTGTCTTGTCGTGTGCACAGAGAGACGTGTTCGCTTCATTGTTTCATCTGTGTGTTTGACCGGGACGCACGTCCATGCCGGCTAGTAAGGGGCCCCATTAGGGGGATTCCCGACGTGTCGTTGCGGTGTCTGCGGGGGTTTCAGGTTGTGTCGCTGGTATGGAGCGATATCAGCCGTCTGTCGGGGCCCCCTACTAGCAGCTAGCCAGTGACGTAAAGGGCCCTGCGAGGGGGGATTCCGATGTTTTGTCGTTGCAGCGTCTAAAGTAGTTCCATTATTTTGTCATTGACGTCAGCCGTCCCTCGGGGCCCCCTTCAGCTCGGGGCCCGAGGCAGTTGACTTGGTTACCTGATTCCGTTGCGGCGTCTCTGAGGACAAATTCAGTCACAATAATAACACTGTTTTGTCTTTGTTCTACATTTAAGCAGAAAAACCAACGGCCCAACTGAGCAAAAACTCTGTAGACGGACGTGTGACCCTGACCTGCTCTGTGGGGTCTTCATCATCATCATCATCGTCATCTGGATGGAAGTACTTCTGGTACAAAGACGAGAAAACCTCTGAACCTCTGAAACCAGGAGATGATGTTCTCCTCCAGAGTGGAAGCTTCTCTCCCTCTGGTGGAGGAGTCTACTGGTGCAGAGGAGGAAGAGGAGACCCAGTTTACTACACAGAGTACAGCCATCCAGTCGGTAAAGAACTAAACTGATAGTTGATGTGAAACAAAACATGTAGAAAAAGTATTTGTGAATAAGGATTAAGACTCACACTAAAACTCTGTTTGTGTAACTTTTCTATTTGGGGCCTGATGATGATGAACAGTCACAAATAGAGCTGTTGTGACTCTGCAACACGACTGGCCTGAGATTTACTCTGGAGAGACGATCACTCTCACATGTGGAATAGAGGAGGGAGGAGGCTCTGAGTGGGAGTATGAATGGAGAACATCCGACTATTACACACCTCCACACCCAAGAGGCTCCATGATGACATCATCAGTCAGAGGAGACTACAGCTGTAAGGGCAGACTGAAAGATGGAGCCTCTACAACAGAATGGAGTGATGCTTTCACATTAAAAACATCAGGTATGTCAGTATCTATATTTGAGTTAATAGAAACAGAATATTTGAGTTGTTTAATTAGTTAATTTATTTAAAGACAGTGTCCCATCACACCTGTTTACACGGTTGAAGTAAAAGATGGAGGACATCAGCAGTGAAAGTAATCCACCAAGGACTCATCACAACACGTCTTTATTCTGTGAAATCTCTTTCCAACAGGTGTCCCTCAGCCTGTCCTCACAGTGTCTCCATCATGGACGAGTCCTGGAGACTCAGTGACTCTGACCTGCAGTGTTGAACCTCCGTCTGCAGGATGGAGGTTCTTCTGGTATCAGGCTGTTCCAGAACTGCCACTCAACTACACCTATGAGCTTCTAGCTGGTAGCACCACTGGGACTGAACAGGATTCCTACAGTCTTCATGGACAGACACACACAGCAGGATATGTGTGCAGAGCTGGAAGAGGAGATCCTGTGTTTTACAGTCTGTACAGTGATGTGAAGTTTGTCTGGTCTGGAGGTGAGTTTGTTCACACTTTTATATTCTTGCACAAGAGAATAAATGTCCTGTTTGTCTTGACATTGTTGGTCCTGTGTGTCTCCTAATGACGTGTCTTCAGGTGTGAATCCAGCAGCGTCTCTCACAGTGAGTCCTCACAGACTGCAGCACTTCAGCACAGAGTCACTGTCACTGAGCTGTGAGGGAAACTCTGCTGAGTGGAGAGTGATGAAGGCTGATGAATCTGGCTTCATGTCATCCTGTTCTTACTGGGGACAAATGACTGGATCCACATGCAACACCACTAGAGCGAGTAGTGGAGTGTACTGGTGTGAGTCTGCAACACAGTCCAGCAATGCAGCCAACATCACTACACACAGTGAGTTTATATTCATTTAAAGGTTTTACATCTAAAGTAGTTACACATCTTATTGTAGAGTGCTGACATTTTAAGGTGACTTTATAAGCCGTTAAATGATGGAGAGTTGAGAACAAAATGCACGAGGACACCAGGAAGAGTCTTTAGTTCAACATGTTCCACCTGGTGGAATTCTCCCTCTGTGTGGTTTTGTGTTTAAAATAACCTTAAACAATTAAACAACAGTGTCTAAAATACACACTTTCTCAAGTGATTACTCATTACTTTTAAGTTGTAGTCTTTATAACAAAAACAAACATTCATTATAAACAACATTGTAACAACAAAAAAATTCATTAATCGCCATTAATCGAGATTAATGATTTGCGATTAATAAGTAAAAAACATTTCTTGACAGAGTTTTGACATTTAAAGTATTTACACATCTTATTGTAGAGTGCTGACATTTTAAGGTGACTTTATAAGGACTTTAACTCAATATTTAGTTTGTTTCAGTATCACACGTCTTTGTGGTTGACTTTCCTCTTTATGACCATAGACATCCACCATTGACTTTAAACCAGGAGGAGCTGTAGAGTTATCTGGCTCCATCCTGGCTCCTCCACGTTGGACCTTTTAGACCATTCTGTAGCTCACTGCCACTAAGTGGACATTTGTCTCCGACATATTGAGCATTAATTAAAGATGTAACTGTGAGCATGTACGTCACCAAAGGGCCGTCTCTTTCATCCATGAAATGCAGCTATTCGCTCAGCTACTGTGTGAATGTGGACAACAAATGTAAACTTTAAATGTCTTCTCTTCATTGGACATCAGCTTGTTTGACTTCCTGTCCTCTGGTCTCTTTACAGGTGGTGATGTCATCCTGGTGAGTTCTGTCCATCCTGTGACTGGGGGACATTCGGTCACTCTTGGCTGCATGTTGAGGACAAAAGATCTTCTTCATAATGTGGATTTCTATAAAAATGCCAAACTCCTCCCAAATGGTGTCGGAGGGGAGCTGCTTATCTCTGCAGTTACTAAGTCAGATGAAGGCTTTTATAAATGTAGAGGAAGGAATTCACCTCCAGGTTTGGAGACTTTGACCTCAGCAGAGAGCTGGTTGTCAGTGGAACGTGAGTACGAGTAGAAGATGTTTTCTTTGTAATATGTGTTACAGTCTGAGTTACAAAAGGTGTAACTGAATTAAACTATTTGTTTGCGTGAGACAATATAGTTTTATACATTTTAGTGTTTAAAGACACAAATGAAACTAACATGAGCAGCAGTGAAAGGTGAATGTTGTGTGATCAAAGGTTCATGTGAGTGTATTTGAGTGTGTGTGTTGTAGTACTTGTGTATCTCTTCATGGTTGGTGTGTACTTGTGTGTAGATCCTGAAGAAGCAGCATCAAGCTCTGTGTTTCTCGTGCCGTTGGTGGTTGGTCTGGTTTCTGGAGTTTTACTGATTATTCTCCTGCTGCTGATTCTGCGTTGCTACAGAAAGTCAAAAGGTGAGATCTATTCCTTCTGATATCAGACTGATTTCACTGAAATAAGTCAAAGTCACACATATTATTACACACACTCATTAATTAACACTGTGAAACCTTTTTCTTGCAGCTTCAAGCCTCAGCAGGTTGGTACAAGCCTCTCTTCTCTCCCTCTGAACACGGCAGCAGGACTTTACATGTTCCTCATTCAATCCTCTGTATTTACTTCATGTTTTGGACCCACAAGGTCTCAGAGGACCAATCAGAGCCCAGCTACAGACCACATGATCAACCAGGGTGAAACTCAAGACGAACATTACGCGGCTCTTCTTCATGGTCAGTTTTAATCCTGATTGGTTTAATAATATGTTCTTTACTTTCATGCATTTACATTTCTGATTATCTGTTTGAGCAGATTATATAATTCATACAATGTGGTTGAAATGATTGAATGACCTCGTCTTTATCTTCACTGCTCTGCAGGTGATTCTTGTCTCTATGAAACAATCAGAGGCTCTGAAGAACCTGAACAAGGTGCAGTAAATCCTGTGTGTTCATCACACAGCTGTTAAATACTAGAATCAGATGATCATGTGACTGGTTGACTGTCCTTTAAATGAAAGACAAAATGTATCGATGATGTCACAGATTCTGTGTTTGAGCTTAAAGACATTGATGGCTAATGTGAATACTTCTATAAGGGAACAAGCTGCAGTAGTTGAGATGCTTTTGTAGGCCAGCAGAGCTTTAATAAAGGAGAACAAAGTGTCTCTTCATGCATTCATCTGATCCTTCTAACAGGGACGAATGATGAACCAGAGGAGAGCGATTACCAAAATGTGACGATGTAAACAGCTGCAGGTACTTCAAGTACAACAGACCATGTAGTACAATGTGAGTGTACTTGTGTATTACTACCAGCAGGCAGCAAAGGTCAAACACAACACTTACACCTGTTACTCTTAAATAACCTTCAATCTCTTTTCCTTCTCTTTGTTCAGATGAATAAAACATCTGCATGGACAGAACCAGGGGAACGGATGACGACATGAAAAACCACATCTTTGTCTTTTTGAGTAATTATTGTGTGAACTTCTTCTTTCCTGATATGAGACAGTGTTTTGTAGTTAACCCATGAAAAGATCATTTAAAGGATCATGTGTCTTCAAAGGTTTTACTTTTAATGTTGGTATTGAGTGTTTACTGTACATTTAATTTTTTTTCTGTAGAAAACTTTGAATGGAGGCTGGTTTGAAAAGCAGTTTGACGTCTTTAAGCTTCAGTGCTATTATTCAATATGAAGTAATCTCTGATTTAAAAAAAAAAGGTACACATTTATTACACTTTTAATCTGTTATTGAACACATTTCCAACATTTTTTTATTTGTCTGTTTTTTTAAAAAGGTTGCCGTTTGTATTTTACAGTCACCGGTTTGTGCTTAATACATTTTGTAATTTTTGATCATTTTATGCATCAATAAACTTTGACCTGCTCATCTAATTAAACACGAATAGATCACAGCAATCACATCCATCTATTGATGAATGGAGTATAAAAAGGTAAATGGAGGTAACACCATGTCAGGAACGGGGGAGGCGATGCAGGAAGTCGGGCTCAACCGCGTTTATGACAAAAACGATACTTTGAATAAATCCAAAATCCAAATTTCCAGGGGGAAACAAACGAAGACACGGAAAAATGCACACGGGGAAGAGGGACTTACATCACACAGGGACAAGGTTCAGGGTAGCGGTTCCAGGCACGACATGAAGGGTCAATGACGCGACAAGAGACACACATGTCTTAAATACAGTGGGAAGGTGCAGGTGATTGGACACAGGTGGAAACAATCATGGACACGGCAGACAATCACAGGGGATGACAGGACAAGGCAGGAAGTGAAGTTAACCCAGGAGCACCAGAGGCATGAAACTACAAAATAAAACAGGACGTGAACCCAAACCGTGACAGAACCCCCCCCCCCCCCTAAAGCCGTGTCTCAAGTGTCCTGTATTTGACCCTGATGTGCAAAGAGCAGCATGATACAAAATGTTGCTTTGCAGCTGTGCCCTGAGAAGGGAGGACGGTCGACTCAAGCTCATAGAAGCTCCAAAACAAAGGACTCCTCTTCATGGCCTTGGTTCATATCTTATTCGGTACGAAAGTTCCGGATCCACGTTTTTACTTTATGTCAATTAATTATGATTTGCAGCGGCCACTGAGGAGGATCTTGTGTGTGTGTGTGTGCTACCCTCAGCTTCACCTGGGTTCTTATCTCAACCTGCTTTGCAGCTTCTCGTAACTGGCACGGAGAATGTCCTTCACATGTGTATAAAAACTTGCGTTTTTACTGCTCGGAGACGCCATTTCCACAGAGCACCGTGATACGTGCCTGTTTATTTGACCTCCCGCTTGCAAGCAATAAATCGACTTTTTGCAACTTTGATCATTCATCAATACATCTTTTATCAGACAAATCATTCTCTTCTACCGAGCTTTTATTGAAATATTCCACAACAGGGGCGCCGAGCTCGGGGGCGCCGTCTGCAGGTCACGGGGGGCCGGGCATGGGGGTCCCGGCCCAACCCGTGCCAGAACCCCCGCCGCCAAGGGCCGGATCCCAGACGGGACGTCTACAGTCGTAGACAGTGGCTTTGGTAGATGGGCGGAGAAGGGTTCAACCACAATAAGTCAATTATCTGAAGGAACTACTCTCAGGTCCTTTGCGCAGCTTCAAGCAAAGTTTAGCAGTGAAACTAACGATCTATTCCGATACTTTTGACCACACACAAGAAACAGGACAACATTAAGGAAATACCAGGCAATTTTGAACAGTGCCTGGTTGAGATGGCTGAGAAGCAAATAAAAACTAAACACCTGTTTATACAGTATAATTAATATGTGAATATATTACTTCCTATAGCCATTTAATTCTATCGCCATTTAAAATATTTGTATCTGCATGATTTTGATTCGATTTGAACATAATTTTAGTTTAAATGTATTGGTATGTGTTGTGGATTTTATCGTTTCTTTTACAGTTGGGTTGTATATACCCAGCTTTTCTTTACCTGGACACTGATGACATCACACCAGCTCTGCAACCCATTGGCTGTGGAGGGAAAGCGCTCTGCTGCTGCTGGAGTTCCTATCAGTTCACTTCAGAAGGTTCAGAGTCTCAGTTCTGGTTCTGGTCCACAGAGAGCTGATGAAGACCATGAAGATGATGATGATGATAGTCGTCCTCGTCCTTTCTGGTGTTTCAGCTTACGGTACGTTCCTGTCTCACTTTAAAACTCATGTTTCAGTTCTGATGGTATAAATACAACAAATAAACACCCTCTTTGTTTAATAACAGTCTAAACAACAAATAAACAGCCTCTTTGTTTACTGACAGACTAAATAATAAATAAATCTCTTCAGTTCCACATGAGGCCATTCGTATTAGTGGCTGTTCTGACTCTGATGGAGAGGAAATGTTCGGTCTGGATGGAGAAGAGCTCTGGTACGCAGACTTCAAACTCGGCAAAGGAGTCAGTCTTCTGCCCAGTTTTCTGGATCCCATAACCTACCCAGGAGGTTATGAAGTAGCTGTGGCTGAGCAACAGTTCTGCAGAAATAACCTGAGAATTGATCTGGAAGCCTACAAGTTCCCACTAGAACGAGGTAAAGACAAACACTTCTAAAAAACAACAACAACAGCTCAACACTCAGTGGCGCACACCATTCTGAAGAACAACAAACAAACTGTTTACTCACAAACTCCAGATGCTCATGTAGATTTCAGAAGGAGAACTCCTTCGGTTCTCTGGGGAACCAGGTGGGTTGAGGTTAGGAGAACGTGCTGAACACCAGAAGCCAGAATCGATCCTGCGAATAAACATTAAAAGGGATAAAACGGATTCTTCATGAGAGGGATTCTAATAAGAGCTGCTCTCTGTTCAGATCCTCCTTCCAGTCACATGATCTTCCCCAAGGACGCCGTGGAACTGGGAGAAAAAAACTCGCTCATCTGTCATGTGACTGGTTTCTATCCCGCTCCAGTGGCGTTCTCCTGGACGAAGAACCAGGAGAACGCCACTGAAGGAACGAGCAGAAACATTCCCTTCCCCAACAACGATGGAACCTTCAACCAGTTCTCCACCCTCGAGTTCACCCCTGAGCTGGGAGACATCTACAGCTGCATGGTGGAACATCTGGCCCTGGATCATCCACTGGTCAGGTTCTATGGTGAGACACAACAAACAACTCACTTCTGTCTCCAGATGTGGAGGCTGAGCTTCATTTCTCCAGATGTGGAGGCTGAACTTTATGTCTCCAGATGTGAAGCTTAACATGTCTTTTCTGTCGCCAGATGTGCAGATGTCTCAGCCCAGCATTGGCCCAGCGGTCTTCTGTGGAGTCGGTCTGACTGTTGGTCTTCTCGGCGTCGCTGCTGGAACCTTCTTCCTCGTCAAAAGAAACGAGTGCAGCTGATTGGGCTAATGATCTTCATCTTATAGGCGTCTCATCCTCATCATCTAATCCAGTCTAATGTTGTTAAGTATCTCTTATTCTTGTTGAACGAATTATTGAATTAATCTTCTGCTCTTGTGTTGAAATAACGATGACGGTGTAGAGATGATCTCATTTTATTTTCACACATTTGTGACTTGTGTTTCTTGCAATAATAAACTCTAAGATAAGAAGTCAGACCAGTTGACCTTTGACCCCTGCCTGTGTCTCAGCAGCACTTTTAACGGTTTGATGAACACGACGTGTTTAAACTATTAACTTATTATTACTATAAGAACTAAATTCAGAACGAGATCTTCCAAACATGTTTGTCTAAGAAGCTAATTGGCTTTTTATTCTGCTAGAGATCCATTTAGCTTGGAGACATAGTTATGCTAAGCTAAGCTACTGAAATAAAAGCATTTTCCTAAATTAACTGTTTCTCTATTATTTCCATCAAGGGAAGAAAATAAAAAATAAGTTTGTGTGTAATGTGAGATAATTGTAGATTGTATTGTTGCTTCAGGAGGTTCAGAGCTAATTTTAAATCTAATATATTATTATTATTATCATATATATAGCATATTATTATGCACAACATTGTTTATCTCATTTACAAAATTTGCAGCATAATGCCAAGAAGATATTCCAAAAGCAGAAGGACCGGGAAAATAGCTACTGTGTTTTTGATTTATTTCATTTTAAATAAATAAAATTCCATGAATAATTTTGGCGATGGGTGGCCTTTTGTTTCAGTTTGAGCACCTGCTCGCCAAAATATTTTCATATTCATACTTATGTATATACTCATACTAGTTTTGTTTTTTCCAATTGCTAACAAGCATTGTTCAATACTCAAGCCACATTTTCCAAACTCTTCACACATTCAGCGACACACAAGTGTATACGGACCAAACTGTCAATCATTTTTCACTGCTTTCTGACAAAATGCATCAATCACTACATTTTTCAAAATCCACAAACACTTTTGTCATTCATACTCCACAAACTGCAAAAAATGTATATTTGCAGGATTTTTTTCATATGCTAACACACTGCTTTCAAAACTGACAAAAGCACATTCAAATCAGAATGATGACACATTTCAAACATTTCTGTAGTAGTCAAGCTAATTACAAGTTCAGCTCAAAGCCGACCAGGTGTCCTGCTTCACTCTTATCACCATGTTTCAGGCGACAGCTTGGAGGTGGTTTGGAGATATGGATCACAGAAGACAGGTTGGTGGGGAAAGTGGAGTGATATGAGGGAGAGTGTGTGGAGGGCAAAGGAGAGGAAGACCAAGAGCGCTGATATCTGATGAAATACTGTAAATGTTGTGAACCATGTGTAATATATATGTATTTTTAAGTTGCTTCATAACCATTGTTTTTCGTTCGGCCATCTCTGCTGCAATGTAATTGTGTAGGGTCAAAGATAACCAGCATGTGTCACCATCTCACCACTAAGGGGGGGGGGGGGGGTGTCTGTGCATCGTACATGAGCTTCCATGGGAAAGAAGAAGAAGAACGGCTGACGGAGACTGACATTGCACAGACACCACCACCATTAACACGGTTTACTTTTTATATGTATTTAAGGTGTCCGCTGCTGTTCTATGATGCGCCACCGAGAGGAGGGCAACACATGGTCTCACTTTGAGAGAGGCCGGTCCAAGTCTGCAGCCAAATCTGCACCGCTCAACAGTTGGGTCAATATTTTCCAGCAAAACAACAGGTGAGATGCTTGTTAGCAATTGAAAAAAAACTGTAATAACACACAGAGTTTGGTTGTTTATTGTGTTTAGAAAACGTTTCACTCCAGTAAAAATATATGAATCTAACAATCACACAACCTACGAGCCCCAAATCATTCAGATAACTGGATTACATCTGACTTAAAGCAGTTATTGAGTCGTTTACACTGATTTCATATAGAAAAGCTGTGAATCACACGTAGAAGAAGCAAAGTTCACATCCAGCATCTGATCCGGCACTGATCCAGTCCTGCTTTTACACACGCGAGTATCCGAGTCCAGACGATCTTTCGAGCAGCAAGACCAGAACCAACTGTGTTCAGTAACTGGGAACCAGGATTCGTCCTGGTTTAAAGAACAGAACAGAACAGCATTAAATCCAGATACCTGACCTTTCAAACCAGACTGAATTGGTCTGAAACACCATACATTACATTACATTATTATATTACTATTAGGTCTTAGGTGTCTTGCTCAGGGACACTTCAACATGGGACATGGAGCAGCCGGGGCTCGAACTGCCAACCATGTGGTTCCCAGCACACCCTCTCTACCCCTGCGCCATGTCAACCCCTGTAGGCGTCAGAAAGAGCAGGTGACCTAGGTCCAGACTTTGGGGGACCTGCTGAAGGCCTCTTTGGATTCTGGACTAATCTGAACCATCAGTGAACATAAGTGAGCTCTGACCTCTGCCTTTCCTCTTATAGTAGATGAATCCAGCCAGAGACAAGGTCAGACCCAGGATCAGTCCTGAGCCTCCGATGGCGATCTTGTTCCTCTCAGACTCGGGCATGGACGGGTCTGAGGACAGACGGAGAGACGGGTTAGCAGAGAGACAGGTGAAGAGGCAGACAGAAAGGTATGCAGGCAGACAGGTACTTACCCCAGTCGGTAACCAGAGGTTTACTCAGGCTGATGTGCTCCACCACACAAGCGATCTTCTCTCCGGACCTGCTGACACACAAACCAGCACATCAGTGGTTATCCTCATAAACCTGGACCTGGAACCTAAACCTAGACCAACTGGACCTGGACCTGGACCTGAAGCTAACTGAACCTATCGGAGCTGAAGTTAGCTGGACCGACTGGACGTGGAGGTAGACTCACCTGGGGGTGTACTCCAGGTAGGAGTGGGTCTGGTAGTACCAATCCCCGTCTGCCAGCTCGTCGGTAGAAGAGACACCGGTGGCCTCTGGCCGTCCGTCTCTGGTCCACCTCACTATGATATTCTGGGGGTAGAAGTCATAGACGCTGCAGACCAACATGGACGAAGTTCTACCACCAAGGGGGGTCTCAGAGTGCAGCCTGACGTAGGGCTGAGCTGGAGACAATAAAGTCAGATGGTGAGGATTTGTTCTATGAGTTCACAGATAATGTATTAGTACTGGGAGTACGTAAGGAGTACTTAAGGTAGTAGCAGTAGTACCACCTGCAGTACAAGTACCAGTCATGTACTTGTGTTTCAGAGATAAAAACACTCTGACATCAATGTGAGGAAACTTATGGAACTACCGTCTAACCCTGGTGGTAAAGAATGATCCCAGAGAGGTTCTAGAGCAGGGGTCTCAAACTCAAATCAGCTGCGGGCCAGATGCAGCCCACTTCAACCGAACGCGGGCCAGACTAGCGTCCGAACGGCATGGTCGACAATAACACAACTTAACACTCACCTTCAAAAGCAGTCATTGAACCCCACCCTGGGGGATCGGTCCGAATGAGACTACAACACTAGTCCTCCTTTAACTCAGCGGGGGAGACCTAAGGTCATGTGACCGTGGAATTCCTTTATAGCCAAACGTGAAGTTACGTGAATCGAAGCTGCGTAGTAATGGACGGAGACGCTCGTCGGTGACGTCAGATGCTTCATGTGTTGTTAGTGTGAGTCGTAAAGGAAAACTTTATTAAACGAGCGATGCTAACGGTTAGTCACATGATCACCTGCGCGAAAGAGGGCAGGAAACTGAATTTCACCCTCCTGCTCTCTGCACCTCGGCCGACACACACGACCCGCCCCCCATGTCAGTCACATGCATGCCACGTTCACTGGACAAGCACACAGTAGGAAACCAGAACATCATAACATGTCCCACACAGCAGCTGACAGTGGGGTTACAGTATAAAACTTGCGGGCCGCACTAACATTACACTTTCATATTAAGGATGGGGCCACAAAATATCGTCCCGAGGGCCGCAATTGGCCCGCGGGCCGCGAGTTTGAGACCCCTGTTCTAGAGGTTCTAAAAGGTTCACATAGAATAAAAAGTTCTCAGGTGGCTCATAGGGATGTGAGGGTGCTCAGAGAGTCTAAAGGGTACAGGAAGAATAAAGTTCTACTCAATAATGTCATTATAGAATCCATAAATACTTGAATCCTTGAATTCAAACTGTTTCCTCTGTTTTATATTTTATCATATAATTATATCATATAATGTGGTATACCACATCATTATGTTGTTACATATTACATCATATGTATACTATATGATACATTACACAACATAAATCATTTATTACACATTTTCTAATAAATGATAATAACTTTTTCTCTTTGGTTTTATAAACTATTTTACAGAGTTGAATTTTAGATTTAAATTTAACGAGTTAAATGAACCAGTCTTTATTTATTTATTTAGTCTGATTTAAGTCAGACTTTCACATTTACAATTACATTATGTCTGTCATTTTACTAAATTACTTTTCAATATTCCTGATTTGATCAATTTAAACTATTCGTTTCATATAAAATGTGTTCATCAGGGTCCCAGAATATGTAGAAGTGATTCTAAGGTCTAATTAGTAATGAGCACATGAATAAGTAGTAATATTAGTATGAGCTGTAGCAAAACCTCCCCACAAGGTCTGATGTGAATGTTTGGTCATTGTTATTTGACATGATCATTATATGATAAATTTGTAATAACAATTATAATAACGTAATGAAAATGTCGATAATGATAACAATGATGTCTCTCTAACTCACCCGACTTAGTCAGAATATTGTCGTACATACGCTGGATGTTGGGTTGACAGATGGTCTCCTTCGCTGCTCTTATGCTGGCCATATACATATTGTTGTTGTTCGAGGCTGCAGCGTTCTTCATACCTTGTTCAGTGAACCCGACAAACTTCCCCACTGAGCTGCTGAACTTTGTGTATTGTAACTTGTTGAAGTAAGTAGATCTGATGAACTCGATGCCCTTCAGGTCCGTGGAGTTAAAGACACATTGATCCTTCACAAACTCCATGAATCCACCTGAAAAACAGACACGATCACTGAACACTGTTATTGATTACTGTTCAGTCTGTGAATCAACAACTGGTGTATTGATCACTAATCAGTGTATTGATCAGTGATCAGAGTATTGCTCAATCATCGGTGTATTGATAAGTGTATTCATTGACAAATTGTGTATTGATGAGTTCATTGATCAGTGGTCAGAGTATTGATCCTACCTGCTGCGTGGAGAAAAATGAAGAGGAGGGAGACGCTGTGGAAGGATGGAGCCATGCCGCTGTGTTCACCTGACAAGAGTGGCTGAGAGCTGGTGTAAAAAGGTCACATGACCGGTGTCATCATCGCCATCACCTGTTACCAGGTGGACAACATCAGCAGAGTGAGTACAGGCAGTATAGATGTTATTATACAAATGTTATACATGTTAATATTATTGTTAATGACATATTGTTGCATCATTATGAATCAGTATTAGTGATTAGGAATATTATTATGTCATGATTATGATTTCAGATGTCAGATTAAAATTACTGGTGTATTCACACAATTATTATTGTTATTATTTGTACTACAATTACATATTGTTATATTTCATGTGTTGTTTGTAGATGTGCGGCTATTTATGATTATCTAATAATGTATCTTTATCTTGTACATTGTTTACTGTTGTTTGCTGCTACTGCTTGACTACAATGACTACAACAATGACAATAAAAACCTTTAACCTGAATAAAGCCGTTATTGATCATTAATCATTTACTTTTATTTTATATATATATTTAACATTTATCATTCAGTGGCATCAGCATTTCTAAAATGATGTCACGGAATGTCAATTAAAAGAAATCAGACTTTAATAAATATAAATAGAAGGCAGATGGCGAGCTAGCTGCTGTAGCTGCACAATCGGTAGCTATCGTTAGCTTGTTATCAAAGTAGGGTCAATTAAGTTTTTCAATCGGCTCAGGCACCGAAAGCAACCGGAATCTGTGTGGCTTTTCGGTACGGGAGGTACCGGGCGTATATGTCACGCAGGGAGCTCTCGAGGACTCGGACGCAGAGTTGAGGTTCAGCTGAAGCTTTTGTTTCCCAACAAAAGGACACAGGGAAATCCCTGGAAACCAAAAAAAACTCATCCGAAGAGGGGGAGTTAAGTCAGAGAAATTCTCTGGCTCCACTAATAGAGATGGGCAATACTAAATGACGGGAAGCAAACAAAAAACTCTCTTAGGTAAGGAGGAAATAACAAAGTACGACCAAAAATGCTCTGATTTAACTCGAAGAGCTGAAAAGTCAAAAAATACAAAACCAAAATTTCTCTTACCGAGGAAATAAGACAATAATCAATCACTACAAAAAGGGCCGTGGAGCAATAAACGGCATAAGGCCAACTAATGGATCTATGACGAGGACACACTGGCACAGGACAAGGGGGGACGCAGACTATGAGGACACAATCCGGAGTCAGGGAAGACAATCAGACTGTCGACACATGAGGAAGAGCAAGGAACCTGAGAGGAGAGTTAATCTCCAAAATAAAACAGGAAGTCACAAAACAAACGGGGAGGACAAAAACCCAACTTGGCCTACAGGTGTGAGAGTATAGGAACCAATACCAATACGGCAAACTGCAAATTATCCTCAAGCTGTTTATCCCTGAGACTTTATGAATGATAAAATACTTATTTCTTGTTGGTGTTGACTATATCTCTGCATTATTATACTAACATAATTTATATACAGGCACGTGCACAGACATTTTGGGGGGCAGGTGCTCAAACCAAAATAAAAGGTAACCTAATGCCCAAATTATTTATGAAATTAAAAATAATATTAATAAACAAATAAGAAACACAGTCGGGGACGGATCCCTCGTGTCACATTCGAAGGTCAGTGAATAAATATGGCGAGTCGGGATAAAAAAAATCAGCTCTGCATCTAGAACCCGACGCAGGCGACATTTATCTGTAGACGGTCAGTTAGATTACACGTGCAAACGTAAAAGAAACTCAAGAACACTCAATTACCTGAGAGACTGTTATCGTAGCCTAATTTAATGTATGTATTTATACAACATGGATGAAAAAGGGGAGATAAAAACAGTTTGCATTATACGTTTCTGAATTACAATTCACCTTAGACAAGACGAGTTAATAATAACCATTTTAATTCATGAAATTAATGGGGTCCTCTGTCCAAACAACATTAGATCATTTTTCTCCCTTCTAACAGCGCCTTAAACATTATAGAACAACAATCACTTGGGTATGCTTTTTGCCGTACACGTTAAAGAATACAGGTGCACAACATGGACTTTTTGCTTGTCTGCAATGAATGGACAGTGAAAGCACTGCTTGTTCTACCATTTCTCTCGTATTTGATGATGCGTAACTGCTACATTTGTCATTGTAACGTCTAAACAATTGGAAGGTTGTTGTATCTGAACCCCTAGCAAAGCTAGTCTGTGTACACCACCCTGCCCGGTACCTCGATCCTTGCTGACCTACAGGAGGAAAGCTACCAATAATATATATATATATATATATATATATATACACACACACACACACATCATGCACATATGTATTAAACTGAATTGTTTTGTCTCTTTCTCTCAACATGCTGTTGCAGATGAGGAACTAGAGTTGCTGGAAATTCTCATCTCTAGCTTCTCTTCTCTTATGCAAACGAGGCGGCTACATTACAATTGACAGGCCTGTGAACAGTTTCCTCTTTTGAAGTGTGCTTTAAAGGTTTTTCTGCCAATTCATACCTTCTCTAAATGTATAGTTGAAGTTTGGGTTTTTTTTAATTGCAAAATACAACCACAGACCACATTGACAACAGGGCTGATCCGCTTCTAGAAGTGTCATCATCTGTGATGTGTGATAACATGTTTAAATTTTAAGAAGTAGAAGTAAAGTTCAATAAACAGCTTAAACAATTTACAAACATATTCATATCAACACGTTGTGAGTACAACAAAGGCTGATGGTGAAAAGAACAGCAACAAAGATGTGTAAAGGTCTGACAAACAAGTTCCCCTCTCTGATCTGCTCCTCCTCATTTTAATACTGCAAGTAGAAAAGATTAAATCATTCATTTTAGTAAAGAGAAGGTACAGAACGGCCTCTGGGTAGAACGTTTCTGTGTCCAAACTTTATCACTATTGGAAAACTTTGGCACTTTGACAAATGAAATCACCTCACAGTGCAACAAGCAGACCATGCAGTGCATTAGTGCACGTGACGTGAACCCTGATCAGATGGTTGTAGATCTCGGAGCACGCTGCCAGGAATTGAGTCCCTGGTACTGAGCAAAGAAGTCAAAGACTAAGAAGAGTTTTAACTTCAAAAACAGGTTGTATTGAAAACACATCGAACTGAAACTTTGCATCTACTAAACAACATGATGTGATATGTATGATACTTTGGTTAAACTATGTTTAAACTGCAGCAGAAGGAACACAGTTTCATGTTCTAGTGCTGTAGAAGTGAACAGGGGAAGCAGAGGAGAAGAAAAGGCATTCACTATTCTACGGGAGGCTGATGAGTTTCACAGAGGTGGACTAAACTATCAGAGGCCTGATTGGTGCTCAATATATATATATATTAATGTATAAATAAATAAATGAGATATAAAAACACCTCCATTGTCACATAATAATCACGGGACAGTCAAAATCTCCAGTTCTGAGTGAAATTTCTTTGGATAAAAATAACACTATATTTCTTATGCGATGGAAGAATGGACATATTTCTTCCACCAATATGTGAAATAGAGGAATCTATTGGCAGAAATGAATTATCAACAAGTGTGCGATCGAGAGAAACACACAAACACGTGTTGTTCTTGTTCCTTTTAATTTAAACCAAAATGTAATCTTTACATATTTTGTTTTAAATGTACAATTAAACATAAGATTCTTCATAATAACGAACAACTCCATCGACACATAAATGAAGAAAAGAAAAAGGAGAAAACATCGAGATCAGTATGAAATACGTTAGGCAACACCACTGGTTAACAACAACACCTGACCCCTCTCACACACACACACACACACACACACACACACACACACACACACACACACACACACACACACACACACACACACACACACACACACACACACACACACACACACACACACAAAAGTGCTTCCGTCTGTCCCGGCTGCTCCATCGCTGCAAACAGGAACGTTCTGCGGACGAGGTGGGAGGTGAACTCGGGACTTTTGTCTCTCTCTTCTGGGACTTTTGGGGATGAAAGTGTTTGTGAAAGAAAACCAACCTCTCAGGCACTCGGCAGATGTTTTACATGGATGTCGCTGAGAGGATTAACCAGATGTGACTTGAGATTGAAGAGATAACTGGAGCTCCAGAGGTCACCATCTCCAAGTGAAGGTCCACTGGGGGCGCCGGCTTCATTCTGGCTGGAAGAAAGAAACGCTGCAGCTCGTCCGTGCTGAAGCATTTAACTTATTTATGTGGATTTATAACCTCAGAATGTACCGATAACCGCTTCTAAAATGTGAGGAAACATTTCAGAAGCTACTATATTTATTCAAACTTGGGCTTGAGTGTTTTTTGTTGGACATTTAATCACCTTTAAAGTTGGTTTTGACTTCCTGTATTTTGCCATTAATCTCTATTCAGAATTTAACATCTTCAATCAAACACTAACAGCTGTTGGGAAATGTTGTTTAATCAAAGTGTGATGATACAACTTTACATTTGTTGTCCCCATTAAGTGGAAAATCAGATGTTTGACAGCTGGAGTGTTTAATAGTCCCTCTGATTAAGGGGAATAAAATATACAAAACACTAATTTCTTGCTTGGAAGTAAAAGACGCTTTTTTCACGAAGACGAGGGCAGAATGCAGAAAGAAAAGAAAAGTCACCAGCGGCCATTTAAAAACATTACAGACTTCCAGTTTTAGTTTTGTTCAAGCCAGAAAAACTCAGTCGATTACATCAGGATCAAAAGTCTTAAAGTTGTCGCAGTTTGAGAAGAACTCAATTTTGATACATTTTGTTTCCTGTAACAGAACAGAGGAACCCGACGTGGACACAAGACCGTCACACTGAATGAAGCAACACACACACAAACACACACACACACACACACAGGAAACTGGCTCAGAAAGAATCGCATGTTTTCAAAGGTTTTACTTTTTTCCTTCAGACGGGGAACTATTCTTGAAATACAGAACCCATCGATGTGTGACCCCGCCCATCGCACACACACACACACACACACACACACACACAAAGACACACACACCCTTGTTAAAGCCATCCCGTGTCGACCAACGTGCACCTGGTAGAAGCAGCCAGGTGAAGGGAGGAGCAGGTGCACGTCCTCTCGGTTCCCGGCTGGAATGTAGTGACGCGCACACACACACACACACACACGCACACGCACACGCACACGCACACGCACACGCACACGCACGCAATCTCAGGTAAACAATGTACTCCTCTGGCGGACGGACAGGCCTGGCGAGCGTGCAGGCAGGAAAGGGAACTGAAGCCTGGAGGGTTCCGAGGTCCCTCATCGCGTCTCTCATCGGGCGGGTCATTCTGACCTTTGACCCCTGCCAGGCGACGTCTACCACGGCCTCAGCGGAGGCGAGGGGGAGGCACAGGAAGGGTGCGGATGGGTGTCTCTTTACAGGTTGTGTGTATGTGGAGAGAGAGCATGCATGTTTGAGGTGTCTGCGAGAGCAAAGGTGTGTGTGTGTGTGTGTGTTTAGTGATTTTGTACGTGTGTTTATGTGTAAAAAGTGCAATCGTCAATCCTCGTGTCCTTCCGCGTGTCCTCAGCAGCCAGAATCCTAATAAGTCCTCATGTCCGTTGTGTCTCACGGCCCTTAAGTCTCTGGGGGGCCACAGTCAGTACGCGAGCTTCACAGCCTACAAAGCTGAAAACTAAAAACAAAAACAACAGAAAATGGGGTCCGAATATCAGAGATTGGAGCCGTCCAGGAGGTGCACCTCCTCCTCGCTGTCGTCGCCACCTCCTCCTCCTCCTCCTCTGCCGTCCTGGAAGGAGCGGATCAGTTGAACATGATTGACTCGGGATCTAGGTTTGCCATTTGAGCCATGTGACGCAGGATGTCTTTTTTTGTGATAATACCAAGAAGCCGCCTGCAGGGGGAGACAAAGTGGAAGGAGAGAGACAGGAGGAGGGTTAGAGGAGCGAGGAGGTGATGCTGATGCTGCTGCTGCTGCTGCTGCTTTCGGAGTCACGGAGAGAAAACATCATGCTTTTGTTGGCGCGCTTGGTTCAAATGTCGCGCAGGTCGTCCATCGAGGAGATTTCAATCGGCTTTGGAGGAAGCGTAAGAGACGTTTGTGGACATCGATGGACTGGACAGCCAACAAAAACACGAGTCCCTGAGGAGGCAAAAGTGAGCGGCAGGAGAGGAGGGAGTGAGTAACCAGAGGAGGAGGAGAGGAGTGAAAGAGCAGGTCCAAGAAGCCCATAGGGAGGAACCGCTGGATCCTACGGGGGGGGGGGGGGGGGGGCAGGAAGTAATGGAGCGGCACAGGAGACCAGTTAGAACCCCCGGGGGGGGGAAGCTGACCTCGCCAAAAGCGTCAGATCTGAATCCCCCACCGATGATTGGATTACAACTTTCTATATTCTTTTTGAATAATCACTTCATTTATTGAAGAAACATTTCTTTAACAAGCTGTTGATTAATTAATAATCCCTCCCCAGTTAAAATGCATCACTGGAGATCGCTGTCAATCCAGCCAAATCCCCTCCCCCCCTCCCCCCCCGTGAAGCATTCATCTGATCGACCCCCCCAACGAGTAGACGTCACGCGTCTCTTCAGAACGCCGCCGATTCGAGAGAACCTCGCGGGGCGGCGAACGCCGCGCGCCGCGATGCTCCCTCGAACGCAGCCGTGAACGGAGGAAAATAAAGTGCAGAGAAGGTGAGTGAGCGGAACCCATCTGACCCCGGGTCAGTGGGAGGAGTCGACCTGCTGGGGGGGGAGGGGTTAGAGCTCAAACTACAGAGCGACAGGAGGAACCGATTGCGGCCGCTCTCGCTCATTGGAATGAACGAGCGCAGCCGCAGAGGCTCGAGACGCCGGCTACAGAGGTGAAGGTGAAGGGGGGAGGGGGGCAGGGGGAGGGGGGGGTTCCTTGTTAGCCAGCAGAGTCCACAGTGATGTTCAGGTATATTAATGGAATTCTCTCCGTTTGCTTTCATTACGCGGCGGCGGGACTCTGCTGGCTGAGAGGAGACGTCGGCAGGTTGAAATCCATTCAGCTCATTTGTTTTCGTTTGGTCACCACACGGCAGCTAGCCGGGTCACTACGGCGCTACGAGGTACCACGACAACATCACTGCAGCACAGGGCCGGCTCGCTACTCGCCGAGTGGTTGCTAAGGCGACCAGTCAGATGCCGTCAGTCTGTGGAGACCCAGGTCGAAGCGGTGCGGCCGGGAGGGAGGGGGGGGGGAATAAAACAAGACAAAGCAGTTGTTAATGAAGGCAGAACATTCCAGAAGTGTCACAATGGAGTGATGGAGTGCTGAGGTGAAGGGAGGCCGGTCGCATGCAGATATGGGGTCTACTGGTGAATCTCAGCTACACAGAACACCGTCAGAATGGAGCCAAACTACGCGTGAGCTACTCAGGCAACGAGACGGCGACAGGAAGCAGGCGGGCGCAGCGAGGAAGCCGCTCGCCGAGCCGCTTCCGGGCCAACGCCGGCCGTTCTGTAGAACTTAAAAGCTTTTTGACTCACGTTTAAATCAAAAGGCCTCGCGCTGGTGAAAGTGAGCGGCCATCGGAGTTTTCGTAAATCGAACCCGACAACCGTTTTCAGCGAGTTGGACATTTTGGATACGAAGAATTGGAAGTTCTCTCGTTGGCTTCATTGAGGACCATCGCGGGAAACTCATCTCATCGATCCTGATTTCAGCATTTCCCTTATCTAGAGATTTATACAGCCTACGATTCGTTCAGCATCGCTAACTGGGACAAAACCCGAAGATCACGACTCATCTATCTGCTCGCGTGATGCATCAAGCCGTCTTGATGGCAGTTAAAGTTACTTGGCCTGATGTGCCAGCCGCACCGCGAGGAACTGAAAACACAACGTTCCGCGTGTCACTAGATTGTCTACTACTGTCAAAGCTGGAGGTCTCCCTACCGGCTGAATGCGTCACCATGCGCGTTGACCTGCGACCTCATACGATGGTTTCAGGTCTCGCGCTGCAGGTCGGCTTGAAGGTGACGCGTCACCGATCAGCACCGACCTTGACGTGGTTGAATGATTTGTGCATAAGACGCTGCTGGAACGTTGGCATGAATTAGAAAACGACTTTAAACATCATAGTTACGTAACGAGGCGCACGTCTGAGCGGGGCGAACGCGTCTACGGCGCTGAAGATGGAGGCGAGAGGACGTCTGTCTACGAGAGGTGAAATCCACACCGAACAAAACCCACGAGCAACAGGGAGCCGACAGCGAGTGAGGAGGAGGAGGAGGAGGAGGAGAGCAAGGCCTAGCGCGTAGCCGCCGACGGACAACAGTTTCATGCAGCCCTCTTAAGAGGCGGAGCCTAAGAGACAGGTGTGAGAGAGTGGGAAGGGGCGGGGTCACATGTGTAGAAGGGGTGGGGCTAGTCACCAGGGGCTCCTTGTCCTGCTTGAGCTCCTCCAGATGCTCTAATATATTCTTCTTTGTGATGATGCCCAAAACAATCCTGTAACACACGTTAATCGGTAAACTGCGCAAAAAACAACAAATAAACAAAAACAACAAGCAGGAGAGAGACAGCAGCACAAAAACATACACAACAGGTTGCAACTTAAAACATTTAAAAGAAAAAAACTCGACTGTAACATAAAATACTACACAAAACAACAAAACTTACATTTACGTCACCTGTTCAGTGATGCGGTTTGTGACTCATCTAATAAACTAATATACTGTTTGACTGGCACCATTATTCATAATTATTCAGTCATTTGAGACTTTCTGGAAAGCAGTTTAAAGAAATTTGTATTGTGACTTAAACGCTACTCTTCTTACATTTATATAAAACATAGTAAGAAATATTAAATGAAGACAACCGTCTGTAAATGGAGGAGTAATGAAGGCATCACATCAGCAGGTGGCGCTGTTGGACCCGCGTGAGGCATTAATAGTCACGACTACTGCTCAGAATAAACAAGGCTTTCATCGTCTACATTCCCCACCACGGTACCCGCCAAGTGGTCGTAGTTAATCTCGGTTATTGCAGCGGGGGGGAGGCGGGGGGGGAGGCAAAGGGAGGGCAGCGGTTAGGCCATGCAGGTTACGTGGTCAATCCGGGGATTTAAGAGCCCGCGCAACACCGGACGCTGTGCGCACGCTCGTCGCCCACCGACGGGTAAACCACATCGTGACCAGCGGGAAGGAAAAGGAGGCGAGAAGGATTCCGCCTTCGGTCCTCGCCGCTCCTCAAGCTCTCGGGAGCGCTCCGACTTACCCGTTGTGAGTGACCAGACACTGGCGCAGCCCCATCTTCCTGAAGATGTCCACCACGATCTCCATGGGGGTGTGGTCGGTGACGGTGAAGGGGCTCATGTCCAGGATGGAGCGCAGCTTGAGGGGGCGGGGGCTGTCGGCGGGCAGCGTGGGCGCGTGCTGGGTGAAGTAAACCCGCGAGTTCAACATGATGCCCTCCTGCTTGCGACGCGCATTTTCTGTTGAGAAAGAAGCGGCGTCACAATCTGGAGGTGCCGCGGGAGCGAGCAGACGTTTTGTCCGTCGGGGGGCGGGGGGGAAGGACGGCGTTACCTATGGCGATGGTGATGTCCCTGCGCAGAGCGAAGCCCACCAGCCTCTGGGACTCCTTGGACACGATCACGGGGAAACCGTTGTAACTGGTCTCGTTGATGGTGCTCTGCAGCTCGTCCACCGTCAGGTCGTCCTGCGTCAGCACCGCCAGCGGCGGGTCGCTGCGCCGGGGCCTCATCACCTCGCGGGCCAGCGTGACGTGCGTGAACTCCTTCTTTGGCGTCCAAGAAGGGGTACCCGTTCAGGCGGATGTGGCCTCGTGAGATTCCCCTCGCGGCCGAACGCGGTCGCCACCCACTTGCTGGTCATGACGCGGCCCATGAGGGGGACGATGTCTTCAGGCCCGCCGGTCAGCTCAAAGACGATGCCGACCAGGGAGACGGTCATGGGGGTCACGCCGCCTTGAGGGGAGGGGGGGGGCGTGACGTGAACACACAACTAAAGATTCTAGTACGAAAAAAAACACCAAACAAACAAACGGCGACTCACCCAGACACGCCGCCGCCCCCACCATGGCGTAGAGCCCCGGGGTGATGCAGTCCGCCCCCACCTCGCACCACTCCCTGAACACGAACCAGTCGTGGTGATAGTAGGCCAGCTGCTCCACGGCGATGCCGACGATGCGCCCCGCGATGGCCCCGATGGCCATGCTCGGGATGAACAAACCCGACGGCACCTGAGGACGACAGACGGGAAGCGGCGTCACGCTGGGGGAGACGCCCGCGAGCGTGGGTGAGCGGGGGGGGGGGGGTTCGAAAAAACATCACCTTGAGTCCGAAGGTGAAGATGGTCATGATGATCTTGAAGACGAGCGCCAGGCACAGCTGCCACATGGGGGCGTAGACGTCGGGCCCCGCCGGCCGGTTGGGGTTGTCGGTGAAGGCCTTGCTGCCGTTCATCTGGCTGCGGTACTGGCAGAGCTGCGAGGACTCCAGCGGCCCGCAGTCGGTGAACAGCTCCTTGATCAGCTCGCTGGTGTTCTGGCGCGTGTACGGGTTGGGGAAGGCGACCACGGCCGTGACGGCCGCCACCAGGATCACCTCCAACACCGGGTACTTGCCTGCGGGCGGGGGGGACAACGCCACGCGTTACCACGCACGGCCCTCTTTTAAAATCAGCCATCTCCGGCTCGGAGCATTAAAAAAAGGTGCCGCTTGAGCCCGATCCGAACCCGCCAATCAAACACTTGCCGAAGCGCGTCGACTTGCGCCGGCGGCACCACGCGATGTTGGCTCGGATGAAGAAGGCGCCCCAGAGGCCCCCGAACACCCCCAGGAGGATGAAAGGGATGAGCTCGAACAGGTACCACGGCGTGTGGTACTCCACGTAGAACAGCACCAGGCGGCTGTTTCCAAACGGGTTGATGGAGCGCAGGACGAAGGCCGCCACCAGGGCGGCGAAGAAGGAGCGCCACAGCGTCTTGAGGGGGAAGTAGTAGCTCACCTGGGCGAGAGGGGCAGAGGGAGAGAGAGAGGGGAGTCATCCTGCCACTCAAGGGGGAGCGCGGAGCGTGAATTCGCCGTACCTCCTCCAGGCTGAAGAGGACTCCTCCGATCGGGGCTCCGAAAGCCACCGACACGCCGGCGGCCGACGCAGCCGAGAGAACCTGAGCGGACAAAAACGCACCTCAGCAGGTGGGACTCATACGTTGCAGCAAAGAAACAACGCGGACTCAAACGCCGCCTCCCCCACCTCTCGTTTCTTGGCCTCGTTCTTGCTGTACTTGGGGAAGAGGTAGGAGAAGATGTTCCCACAGCAGCAAGCCACGTGGACCAGCGGGCCCTCCTTCCCCAGGCTCAGGCCGGACGCCACCGCCAGTACCAGAGTGACGGTCTTGATCATCAGGGTCCACTTGCCCAGGTAGCCCCGGATGATGAAGCCGCTCAGGATGGTTTTGATCTGCGGCGAGAGGGAGGGGAAGGTCTACTGACGTCGGTTTGGACAAATAGGCAGGAAACACCTCCAGAGTGAGACGTTATGAAGGAGAAGAGAACCGCAGCAAATCAAATGCATTTTTGTTTATTAAACTACTCAAGTGATCATCAGTAGTCAAAGAATCACTTAACTGTAGATTAAAGTAATCTGAAGTAACTATGAAGAAAAGAAATCTTTGAAAGTTTGAAAGTTGCATGACATTCAAACGTGCGAGCACGTGGCGCCCTTTTCCTCACCTCAGGGATCCCCGAGCCGCAGGCGTAGGGAGCGAACACCTTGACCAGGCAGACGGCCAGGAAGGCGAAGGACAGAGCCCAGTAGATGTACATGAAGTAGTTCATGATGTACGAGCCGGGGCCCTGCGGAGAGGAGAGGGGAGGAGTGAAAATCCCCCCAAAAATGGCTGTGAGGTCGCGGCTCCTCGGCGGCGATGTCACTGCGGCGGTCTACCTCGGCCTGCCCCAGTATCAGCTCGGCCCAGCTCTTCCACTGGGGACACTTGTCCCGCTCGGCGAAGGTGGTCTCGTTGGACGTCCAGCAGCACTGCTCGTGGTTGAACCACATGGCGCTCAGGCACACGCCCTCCTTCAGGTCGTTCAACCAATCAGCAGCGATGTCAATCAGGCCGGCCAAAGCACCTGGTCGAGGAGAACCAGGGAGGAAAGAGGAGGAGGCGCCGGCGCCGGCGTCGGGGGACGAGGGAGACAAAGAGAAATGCGAAGCGTGAGAGCGTCACCAGCGGAGGAGAGAACGGCCGCGTGCTTGTACTGTGTGTGTGTGTGTGTGTGTGCGCTACCTGAGGCCAAGCCGGTGAGCGTCACCACCAGCCACCCCGACCAGGCGTCGTACAAGCTCTTTGTGAACTCCCATGCCGACTCCTTCTTCTTACTGTTGATCTGAAACACACAGAAGAGTTAGCAAACAAAAAGCTAAATCCAACACAGGGACCCAGTTTATGAGCTTAGCAAATGACTTATAGGGGCTGAAATGCAAGTAGGTGAAAGATCAGCTGCTGTGGTGGCTTCATTTTCAAATGGAACCTCAATAAAATGATAAAATTCCCGTGAAGCCGGTAAGACCAGGTTATAAAAAAAAAATGAAACAATTGTTTGATAAAGTATTCAAACAACACTCACATTCCTCAGGCATCATTTCCAGCAGCGAGCTGTGGCGCCGTGTCAATATTTGGTTAAGCGTGTTTAACAGAGCGGTTTCGATCTGGTAATGTGTAACGTGTCCATTCATTCATTAATTCATTCAGGCTCACCAGGAACACTGAGATGATGGTGAGGCTCTGAAACACGGAACTTTGTGTGGGACACAAACAAACTATGGCATCTTCCCCTTGAGGCGTGTGCAGAGGAAACACACACACACACACACGCACACGCACACGGCTCACCTTCCGGTGCCTCTCCCGGTCCTTGCACTTCTCACGGACCCAGTCGATGGTGTGGAAGTCGTCGTAGGTCCCCACACCAGGGATGGGCTCCTCCAGGAAGTCCAACAGGTGGGTGGTGGTGCTGGGCGCCCCGCCCCCGTTAGTCATGACGTAGTTAGACCCTGAGGAGACGGCAAAGAACGGGTAATGAGAGCTCAGCGACTAAACGTTTTGACGTCCATGTCATGTCCCTGGAGGACTCCTGAGGGACTCGACCGGGACGGCAGCTCCTGCTCATTTCTCTGTCCTTTTTTTTCCCCCCACTTTCAAAGAGGCCGCGAACCCCAAACCGAAAGTTGTCTTTGTAAACTACAAAGTAAGTAGATCTTAAGTGAATCTAAAAGTAATCAGATTTATATTTGGCTCTTACTCGTCCTATCGAGCATCAGAGGAGATGTCTGATCTGGTCATTGAGCTTTAACTCGGTAATGACTTCAACGTGAACACAAAGTCACAGGCTGCGCGACGCAGACGCTGCCCGCCGCTCTCTGGAAGGTGGCGTCCGTCCTGTAAACGGACTGTGATGAGGAGAGTCATCTGCCACATGTTGAATTTGCCGCCCCCCCCAGAGTGCGTTTGATGAATTAAGGAGAACCGGTCCTCTGCCACGGCGGCCTGATCCGCCCACTTACGCGAGGCTTCTTTATCCGCCACACAAAGGCGGTTCAGTGTGTAACCAGAACAAAGGAGAGACAGTAGGAAAACACTGCATGTGACGCGTCGCAACTTCACGAGACAAACTCGTTCATCCCGTCCGCGTGCATTCAGGAATATGACATTGTTATACGAAGACGGGTGCGACTACGTGTGAGCAGTGCGGCTAGAATACACGTCTAACGTTAGCAACACGTTTAGTGGACGGATCAGAAGTCGGAGGATGAAGTCTGACATTTACCCCGCCGACGACAAGCGATACGAGCTACAAAAATAGCTCTTTTATTTTATAAGTGATCGTCTCCAGAGTCGAGGGACACGCCGTCGACGGTCATCGTCGAAACAAACTGACAAGCTAAACAAATATGTCCGGTTTGCCCACTCCGGTAACGGAATCTTCCAGCATCATTGAGGGTACAAATTTGAAACATTTATTAACCCAAGTGCAGATACAGAAAAAGGCGCCACTGACTGCCGGTTTCCCTGACAACAGGTCGGTGAAGAGAGAACAAAGACGGAGTCTTGATGCCATTTGACGAGCAGACGTGCACATTCCAGTCCACATTAACCCCCCCGAGCAAGACCACGACTGGGTCCTGACCGGCCAACAAGGCCTCATTCACAGAGCGCTTTGATTCAAAGGTCAAACCGGACCGTAGCATCACGTCGCTGCATTCTTTCCCGGCAACACAAGAAGTCCGCAGCAGTGAGAGCGCCGGGATTAGAGAGGGACGAGACGTTTGAGGGCAGCAGATGAGCGTGTGGGACTTTCTCGCTGACTAGTTCAAAAGGAAACGTGTCCGTGGTTAGAAGAGGAACTTTCCTTTGAGTCATCGGTTTGCACGTCTGCTCCGTAAGCACAAGAGAGGCGGCGGCGAAAACAAAAAGAACAACCTTCATCCTCCTTTGGATTCTAACATGTGGGCCGAGGAGACCGCAGGTATTGATTTCTTCACACAGCGACGGTCCCGACGTCTTAGGGGGCCTTCAGGTGCTCGTCTTGGTCTCGTGGAACCAATTCCCTCACGTACGCAAATCGATTCCTGGTGATTCCCTTCATTTCAAAACTGAAGGACCTTGACGTCCACTGAATGTAGATTCAGGAGGGAAAAACAAAATGTTTAGAGGAGAAACAAGTACGGAGGCTCCACATCAACCGCTGCAGAGTCCAACAGGCGGTTTCCCCATGACGCCGCGCTCACGTCCGATTAGCGAGGTGCTTCCTTTGCTTTTCCTCCTGCATTAAAAGCATCGACGCGAGGCTTCTTTAAAATGGTTATCCCGCCGCAGCAGTCCGGGTCCCACGTATCGGCCTTCAGTGAAATGCGATCGCTTCACGGGCCCCCCCGGAGCGGCGTCGGTCACGTGATCACAGCATCACAAACCGAATGCAGGCCGAGAAGCCGCGGGGCGTCAGCAGCCGGCGGCCCGTTGACCCGCCTGCAGGGAGAGTCCGACAAATAAACAGAGCAAAGTCCTGTTTACACGCGACGCGCTGGTCAGAAAGCAGCCGGATTATAAACTACGCATCTGCAAAGGAGAGAATAAATTCAAAAGACACCCTGCGTTTGCACAACGTGGACGTCTGCGTCCCTAAACGCCCTCTTGGTCTTTTGTCTCTGCTCGTTCACCAGAAGAACCCACCGAGGGCCGGAGGAGCCTACGCACGAGCAACCGAACCCCCCCGAAGGCCACGGGGCAAAGAAAAGAAACAAAAAACAGGACACGCTGTGTACGAACTCAACCCGGGAAAACACATAAAACAGCCCGACGCCCCCGAGGAGGCGACGTCCTGAAACGGGCCAACAGGTGTCCGACCGCTCTCTCTCCACACACACACACACACACACACCGCGGCCGACAACATTCAGTCCACATGTGTGGCAGCAGAAGCCTGCGTGTGTGTGTGTATTAAAATGGAGGCTCGCGGTGTGTGCTGCTTACGGGCCTCAGCAAAAGCCTTCACACGACCTCAAGTCCCTCTTTATCTCATTATCTCAGGCTGACACACACACACACACACACACACACACACACACACACCCGCTGGTTGATCATCTACAGGGGGGGTGAATGGTGGGAGGAGTCGGGCAGGAGGTTGTTTTGCTCCCAAGGAACAAGTGGATGGCAATGGTAGCGTCACGCTCCGATTTCAGACTACCCCCCCCCCCCCCCCATGTGATGAAGGCCCGCCGTGTGAATACATGCAGCCACTGTACGAGGGGGAGGAGGAAGAGGAGGATAAGGCTGGCCTCTGTCATCACAGCAGCGTGAGCGACGGAGGGAATATGGGACGGGAGGGGGGGGGAGGGAAGGGGGATAAGAGGGGGAAGTGGCGTACCTCTCTTAGGGATCTCCTGCAGGGGGATGGTGTCCCCTCCCCCGTCGTAGGGCAAATAGGGGTCGGCCGCTGGGTCCTCCTCCTCCATGTTGACACGGGGCTAAGCTAGGCTAAGCTAAGCTAAGCTAGGATTCACTGCGCACTGCTCGCTGTGCGTCAGTCGCTGCCATGTTTACCGGGGGAAGACGAGCGGGGCTGTGAGAGTGAGTGCGTGTCCTCCCCCCTCTCTCGCTCTCACTCTCACTCTCTCTCTCTCTCCTTCCACTGCAGCAGCTGACTGTTGGAGCTGATGATGTCACCACATGCGCGCGCACACACACACACTCGAAGGGAAACGAGCACACCGGTCTGGTCGGCCTGCTCGGTTGCTATGGGAGATCAGCGCGCCCTGCTCGTACGGGGCAGACCACGACGCCGGGCCACAGGGGTGCGCCTACAGGGCTCCGAGTGGAATATTCCATTGCGAGCAGCTGCAGGGGCCTTAAAGTAAAAAGCCATGGAAGTTGTTCCACGAAGTTGAAATAAATCTGCATTCATCTGCCGCCGTGTTGATTGTCAACTCATTCAGGTTATTTCCACCAGACCCGAAAATGTGAATATCTGCTGAACTGAGTGTTCACAGATTTTTCCACCCATCTAGACTCTAGTGGATTTCATGGGTTAAATCATTCCTCGCCGTTCCAAAACAAAAGGTGTTTGGTAAACCTGGTGTGCTCATGTGTTATTATCTGAAACAAGGCAGCTTCCATAGAAAACACACAAAAAAAAAAAAAAAAAAAGAAGTCCGTCATAAGTTGGACTCTCCCTTACCTCTCAGCAGGGCTCCTGTTGCTAGGCAATGACAGCCATAGTTTGTTACTTCCTGCTCCACGAGTACCGGCCGGGACGTCAAACCGGTGAGTTATTCGTACTTCCCAAAGCTCTGCTCCGTGTATCCGCTTTACTGCCCCCGAGCAGGCAAAAAGTTTGACACAACACAGAGCGAGGCCGCCGCCCCCCCGCTGTGATCCCACCTCTCACCAGTTAACCCGCCGCTGCCTGCGGAGACGAGATTTCCCTACAAACGGTCGCAGCCAAACTGGTTCGCGGGTGCCGCGAACAAATAGCGACTTGACGAGAGCGGGAGGCGGAGCCGACGCAAATGAAGCAGCAGCCACGCGGGACGGCCTTGAAACAGCCGGGATCAGGCGGTTCCCCCCTGACACGTAAAACACCCGCAACCTCTTTGAAGGGAACGGATGTGGCGAGGAGAGACAAAAGGGCCTCTTCCCACTATCTGTTATCTGTTGACTGGAGCAGAAACGTTACGGTTTGTGGCAACTGTGCAAAGTGACGCTGGAGGCGCCATGAAAGAAAACCTGCCAATTTCCCAGCGGTTCATTTCTGACTTGACCCCCCCTCCGCGAGAAAGAATGCAGAATCAGCAGTGGTAGCGAGATGAGGAAGAACCAACAGGATGCAGCCGATCGGATGTCCATTGGACACCAGACGCACCCGACCAGAGCAGCACAGAGGTTCTGACTGGAGGAGGAACAGGTGACTGCAGAGGAATCACAGGTATGAATGCAACTATTTGGACGCACACGCCCCACCTGAGCTCCATATTCAGCCGATGACAGCGAAAACAAAGGGGTCATGCTGCGTGTCGGTATCAATACAAACACCCGCTTGTCCTTCGTTGCTCCCCGACAGGAAAGAGCAAACAGAGGGGAGGAGGAGGAGGAGGAGGAGGAAGCAAAGCCAAAGCACATGTTAGACTGGAGGCAGATCACAAGACAAACAGGAAGAAAGACAAGAAAAGTGACGTGTGCAAACACTAAATCTTCTAATACTAATAACTGCTGCTGTTGGGGAGCCTTTTAAGTGGTTGTCAATCAATCAATGCAAAGAGGGATTACAAGGACAAACCAATCAATGAGTAAATACACAATAAATGTTTGTAGTTATCGGGTCTCTGAACCCGATGGAGATCTGCTCTGGAAAACGTTAGTGTGTTTACTTTGTCACGAAGACTTGGGCTGGGTCAAAGGTCACGCTGAGGTCACCTCTACGCTTTGCCTCGTCAGTTTTTCAATTTAATAACCATTTGTGAGGCTGGACGTCGCCGGCGGCAGGTGTGCAGGCTGACGGGGGGGCGTGGATGGAGATGAGGGCGGTGGCAGGCGGACAGATGGCACAGCAACAAGCTCGGGGTCACGGGGGGGAGGGGGGGGGACGAGGGTCCAGGACAGTCAAACATTTGGGGACAGGAGGGACGAGGGAGGAGGCAGAAGGCATTTGGGGGCATCCCGTTCTCCCTACCTGGGGAGGCAGCGTCCCCATCCAGCAGGTTGTCGTCCTCGGTGGTGTGGAAGTCCATGGCGACGCCGGCTCCATCCAGCAGCTCCTCGTCGCTGCTGGCGCTGGCGATGCTGTTGTAGCTGTTCCTGCAGTAGCCTCGGTGGTACAGCTGCTCCGACTCCATCTAGCAACGCACCGGGGCCCTGGATGATGGGGGGTGGGGGGGGGGGGGTGTACACACACGCACACACACACACACACACACACACCGTGCTGTGAGACAGCGAGGTGGCTCTGGGAGTCAGGGGGGAATGGCGACGTGCACGTGGACCCGCTGGGTGAGGACGGGATGGAGGGGGGCCGCGGTCGTGCTCACACATTCAGGCTCCGGAGAACGAGGCGCCTGGTGTCACCGGCGAGGAGACACTTCGCCCAAATCACCTGACAAACCGAGCGGTTCAAACATTTTATTAAGTCCTCAGTTTCACATTTGATTCTTCTTTTCTTTCTGTGTTGTATTTCCGGTGGCGTTCATCCATCTCACGAGAAGCTAATTACTTATTGTGATGTGGAATCCAGCAGGCGAAGGAAAGTCAATATCTCATCTATGAAACAGACACCCATTATTTATAAAAACACAATCCAACTAAGCCTTTGCAGTTTAACCTGGTGGGTAGTTAATAACAATATATGTTACGTAGGAATAAAATCATTCAGTTATTTTAACGTAAGCTTGAGGTGGAAAAATCAGGGAAGGAAAACGCTTCACAGCTATTTGTAAAGTCTTTTTAGAGATAATACTTCATTCTCAAGTGGTGTATTTATAGAATGAGGGATTAAAATGACACGCGGACTTATGTACGCGGATCAACGCGCTGGAACAGGAGCAGAGTGACGTCACCGCACAGCACCTGCTCTCCAACAGCGCCCCCAAGAGGAGCAGGTGGAAAGCCCCCCGCGTCAACCATCCCGACGATCGCCGCCACGACCTCCCCCTCGAGCGGATTTAAATCAGCCGGGGAATTCCGTTCAGCTCCTCAGCGGAATCGATGGCCTCGCTGAGCTCCGCGTGACGTCACATTCCGCTGCTCTTTGACCCCTCGAGTTGTGCAGAGTCACCGTGATTTGGGGGGGGGGGGGGGGGGAAGCGTTACATGCAAGCCGCTGGTTATTCTTCATCTCTCTCCCTCCACTATTCGGGTCCGGGGATGTGAAGGAAATAGATATTTGATCAATGCAGGGGGGTGTTTTTGTGCAGCATTGCTAACCGGGGACTCATTAAGGGGATAAATGAGTTGGCACTACGTTGGTGGCATCAACAGACGGCCAATGGGATTTTGCTTTGTTGCAATAAATAAAACATGGCAAAGAGCCAACGCCCACAAGTGGGGATGTATTCTACGTATTGAACAGAATGTTAAAATCTCTTAAGCCTGCGTTCCTCACAGGGCTCATTTGAGGGGCCCAAAATGACCCGGTCCGTTGTGAACAAACGAGCTTGTGAGCCTCTCCGCTGGCGTTGCTTTCTCTCTGCTGGTGACATTTAAATAGAAAGCTATAATTATGAAAGCCTGCGCCGCGCTTATCCACGTTCCCCCTTCAATATTTGCAAGCAGCACTGAAAACAGCAATTATGTCAGGAAGACTAGAGTGCGTCGGCTGTGGTGGAGCTGCCGTCCTACGAGTCGGATGTCATTTCGCTGATAAGCGAAGGCGATAGTGTGCGTGTCCCTTTATGACAGCAGCATAGTCAAAAGCGAGAGAACAAAAGGTAACTGGTGTTACGTAACCAGCAGAGCAGCGAGGGTCGCTGCCTTCCTCCGGCTGGTCACCATGGAGGCGTTGCCCAGGCGACCGTTGCCGGGCCTCGACTCAGCGTTACGGCCTCCGTGGGACCGACTCCTGTAGACGCACAAGCCGACACGCATCCTTCCGAAAGACGACGACAGGCGGAAACAACGCGAATGCCGTGAAGAAAAAAAAAAAAGAAAGAAAGAAAAAGAACTCTCGCTTTACAATAAATGTTGGACACTACAAGTGGTGGCAGCTTTCTGTGGATTTAACTTATTATGAATAGATTGACACTACATCCATTTCCCTTTTCATTTAGTCACTTAGTGGATTGAATGTCAAGTCGAATACGGAGGAAAACAACAAAACAAGCCATGCGGAAGACACTTCCTACTTTTACAATGCAGAATTATTAATAAAATATGTCAGCCAGTAAAATAAATGCAGCCCTTCAAGGAATCCTCCAGTGTGTGTGTTCTTGTTTGACTTCATACTGCTTGAGGAGGACATTTGGTCATCGTGGTTATGTTGCAAATAAACATAAAATACAAAATGTTGGCAATCAATTGTTTGGTTTCAAATATGTAGAAAAAAGAAGAAAAAAAACATCATTACAATAAATATTGTATAACATATTTAAATTGTCCAAATAATCACCATACCAGCTTTAAAAAAATAAGACCAACCAAATGCCTTTCTAATAAAAATGAACTATTTGCCTGAGAAACAACTTAAGCGTTTAAGTTTTGAATAAGTTGTATGATAATAAATGATAAAATCAGTCATTACAAATGGCATTTTGTGATGAATTTTAGGGGAACCAGGGTAACAAATGGTGTGTCGAGCTACTACAAATAAACTTAATTTGCACAGTGGGTGGAAACATTTTGAGTGCAACTGAAGACGCATTTTCAGCTGTCGTTTAAAAAAAATAAATCGAAAGAAACTTAGAGGAGAAATCATGCAAAAGTTGAATATAGCTGTATTCTCCAGTCGGCTGCTTTTGACATCACGCAATCACCTGAAGGGACGGACGCGTTTAAAGGACAGAGGACAGAGGACAGCGTCCTAAATAAATGTGATTTACCACGTTAATGGTGAAAAAGGGACCGTGAGTCAGTGACATGTCGACTAGCCGAGCAGCTAGCCGCGCAGCGCCGACCGTTACGTCTGCATCTCCCGACCCCCCCCCCCCCCCGGAAGAGAGAACCCACCAACGCCACAGGGCCCCCCCCCCACCCCAACGGCTAGTTTCGACACAACAAAACACACACGGGGGAGGAGGAGGAGACCCCCGTTGAGTTCTCACAAGCAGCCGCTGGAGGCTTAGCCACCGAGCTAACATGCTAGCCGGGGGGAGGGGGGCCGCGGGGGGGGGTTAGCTAGCACCTGTTCGTGTGGAACCGACCTGCGAGTCCGCGGGACGCGACCGCGGGGACACGCAGCGTGGACGCGTTCCTCCGCACTGAAAAGTGCACGCCGGCAAACCGGCCACGGTCACACGCGAGGAGACGCGCGTTACCTTCGTGCTGCCGCCGCACAGCGCATCGTCTCCTCGGCCTCTATGTTGTCAGCCGGCTGGAGGCTGAAACGGGGATCCGCGTTTCCTCACAGTGGATTTGACGGTCCGCTCGTCATGATGCCCCCTTTTTCTCTCCAGTCCCGCTCCCGTGACGGTGACGTTCACTTCCGGTTTGCCATCACATCATCGGATCAATAATTCATCGAACTGATCCGCCGACGAGATGATGGAAGGCGGGAGATGAGAGGCTGACAGCGGGGGGGGGGAGTACTCCGTACAGGGGAAAGTACTCCAAAAGTACTGCGTGTTAAATAAGTAGAAGCAGAGACATGGACTTAAAATATCAAATTATTACTCATTAGATTAGTAAACTGTTCTGTGTTTTCCTATTTTTATATATTTTATATATGTAAATATTTTAAGTACTGTACTTATATGCAATTCTGAGAAACTTATATTATTACTATATTTTGGTGTTGGGAATATTGTAACATTTGAGTGTATGTTCGGAGGATGTGCGTGTTAGTTGGATGTGTATTGTGTGTACTAGGAGATGTTTTCTCCCCACAAAGGAAAATACTTGTTTTTTATGTACCTTTTTACTGCATTTCTTTGATAACCTTAAATTGCAGTTACCTGCAGAGTTACATTAATAATAAATAAATGTATCGTGCAATACGGTTGAAAGGCGCTTAATACACCAGCAGATTTTTACTATATATATACAATTTATATATATTGTATATAATTTGATATATACATATTATATATATTATATATTATATAACCAGAACAGGGATGTTTTACCATCATTTCCTCCTGTTTTTAATATTTCTATCACCCAACAGCATCATCCAGTAACCAACATGAGCTGATTTTATTGGTCCTGAGTGAGCTTTAAAAACACAACTGAGATTATCCACTGCAGCGATGACCAGACGACATACAGGTTAAAACAGAAGATGAGGCTCCACTTTCACCTCCTTCCGACTAGATTAATTGATCGTGTTTCTATTCATCGCGCTTCCCTCGCGGGTCAACTCTCCTCCAGACCGCGATAGAAAGAGGCGTCCCTGCGGTGCCGCTGGACCGGCATGTTCCTCCTGGTGCCGGCCACCTTCTCCAGGTCGATCTCCACCAGCGCCACGCCGGGCTCCTCCCCCCCGCAGTCGGCCAGCACCTCGCCCCACGGGTCCACCGCCAGCGCGTGGCCGTACGACCGCCGCTTCTCGTTGTGCCGGCCGACCTGCGCCGCCGCCAGCACGAAGCACTGGTTCTCGATGGCCCGTGCGCGGAGCAACACCTGGGAATGAAGATACGTGGGGGGTTAGCGCGGGGGAAGGGGTGGGGGGGTGTTTGTGATCAAACTACCGGTTCTCTGTGGCGTCGTCGTGCACGCACGCCCACCTCCCAGTGAGCTGCTCCCGTCGCCACGGTGAAGGCCGAAGGAAAGGTCAGGACCTCCGCCCCGCGCCGCCGCAGAGCCAGCGATAACTCGGGGAATCTCAAATCATAGCAGGTGGCCAGGCCCACCTAAGAGAAGACAAGATGTTCCTTTATTAGTCCCACGTTGGGGGACATGTGGAGACAAGCAACAGCAAAGAGTCAAAGCAAAGCACCTTGCCGATGGGGGTTTGGACCGGAGGCACGAGGGAGGGTCCGGGGAGGGTGAAGGCGCTCTCTTTGAGGGAGACTCCTTTTTCCGGCAGCTCCACGTCAAACAGGTGGGACTTCCTGTAAACCGAGACGACGCCACCTGTGGGTGTAATGGCAACGCGTCGGTACGCAGGTCTTGTGAAGCATTCAGGGAGGGGCTTTGACGAGCAGTACCTTTATCATCAATTATGACGTGAGTGTTGTAGATTCGTCTGTCCGACTCCCAGTCATGTCCCCGTTCGTGAAATCCTCCGAGAGACAACCACACTCCCAACTTCCTGCAAGAAGGAGGCGTTAAAATACTCGAATCCCAGAAGACGGAGAACTAGAAAAAGGTGATCATGGTAGACCACGTTGACCCTGTTGGCTCAAACAGTAGTTTATTAGACTTCAGTAGTTAATTGAAAACAACCGTGTGTCCACCTGGCCAGCCGAGTGTATCTCGAGACGGTTTCTCCCGTCAGGCTCTCGCACAGCGACAGCGTCTCCTCCGGACTGGATCCGATGTAGTCGAAGTTCTCCGGGAGGAAGACCATGCAGGCGCCCCGCTCCTTGGCCTCCTCCACCAGCCGCTCACAGGCGGAGAAGTTGGCCTCTTTGTCCGAGGTGACTGTCAGCTGACAGACCGCGGCCAGCGGGCGAGCCGAAGAGGACATCCTGCACGGGGGGGGGGGGCGACCCTGGTTGACCATTAAGCGCAGGGGGACTTTTAACAAGCAACAGGTGAGTCTATCTATTCATGCATGGACGTCCAGCTGAGGCCTTTGTGTTTTCAGATATTAACTTCACCGTTATGTACAGAGCATAAGTCAGATGTAGTTTTAAATCACAGGAACAGGTGCTTCCTTGCAAGACCAAACCCTCCCTTGTCCGGGTAAAGAAGCTCACCTGCTCTGTGGCTCGATCGGTTGTCTCCAAACTGGAAGAGAAGTCAATTTTTTTGCAGAGATTCCCAAAATGCACCTGACCGTGAACATTGATCCAGGAGAGCAAACAGCACGTCACGTCCCGTTTAGCCTCAGGTTCACGAGTGATTGGTTCAGTTCTGTGTGAAGCAGGAAGAATCAGCTGAGCGGCTTCTTCTTCTTCTTCTGTTGTTGAGCAGAGGAAAGAAAGTCCACATTAAGGCGCACCAGCTCCGCCTGCTGGAGACTATCTGCTGTTGTTGGATTATTTATGGCTGTTGTTGGGAGTTTATTTATGGCGTTAAAAGGAAACAGCAACGAAAATGAATCATGCACTTGTATGTATAATTGTTCTTAGACAACCCCAGAGATAAATGCTCAATTTCAGTTAGTGTCAATTTTGGAGTTTGATTAAAAGATGATATAGTTTCAAAATGTGGATGAATACATTTAAAAAAAATGCCTATTTTACATTTATTGTTACTTCACGCTTCCACTTCACTACATTTCACATTGTATTTGGTCGCTCTGCAGATTTAGATTTAGATAACAAAATATAATCATCAAATATATAATGTTGTACCATCACAGATTACGATACTACTATATTGATCCCCCGAGGAGTGGGATCACAAACTGCCCAAAGGAGTGTGTGCAATAATTAAAATTCACCGTTACCGACTGCCGGCCTTCATTTCCACGCAGGCACTCGCGTGAAACAGCTCCGGACATCCGGCCCGGGGTCCTTCTGAGCAACACCCTTCCAAGATGGCAGCCAACAGTAGCAGCACGGGCAGCAAACCCAGCAACAGCGCCGGCGGAAAACCGTCCGGCATTTCAGCCGAACAGGTACACGGACCTCCACCCCGGGGTGGTGCAGTCGGTACACTCGTCGTTGGCGTCGCTTGGTGGAGTCCGGCGGCGCTAAAGCCGCTAATCCGTCTCCCTGCTAGCCGCGGCTAACGTTAGCTTCCCCGTCGTTGTGCTTTCTCGCCACAAAACGTGACAACAGAGCGAGAAGGCGTGAAGCCCTCGAGGTTATTTACGTTCATGAAGAGTTGGTCACTGATCGGGGGCTTGGGTGTTTGTTTAATTAAAGCATAACGTTACGCCACCAAACCCTTTTCTAACGTCAATGTGTTGTGATTCCTGTGTGAAGCTAACTGCTTAAATGCTGCTTTCTAACGGCACATAATCAGTAAAATATGGTCACATTAGGCCTCAGACTAATCAATTAATTAATAAAATACCAGTAAATAATTCTATATAAAACTGTCAGTAATATACTTACAGTGTACAGACAAAAGTACTATTTTAAAGGCTCCTATTTAGTCTTCTTGCTCTAAATTATTAACATAAAACAATGATAACATTTGGGAGCAATCCATAAGGAAAACTAATAGTAGTTTAATGTTAACCAATACACTGACTTATTGATACATTATTTCAGCTCATGCAAAATGGGACTTCTTTAGTTTTGAGAACTCGTAATACTCAATAATAAATCTGTCATCATTTTAAGTTTGCTTTATTGCAGTTAAAGTTAAACTTCATGTATTACAGGTACTATGCATCCATCTGAATGATCATACGTTCAATGTGTACAATTGGTATAAACTAAAGCGGCCCGATGAATGCTGCAGAGATAAAGACAATGTGTGCTATTATTATTAAGTTGTAACATGGCGAAGTGATGTAATTGTATCTAAAGATAGTTCCCAAACTTTCCACCACTATCGTTCATAATCACGGGAAAACACGTACAATCTCATGTTTCAACTGCCACACATCTAAAGTACGTATTCCCAATTCTAAAGACACTGAATCAAGTAAACAAATGTAATTGGTTTCATTGATGACACACGGCTGAGTCAAACCCAAATATAATTAACACACAAGTCTGTGCGTCCGTATGTTGCTGACGGTGTATTTCTATTGTGCGACAGGTGGTGGCGACGTTTCAGAGGATGCGTCAGGAGCAGCGCGGTATGGCCTCTAAATCTGCAGAGCTGGAGATGGACATCAACGAGCACAGGTCGGTCGCAGGTGTTTCCACAGCCTTAAACAACATTATGAGAATGCGCCCTAAGTAGCAAATGAGTCGGATAGAAAACCTGCTGGGCGGATCTGTTGTTGTTTATGGCTTTTACTGAAAAGAAAAATATATTTTTCTCATCCAGCTTAGTGATTGACACGCTGAGAGAAGTGGACCCTTCGCGGAAATGCTTCCGTCTAGTAGGAGGAGTGTTGGTGGAGAGGACGGTGAAGGAAGTTCTACCTGCTCTGGAAACCAACAAAGAACAGGTGATCGACCCGAGAATAAAAAACAAATGTGCTACTGCAGCTTCTTTTAAAGTGGTGTTCTAATCATTTAACTTCAAGTAGATGTTCACTAACAATCATTACAAACCACAAACGATACATGAATATGAATCAATTTAGCTTTGGTCAGAAGACCTTTAGGCATGAATCTAAAATTGAACTCTGAAGAAAAAGCCTCATTCTGTTTTTTGGTTTCTTAGATCACCAAACTAATCGACAGCATCAACACGCGGATGCAGACGAAAGGACGGGAGCTGACGGAGTACAGGGAACGCTACAACATCCGGCTGATGGGCGAGGGCGAAGGAGAGGCTCAAGGCCCGTCGGCGGGATCTTCCAGGGACAGCGAGGGGGGCGGGTCTAAAGGCGGAGCCGGCGTTTTAGTGTCGTAGTTTGTAACAACAGAAGGGCGACCGTACGGCCTTGTGATTTCTGCAGTACTGAAAACGTGTTTGGAGTCATGAAATCTAGTTTTCGAAATGGAACTTTTCACAGGAAAACATTGGGTTTGATTAAATTTCCGCTTAACATGCTTCCCTTGGTACCTGAGTTCTTTGCAGCACGCACGAACTGGCTTTACGTTGTGTGTGTGTGTGTGTGTGTGTGTGTGTGTGTGTGTGTGTGTGTGTGTGTGTGTGTGTGTGTGTGTGTGTGTGTGTGTGTGTGTGTGTGTGTGTGAGAGAGAGACACATCTACAGCTGTTTGTCTTGCATCTGCCTTTTTATTGTATCTGACAATTTTCATTTTTTGAAATATTGTCTCGTAACTCAAACAAATTTTCAAGTAGTTTCTTTAGGCTTACTCTGATTTACACACAAGCAATTTGATAATTTACTGTCTGAAATTCCAGAAAATATTCTCCCCAAATTGAGATATAATACGGGAAAAGAATTGCTTTAAACATACAATAGTGCATGTGGTAATAACAATGCATTTTTTTGTAAACCTGCATTGTGTAGACTAAAATTAGGTGGTGAAGTAAGAGCTGATTTCATTTTGACATCATGAGCACGATGAAGAGAGAGTGCTGTTAACATGTCACCGTAGATACCAATAAATTAATCTGTCACCTTTTGTTCACCCAGAAGTCTTTTAGTCACGGCACAGAACACCTGGTCGGATCTTTTTTTTAATGTGGGGTCACTTTTTGCTCAGCGGTCATTAAAGCGCACGTCACAGATTCACCCGACAGCAGCGAGGCGTCAACCACAACCTCAGCATTTAATGACGCCCCCACCACTTAAAACACAATGAAGGCTTTCTGATCTGTAGCACATGCTCGGGTAGATTAATTCGTCAACAAACGTCTTTTTGTTGATGCTCATTTTATTTTATTTTATTACTTGTGCACTGCTGTCTTGTTGTCTATTGTTACACTGTCTACTGTCACGCACCAACCGCCAAGGCAAATTCCTTGTATGTTTGACATATTTTGGCAATAAATGTTTCCTGATCCTGATCCTGATCCTCATGAATGTCACAATGAGTTTTTTTGCATGGTGTCCTACATGCGTGTTGGCGTATGCCCAAAAGCACTCGCTGTTACAGTTAAACATCACAGCTGAAACATTTCTATTAATGGCCCGTGCATGTGTGGTGAATGTCACGGTTGGAGTGCAAAATTTAACGGTTGACAGATTTTCTTATTTTTTTTGTCCCCGCCTGTCTGACTGACTCATGAACATCAGAGTAGTAAAAGGGGAGGGGATCCAAGGAAAACTGTTAAACATCAGAAGAAAGAAATTCAAAACCACAATCCGACGAGGATGGGATTCGAACCCACGCGTGCAGAGCACAATGGATTAGCAGTCCATCGCCTTAACCACTCGGCCACCTCGTCCTATGGACTCCATACCAGCGGCATTTGTCTATTAATACCGGACGGATTCACCATTTTCATTGTCACGTCAACTGAGGAATTTATATTTAGTCTTTTCTGTTTTTCATGATTTTTAAAATGTTTTTACCGTAAGCAGCAGTTCAACTAACGGGTCCTCGGCTACGGCACCGAATCCGGCGGCGCCTTTACTGCCGACATTACGGTCGTTACGCACCGACATGCGTCCGTCGCAGCAGCAGCAGCAGCAGCAGCAGAACGGAGAGAACCGAGCTTGTCTTTTGGTGGCGACCACGGACACCGGATCAGATTCGTCGTCTTAGACGCGCTGTCGACGGCCGTGTGAACATCTGGGGCCAGGTGTGCCACTAGGCAACGCGGGAAGGGGATGCGAGGGGTCGTTTCACGTCCAGCCTGGTGGGCTGCGGTTGTTAGCATGTGGCTAACGTTAGCTGCTGCGCTCGGACAGAAATAGCTCAGCCTCGCTCCGGTGTTTTAGAACCGGCTCCGTGTGCCGCCCGTGGGCTCGGTTCTCAGCAGTTCCTCTGGAATGCATCTCTCCAAGAAATGCTCCGTCTTCAAAGTGGTGCTGAGTGCTCTGCTGATCGTGGCGCTCCTGCAGCTGATCTACCTGTCCTTCTTGTCCAGGTTTCACGGTAAGCAGCAGCGGTACCGGTACTCGGAGCTCTTCGGGGTCAAGAAGAATGGGCACCCGGAGAAAAACTCCCGGAAGGAGCGTCTGAGGTACTCGCTGTCCACCGGCGGGATCTTCGACCACAGCGGTCAGTACCGGGTGTACAAGTACCTGGTCAAAAGTGACTTCACCACAAACCTCAAGCCGGGAACCGACCCGGGGTCCAACGTCCTGGCCCTCGCCACGCACACGACCATCAACAACCTGCATCACCTGGAATCCCTCGTGGAGAGGTGGCACAACCCTCTCGCCGTGGCCATCTTCGCACACGGGGAAGATGTCAAGTTCGCCACGGCGCTGGTCTACGCCCTCAGCTTCTTCTGCCCTCAGATCCAATCCCTGGTGGACTTCCACCTGGTCTGCCTCTCCGGAGAGATGGCCAGTTTCCCCGAGCAGGACCGCGAGCACTTTGCGGGTCTCGAGGACTGCGCCTCGGTGTTCTCCAGACTGGAGACGCACCGGGACAAACACAAGAACTACGCCATCGGCGGGAACGTCTCCTACCCCAACAACCTCCTGCGCAACGTGGCCCGGGGCGGCACGCAGTCCTCCTACGTCCTGGTCCTCGACATCGACATGATGCCGAGCGCCGACCTGCACCAGCAGTTCCTGGCCATGATCCTGGGCCGCGGGCCGACGGGCGACGAGGTCTTCGTGCTGCCCGCCTTCGAGATCCGCCACGCCCGGAAGATGCCCGCCAACAAGGCCGAGCTGGTGCAGCTGTACCAGGTGGGCGAGGTGCGTCCGTTCTACGAGGAGCTGTGTCCCCGCTGTCAAGCGCCCACCAACTACTCGCGGTGGGTCAACAGCCACGTCCGGGAGCCGGGCCCGCTGGCGGCCGCCTACACGCTCACCTGGACGGACCCCTGGGAGCCCTTCTACATCGGGCCCCGCGCCGCGCCGCTCTACGACGAGAACTTCAAGCAATACGGCTTCAATCGCATCAGCCAGGTTTGTGTGAGCGTTCGGCGGTCGCCTTTGGGAAAACGCAGATTCGATTTGAAATAGAGCGACGCTCCAGTGGAGGCCGTGAGATCCGAGTGGGCAACTGAGTATTCCCGTGCAGACCAGGTGGGCAGGTGCATTCGGGAAGGAAGACGTGCAAAAGCAAAAGCGCAGCTGAGAACGTTATAGTAATTTGAGTTTGGACAATAATGTCTTTCATTGTTTCTCTCGCTGAGTTGTTCACATTTGACAGATTGGGGAAACATTGCACTTTGCAGCAAACAGCGCTGCCCAGTCTTGAGCCTTATTTGCTTCTCAGTACACGGTTTCCTCTAACAAGTCCAAAGATATTAAGTTCACCATCGACGAGAAGGAGGAAAACAACCAAATATTCCCACTAAGCCAGTGAAACCTTTGCTTTAGACAACGATCGGATTAATTAACTACTCAGATTTGACACATGAAAGTCACAGTACTACAATACGGTACTACTGCGCTTGTAAAAACCTTTTTGAAAGAAAATCACAGTTTTGGACTGAATGAAGTCTGTTAGGAAATGGGGGCGTGACCTTGTTTTGTCCGTCCCGCGTTGACGTGTTGCATCGCTTCCCTCCCCGCAGGCCTGCGAGCTCCACGTGGCCGGCTACAGGTTCTCGGTGCTGAGCTCGGCCTTCGTGGTGCACCGGGGCTTCAAGATCCAAGGGGAGTTCCACGCCAGGAAGGACGAGGAGAACAAACGCAACCGCGTGCTGTTCCGCAGCTTCAAAGAGGGCCTGAAGACCAAATACCCGTCCTCCGGCCGCCGGTGCTGAGGCGGCACGCGGCCGGGGCCGCCGGTTCAGGACTCAGAAGACACATTTTCCCCTTTTTTTTAAAAATGATGATTATGACTGGGCGAGCTTTCCACACCCGGAATCAAAAGTCTCCTGACTGTAGAAACGCAGACGGCACAATCGGTCTTCCATCACTTTACGTTGATGTTTCCTTCCGATCGTCATGGCGACCAATGGCCACCAGGGGGCAGCAGGCACTCGAGTGTCGAGGGCGCCGCTAAAACTTCACGCGGGGGACGTCGGCCGCGGAAATACCGCCGCGATTAACAAACCGCGCGTTTTAAGTTTGTGGAACCAGACGACGGCGGTCACAAGGGTTGTCGGCTCAACGCCACCAGAATATGTGTGAAATGAATGGTTTTATACTGGTGTTGTTCGTTAAGCTACTGGTACATACACACAGCACACGCACTGAAAAGCTGCTGCTACTAGATTATGTTTGGTTATATTGAATTATCTCATTGACGTGTAATTGTCGACACACAGTGTTAGTGATATTTATTGTGAAGATGTTTTTTAAGTGACTCTCGGCAGGAAAACTGTAGCACGAAATGGTGTTTGGTGCAAAAATCTGTTGTTGTGGAATCATTTCTGTTTAACGAACGAGTAATTTTCCTTTGGTATTTTTGGAGTATTATCAGTTTCAACGTATTACCTGTGTGATGATGTGAACTACTCTATTTCTCTTATGTGTTTTCTTGAAAAATAATTGTAGTATTTATCTTTTGGTTTCATGTTCCCAAAATATAAAACCCGATTTGTACTGTTGGAATTTCTATTAAACCCACAGGATTATTTTTTGTTTATTTCATTATTATTATTATTATTATGCAACACTACTGAACAACACGTAACCGGAAAGCTCTTTATAAGCACAAATTCAATCAATTAATGACTAGTATGTTAGCGCTGTTTGTGGGAGCGTCGAGCCGGGAACTACGGAGCATCGCGTCCTGATGGAATCTGTAGTTTTGTGTTTGTCGTTCACAGGGAGGAAAAACTGGGCGATGTGCGCAGGAGTATCGCTCACCAAGCCCTTGACACGGCTGACGTTTGCGTGTGGTGTAACATGGCTTAAGAAGGGGGTTTAGAGGCATCCCTGCACCAATAGCATTAGCGTGTGGTGGGTGATTACACGGCGAGTCGGGCCAGCATCCAATTAAAAGCTCCTTTTTAGTAATTAAGAAATCTATTAAAGTGGACTTCAAGGAAATCCTCGGCGAGGGAGGACGCCGCTTCTCGTGGCGGCTTGTTTTCGCGGCGAACGCTTCGGAAAGTTCACGTGCAGAGTGTATGAATAAAAAAAAAACAAATTCGGTGTTTGTGTGGCTTCAGACGCGTGTGACATTCGGCGCTTGACCGCCGTCGGAGCCACGTCGGCGTCTGGCGGCTAAGCCTTCTTTAGCGAGCGGGATAATGAGCCCGGCCGGACGCGGCCGCCGCGCTCCTTTTCTTCATCCTCGTCGTAGATGTTTATCCCGCATCTCCAGCTCATTCATTTCTCCCCAAAGGTGAATATCTAAACATTAACGGACTGTTTCTTCCTGCTTTGTGTCTTATGTCGTGAAAGACGAAGTATAGTCTCCTCCCCACAGCTCGGGCCCCCTTCGGATGAGCCCCCGGAGCTTGATATCTTCTCTGGGTGTTAATAACGCGGCAGAAGGTGCAGAAACGTTCCGGGGGGAGGCAGGTTGGCCGAGGTAAAGTGGGGTTACGTCGACGGCTTTGGGGGGTGGAGGCTTATCTGGGTCAGGGAGCTTTACGACATGAGCAATTAGGGCGGCCTTCTCTTGTGCGGGCTGGCAGGAGGGAGGCCCCCCGCCACCTAGATTAGCCGCCCTGCTAAGGCCGGCAGAACTCCTCGGCTTCTGGCGTCGGAGGGAACCAGCTGGAGGGCGCGATGGGGATGGGATGGGATGGGGGGGGTAAACATGCAGGCCCTGCAGACACGCGGGGCCCTTTCCGGGTCAGCGAGCGGGTGAGAAATGAAGGAGCCCGATGACCCGTAACCGTGAAAGGAATTCGGCAAAGTGAAGCGTGGCTTGTTCGCCCACCGCGGCTCGTTCGGCACCCGCTTGAATGCAGCGCAGGAGGACAGAGGACGTTTATGCCACTCGGCTTAGCGCCAGTGATTCCCGCTAATGGACGTGCGAGTGATTAGGCCCAACGGTTTAGAGGAGGAGATCTTTACGCCTGTTGGATGGACGGTTCGTTGTACCAGAGCACTGACTTACTGGATTACAATGAAGCAAGAGCCGGACGTCAACTCGGCAACAAATGTCCCTCCTCCCACAAACACAACAGTTCAGGCGCCTCGTCCCCCCCCCCCATTGGTTAAACACAACGCTATCTGACTCGAGGTCTGCGGGTGAATAAATTAATACAAAAATCAATAAATGGCTGAAAGAAACTGAAAGGTTTGCACCCCAGATTCCACCATTTCTCCTAACTGATCGGTTTAAACATACAAAACGTAATATTCAAAAAAGAACTTCAGGAGCCCAGTTCGACATCCTCAAATGCCGCGCGCGAGAAGAAGCAACGAAAACCGCCGAGATGTGGAACCTTTAACGGCGTAAAGCGGCCAAAACATCTCTAAGCTCCGGCTCAATACTCTGCGACGTCTCCTTCCATCACGCCTCCCTCGGCCATCCGTTTCACTTAAACAAGCGAGCGCTTAGCCGCCGTCAATACCGGCTTTGGGAGACGTTTACCTGTCTGCTTACTGGAGGACAATAAAAATAGAAACGAGCCTGTGGGGCAAAGGGCACGCATATCACCCTGCCTCTAAAGCCGGGGTAGCTGGACGCCCGGGACGCCCGCGTCTTAAATGCATCCCGCTAAAGCCGGACTATCCGCGCTGGAGGACAGAAGAAATGAGACCTGACCCTGCCGTGTGGGGGGGGGTATAAAGGTATATAGGTAATCCCTCTTAGCCTCCCACCCCGGCTGCCACATGAACCCCAGCCGGGGAAAACACAGCGGATGTTTGCACACACACACACACACACACACAGGTGAGCGACCGTTAGAAGGCATCATGCGCTGCGGCGTGCTGTGCTGCAAGAGACACACACACACACACACACACACACACAGGCGCGCTAATTCCGATCGATCAGCGTCATCTGGTGACAGATGACGGGAGCTGTGATACAATTACCCCCCCATGTGATACAATTACCCCCCCTGTTTCCACAACACGCAGCGGCGGCGCCTCAAAGGTCACCTGAAGGATTTCGGCGATATCATCCGCCGATTTAGGTTTGAGTTTTCCCCCGTTTAAGTCCGTGGTAAGTAGCACTTAAGAGGAAGCAGGCCGCTCTGATGTGGACTCTTACTCGGGATGATATCCGCAGTGTGGGAGTGGAGATTAAGTGATTAAGTTTATTTGACAGGTTCGGGTTTTGGTCGAGTCGGTCAGCCGTGGAATCAAAGGGCCAACAATACAAAATCAATGCCAGCAACAAATGCCCTCGACGGTGAGGGCGACGGAACGTGACACGCTCATTGTGCACGTTCGAGTAGGTGGATACTTTGGGGAAAACCTTTGCACACTTTATTTTGTCCCCAGAATTAAGGACATAAAGTAAATGGAGAAGCTGCTTTAAGCTGCACACAATTTAAACTATTTGTTTGAGCAACATCTAGTTGGGACAAAAAGGTCTTTCAAATCCGACTGAATAGAAACTGTAAAAACAAATTACTACCAAAAGAAGAAGAAGAGAAAAAGGTGTATAGTTTGGCCTTGTTTCAGGTATTGATGTCGGACGGCCCGGCGATGTTTTAATGTCCTGCACCGCGTGAGAGACGATGATGTCATCAGCTGGTCGGGTGTCGCATCTTCGCAGATGTCGCTATAAATAAGGGCTAAAGGCTCGAGCCTGTAGAAAACAAGCAAATTGACTCCCTTGTTGGGGGGGAGGAGGGGGTGTCTCTGTCCACACACTCCCCAAGTCACAGCTCAGAGATCGCTATAGGGTTTGTGTTTTACTTCAGTTTACTTTTACCAGCTGACAATAAGGAATATCTGTCTGTCAAAATGTATCCACAGTTGTGACCGAGAGGCCGAGACTCGGCGACAGAGACGGGAACCCAAGACGAGAGGATCAGTGGGAGTCACCAAAGTAGGAGTTAATGAGCATTATGGCATTAGGTAGGAATAAGTCCCACCTCAAATCCCTCAGGGTTCCTCCACAACGCCACCGACACCTGCTACACATATGAGGAAAGAGGGTGTGACATTAGTAGATATTCTACAAACAACACTACGTTCATCAACAAGGAACCGAGCTCGATTCCATGCGAGCAGCAGGTAGAAGGGATGCTTGTATGTTTTCGTGGAACTTTAACAAGGATTACGCAAGATGTAATCCACCGTGCTGTCACTCACAGCTCATTTTAGCTTTTAGTGTATTTGCTGTGAGGAGGATGTTGGTTGAGGCGACGGCAGCGCACATAATTAATTTAAACCCCCCCCTCCCGACGCTCATCCGTTCCGTTACATCGCGGGCCGAGTCGCCCAGGCAGTCGTCTCCTCGGCGACGGAGCGAGCGGCGTGGGCCACGCGGAGACGGGAGCGCCCGATTATCCAGCTGTAGCGGCGATTTGCCCGGGGGCTTTTTTTGAGGCCTGGAATTACCATTCCCCGCCAACCTGGGAGCTTGGGTTAAGCTAATCTCGGGGCACCGACCTAAATACCTTCTGGAGGGGGGGGGGGGGGGGGGGGTTCGTTGGGACGGAGAGGAACGGAGGCCCCGACCCACCGGGTCGGCGATCAGCATCATTACAAACCGACAGTGAAGGGTGATACTTCCTGGGCAGAACATTTTAAGAGGACAAGCTAAAGGATTCAGGAGCAAACTGATGAGACGCGTCAAAATGTTAAAATACTCACAAGTACCAATGGATTCAATCACCATTTATGACCAACATCAAGCGAGTATTTGCTGGTTTTTTCACTTTCTTCAGAGATAAAAGCAAAACCAGAAAGAATTTGTGCAAGTCAAGTTAAACACATGATAATATTTAACTATTTCTTCACCGTTTGGTCTCCAAACCAAGAAAACTAATCTAATCTAATAAATAAAATCTAATAAACTAAACTCATTGGCATAGAAGTTACTAAATTAAGATTTTAGATTCGCCTTTTCTCCCTCATATCATCCCAAAGTCTGTGAAAACATTTGTCTGGCTCGTGGCGCAGATAAACACGCTGGTACAATGAGGGGGGGGGGGTCGACCTGTCTGAGAGGATACTGCTTTGCAGTTGCAAATGAGCTGCTAATTAGCACTTACACATTTGCCTGGAGGGAATTAGTTTGTGTGTGTGTGCCTGAGTGTGTGTGTGTGTGTAATTGTGTGTTTTTTAACCCATCTTCCTTAGAATAGGGGTCGACGGTGATAAGCAGATAATACTAATTACTTCTCCTCCCAATTGCTTGTTAATTGTGCTTGGTGTGGATTTATACAGCATGGTAATGCCCCCCCGTTACACACACACACACACACAGCATGGCCCCCCTCCGTTACACACACACACACACACACACACACACACAGCATGGCCCCCGCTCTGCTGTTGGCAAAATCAACAGGTCATTTTTTTAAGCAGGAGGCTTCTGTTTAAGCCTCTGATTCATTAAGCCGAGTGGTTTCACAAGTTGTTCTCTAGTTGTTGCTTAAATTACAACATAAAAAGTGACCAAACAACAGACGTTCAACGGAACTAAAAGTTTATAGATTTGCTGAGGACCAAAATGTGTCTCTGCACTCTCTCCGGGTTTTATATTATATTGTAACGGCGTCGATGGTGATGACCAGACGGGTTCTGTCGTGTCTTGTGATCCACTTTGTGCATCGATTGACAGATCCAACCCGGGGGAAATGTTCCGCGGACACGTGGCGTTTTCGCTGTGATTACCTTCCACCAGGTGGTCCGAGCCCTCCGCAGGGTGTGAATGTCGGATGTTTACAGTCTGCTCTCCGTGGAACGTCGCGGTAAACGCGGAGAGCCTCTCACCGGGTGAGGTGACGGGGAGGGCCTGAGAGCCCCCCGTGAGACCCGGTCCGGCCTTCGGGCCGCGTGCGTCGTGTCCTGCGGGCGGCAAAGAGACACACAAAAGCCGTCACATCCACAAGCAATTTGGGCTTTGAGGTTCCGGTATCCCGCATGTGTTTAGACAGTCTGATGGGGGGGGGCGTCTATCGGCCGGGTCGGGTTTAAAGCTTCCTGTGAGGAGGAAATTAGCATTTTTTTGTTCGTGGATCAAAAAGTTGTGACTCCTAAATGCTTCTCTTTAAGAAAGGTCCCCCAAAGCATTTACAGCAGGTATTCACATGCGACTGGGACACATTTTTTGGAATCCATTTCAAAACAAAAGTCTGCAGCAGGCGAGTATGATCCCATCGAGGCGCTGCGCTGTCCCGTTAGCACATGGTGACGATCGAGGGCTACAGAGCTGAGAGGGAACGCCAAGATGTTCCACTTTACAAAGATATAAAGCAAAAGATGTGACACATACAACCCCCCCCCCCACCCCCCAACACATACGTAATCGCTTCATCCCATCACCATCTTATCATTCGCCCTCACGGCTTGGGAGAGCTTAAGCAGATTTTGGTTTCAGCTCTCTTAAAAAGAATAAGAAAAATAGGGGGGCTGGGAGGCGAAGCGAGGGTGTTTATGTATTGAATGTGAGTGTGTGTGTGTGTGTGTGTGTTTACGCAAGTGTGGTGGTGTTCAGGGGCGCAAAGTGTCTGAAACTTGGAGGGGTTAGATTAACGTTGATCTTCACTGAGCTCATTTCTCCCCTTCTGTGCAGAAGAGTGTGAGACACACACACACACACACACACACACACAGACACACACACCTTTGCATTAGTTTACCAAACCCACCTGGTATGTTAATCTAGATTTAGGCTCTAACACGTATCACATGATTGCCTACTGCTTCTAAAGTAACTCCGTACGCTTTCTACACCCTGAACTCCACCCAACAGGAGCAAAGCGCCATGAAGCCGCACTGATCACAATAGATTCTGATGGTTGGTTAATTGCAGGGGGATTTATTTGGTGCATATTTGCTCATCTCAGCTGCTTAGACATGGGAAGAAAGATGTTCTACCTTTTCTTTCTCTTATGTATTACTTAGAGGTGATTTGGGGGGTAAAACTCGCTTTGTGGAAGTGAATAAACAAATGTTTTGAACAAGAAAAGGATCGGCGCTGGATGTCCGGCTGGCTCATATCTGCGTTCCAGACAAAATTGTAGACGATTTTTTAAGCCCCATCGCCTGATGATCCTCATCCGGTCCTTCACCTGACTGCAACCTTCATGCAGAGCCTCACATTCACCGCAGGGATTAATCCGTGTCTGCCGTTTGCTTCGGGCTGTGAAGTGAAGTCGCTGCTGTAATAACTATAAGTTAAGCTTCGCTGCACTGACGCTTGGCAAAGTGACTTCATTACTACGTTTTGTCTCAGCTATGATCCGCAGACCCGGTGTCACGTGTTTTTATTACGGCTGACAGATGCTGACGGGATCCTTAACCTGATTAATAAGAACATCACCCTGAGGCTGATTAATGAGCCACTGAGATCATTAATTCCCTGTCCCGCAGTTGACCCGCCATCGATGTCTGGGACCGTTTTCATTAGGCCTCGTCCTGGAAAGAGGTCGCCGAGGATGACCAACGGGTGCAACCGTGTCCGTTTTAATCACGCGGGTATTAGCTGGTCGGGGATCGCGGCTTTGTGTCCTCGCGGCCAAGTGTCCAGGCTCATGTGATACAGACTTTCATGAATCCCACCAAGTAAATGTGACACCCGAGGGTGCAGCCACCCCCCCCCCCCTCTCCATCACGACTTGAAAGTTTTTCCACTCCTTCTTAAAAAGAGTAACAACCACCTCCCTCCCTGGACTCATAAGGTGCAGCCTCCACATTTACTCCCCCCATCCGTCACCCATCACCCGACCAGCCGTCCTCGCTTGTTTGCTCGCTGCACTCATCCCGACAGTCGATGTATCCTCGGGCTCTAAGCCAAACAAGCTGATCAGCCGGTCACCTCTGTACACACTACCCCCCGCTAAGAGGCTAATGGCCAGGACGCATAATCCTTCTCAAAACAACCACAGAGATGCTAATTGTATCCAGCTATAAATACGGGTCGACCGCTTGTCCTCGTCCTTTATTTGGCTCGCAGCCACCGTTTGGGAACCAGCTTCCTCGAAACGTTTGACCATCTACCGGGAAGGACTCAGCGACTTAAGAGGGGCAGCAGGTAGATGCTGCAAGTGTCAATAATCTTGCCATCCTCTTAAAAAGAAAGAATCGGGCAGCGAGCGCGCGGGGCGTTACGCGCCGTTGGACAGCACACTCCATGCGCCCCGCGCACACGTCCTAGCTTCCTCGCTTGACGACGCCGAGATGTTCCCGCTGCCGATGTTCACGCCGGAGCAGGTCGCTCGGGTGTGCGAGAACCTGGAGGAGACCGGGGACATCGAGCGCCTGGGCCGGTTCCTGTGGTCGCTGCCGGCCGCCGTCCCCGGCACCGCGGGGGAGGCGCTGAACCGACACGAGTCCGTGATGCGCGCGCGGGCGCTGGTCGCCTTCCACGGCGGGAACTTCGAGGGTCTCTACCAGATCCTGCAGAGCCACCGGTTCACGCGCGAGTCGCACGCCAAGCTCCAGGACCTGTGGCTGGACGCGCACTACCGGGAGGCGGAGAGGCTGCGCGGGCGGCCGCTGGGTCCCGTGGAGAAGTACCGGATCCGCAAGAAGTTCCCGCTGCCCCGCACCATCTGGGACGGCGAGCAGAAGACGCACTGCTTCAAGGTGCGTGGCGGTGGTGGAGTAGTCGGTGGTGGAGTAGTCGGTGGTGGAGTAGTCGGTGGTGCGCACGTGTCGGCTCCCCTCTGATGCGGAATGGAGCGTCACACGATGCGTATAATGTGCATTTAGCGGTGCATCATTGTGCACCTGACCACCTGCAGCCCCCCTGAGATGAGAAAGGGTCAGCGCGTCATTCAGGCCTGTCGAGGGATCAGAAATATCACGCAAAACTACTCTGTGACCGGAGTATCACTGCTTTGAAATACATTAAAACGAGGTCAGACTAACTGGTCCCAAAGATTTTAAACTAGTAGTTTTAGCAGCGATTCCAGTTTAATTTGTGGAAACATCATGTTGATTTTATTTTCTTGTTGCCGTGTAGCTAATCTTTAATTCCAAACCTCAGGAGGGTTAGTCTACCCAACCGCCTATTAAGCGCCTTAACATGATCCAATTTAGGGGCTATAAATTGCCATGTATACGTCTAATGTAGATTGCAATCATCTACTGTATTAATGAATCCAGTCTAATGTGATTATACTGAGCATAATATGAGATTTTTAAGATTATTGTGGTGTAATAGGATGATATCAAAACAACATATGGTGGTGCTACTTTGTGTTCTCCACTTAACACGGGATAATATGAGATGATGTTAATGAATGGCAGCCTCAATATTCCAGTGATCCCTCTGTGTTCTCCAGGAAAGGACTCGCAGCTTGTTGAGAGAGTGGTACCTGCAGGACCCGTACCCAAACCCGTCCCGGAAGCGCCACCTGGCCCAGGCCACGGGACTCACCCCCACGCAGGTCGGCAACTGGTTCAAGAACCGCCGCCAAAGAGACCGCGCGGCGTCCGCAAAGAACCGGTATGTGTAGATCTACAAATGCTTGTGCAAAATTACGACTAAAAAGGAGAAAAAGTGGAAGAAAGGCACAACTTGCCTTCGATAAAAAGCATGCATGCAATAAATGATAACATCTGCCTGGAGAGCAGCTTCGGCCCGATCTCACGTCCGTCATCTCCCCCCCCAGAATGCAGCAGGATCCTTCCCGCATGCCCTCTGAGAGCTCACCCGATGGCTCCCTGCAGGACCGCCGCCACCACCCCCACCTGTTGCCTCCTTCGCCGCGTCACCCGGGCAGCCCGGAGGCCAGCGACTGCAGCACGGACGAGCGCAGAGGAACGGGAGCCTCCACCCCGGAGATCTCCGTCAGCAGCGACAGCGAGTTCGAGTCCTGAGACGGGCCGAGACTCTCGTTCCCCACGCGGAGGGTCGAGAGCAGCGTCCGTCGTCCCGGGCCGGAGAGAGAGAGAGAGAGAGAGCGAGAGAGAGACACTTGGACTGTGGGCGGCTGTTTGGAAGCGGCGAGGAACAGGAGGACGTGGCTGTGTGGACGTTGTGAGGCGACGATATGCAAGAACAACAAGCACTTAAGAGAAAAAGGAACAAAAAAGCTCCACGGCACAAAGCTGTGGAAATAATTAGTTTACCGCTGAACTATATTAGATGATGTGAGTAATAATACTTACAGTTTTGATACGGGTCTCAGTGAATGTCTTTGGATAGGTCATTTTCTAATAGTCATTGTGTGAGCTGCACAAGTCATTTGTATGGAAATCGTAACAATGAACAATGCCTTGGGTGGGCTTTTGATATCAGTCACGACATTTACATGGACACATTCAGACTACAGCAATATTCCCGACTGGCATGCAAACAATATAATTTAAAACATTAAATAACATATCATCATTCAATCTATTTTTAAAACTGTGGGTGTTGAATCAAATCAAAGTTAAAAAAACTTTTAAAACATTTGTGTAGGCAGACGATTGTTATTCAGAGTTATCCGCTTATAATACGCATGTAAAGATGGCGACAGGCTAATTAATCACATTTCACTGCCTTACAAACAAACTCAAGGGCATCACTTTTACAACGCAAAAACAATTAACGGCGTAAGTTTAGAAACACTTTATGTCACTAACGATGCTTAAAATACAAACGGTTTTGTTACCTGCTGCGTTTCACCTGTTCACTCCTTTGTTTACCGCTTAGAACGTGTAGGTGTTTCTTCTTGTAATCGCTCCTGAGCTGCTCTGACGAATCCCTGCAGGAGCTGAAACGGAAAAGACGAGACAGCGAGAATGTAAAGCACTAATCGGTCTTTACTCAATGTGCCTATTACATTTGAGAAAAGTGGGACCCCCGTCGGATACGTCTTTCTTTACAACAATCATTTCTCATAACACATTACTGCAAAGAAAAGGTGTATTTTGTAAATGTTTTATGTAAATAAACGAACCTATTTTTATCCAACAAAGCAATACTGGCTCAATGTATTTATTTTTATGTATTTTTTATTTATCTAATTGTTTCATCTATAAGCTGCTGTTTTATCATCACAACATACTGTAACTACAGACAGTGATGCTCCCTGTGGTTCTGTGCAGAAACAAGCTAACGCCAAACACCCCACTCACATGTTAGCATGTTAGCAAACTAATCTTGCATCCAGCAGACACGGAGCAAAGTTGCTGATCCAGTTATTAGCCAACACCTCATGCGTGGAAGTTCAACATTCAACCTCCTTTTGGTTCAATTTAGTCTCCTCATTGTGCTTTAGCCGCTAAACGCTCCACTGCGTTCACCAGCTAGCGTTAGCATAAGCTAGCTGCTAGCTAGCTGTGTCTGTTTTAGAGCTTTTTACAGAAAAGTGTTAGTTCTTGTTTACTATGTTTATGTTTGTTAGCCCATCATTTCTGTTGAACAGCGGAGCTGCAATTGGCACAGGAACAATCTAAAAATGTTTGAGTGTATCCCGGGTTCCACACAGCTAACATGGAAAAAGTAGAATTCCCAGAGCCCAATTAAGAATATCCTTTACCTGTCAGGAGCTGAAACCCGTCTCCCAAACCAAAGAAAGATGGCGGTCGGAAGTGACGCACCTTCTTCTCGTTTGCAGCCCGTCGACGATATGAATGACGTCATGCAGCGTCTGTTAGGGGCCGTTTTTCATTTTTAGGGGGAACAAAGTGAACTTGATGCTAAATGAACCAAGGAAGAGCAGAGATAACAGGACAAGGAGGAAAGTGAGTAGAACTATGATTGCTCAACAACCGTTTGAATGAATATTAATATTATTATGAATGAATAAAAAATTCATAATGTTAAAAGGTGATATACACAGGTAGCTAACAATGCAATACGTTTATTGACAAATTACATGAAATTACACGAAGAAATGAATAATTCCATGTAAAATATGCAAGTGAACAAAACAAGAGGAAAGTGATTGCTTTAATAATTTCATCACGTAATAATGAAAGAAAAACACATGTAGATATACATAAAATTACAACTATTACTACTTATAGGCTATTTTCAATAAGGAGGAGGAAACTTTAAGATCCACAAAGAAGCTCTGTATTATAGCATGGAACTTATTTTTGGTGTTGACTCCTAAAGAATTTGATGGAAGAATCAGATCATAAATTCCAGTGTTTTATTGTTTGTACAGAAATACATCACCAGAAAAGGGAACAATATTACATAATAGAACACCATTGTTTTGCTAAATGAGCCATAAAAAATAAAAAAAACGTCATAAAAAAGGAACTCTACTGGTCCCTAATAAGTGAAGTACGCACATATTGGTCCTTCCCCTCTTTCCTGATCACAGAAAATGGGTCCACCCAGTGAGCGATCCCGCCCACACTGGGAAGCAGTACAAAGACGACTTCTGCTTACCTGTCAGTTGTAGTCTAAATTCATGCATCGGAGTCTTGGATTTGTCCTCTGTTAGTTGAGACTCCTGTCTGGACAGGACGGAGTACCGTGAGCTCTGTTAGCTCAGCATGGACAGCGCGGGGAGAAAAGTGGTGGTCTGTGACAATGGGACGGGGGTAAGTCGCGTCCGTACCGTGGAGTCACCCACCACCTGCCTATTGTCTTTTCTTTATTTTTTTCCCAGAAATGTTTTAGCTTGTAGTCAAAGTGTTTTATTCAGAATGTTTCATGCAAACCTTCACCAGCTGTGTCAAACATCTGTCTTAAGTTTACTCCTTGATTACATGCAATGGTTGACATCTGAAGGGTGTGAGTCTGGACTTCCTCTATATGTGCACACACACACAGCCATAAATGGTTGTGATGCTTTGAACCAATCGTTGGATTGGATGAAAGCAGGAAGAAGGATTTGAGAAGCTAAAAAAAATCCCAGACAGACTCTTCAATACTGTATTACGTTTATATGTGAGGAGGACAAACGTGAGCAACGAAGCATACCTGCATCCAGAAACTGCTCGTGTCGTATTTTCTTTCGCCTCTCTTTGGAATGCATTGCATCCCTTCAGGCTAAGGAATGTGTCCATGGACACAAAGACAAGTTGAGACACACCGCGGAGAGGAGCAGCCCGTTTAAAAGCAATGCAACAATACACCTATTTCCACGCGCTATTAAAAATGGCTTGAAATTGCGTTTGCATGTTGATGATGAACAATCTGGTAAATGCATCGAGGTAGTGCAGAGTTTAAGCTGGATTAAACCAAATGGAATTGGTTTCTGAATGGAAATGATCCATTGAAATTAAGGTTTAAATGCATTTTAATACAATCAGTGTGAGGCATCAATTCCTGGCGACACGAAACCAACCCTCAGTTTCAGTTAACCGACAAAAACAAGAACGAAGAAACTTCTGTTTCCCTCTCACATCCCTCCCCAGTTTGTCAAGTGCGGCTTCGCTGGATCCAACTTCCCCGACCACATCTTCCCGGCCATGGTGGGTCGACCGATCATACGATCGAACACCAAAGTGGGCAACATCGAGATAAAGGTGGGATCACTTTTAATGTCTTTCTTTGCATATTTCCCCCTCTTTCACATCCTCTGTTTATCTCTGTCCCTCATTAATGTGGTCGTGTTCTAAGCGAAGGGGACGCCTGTCGGACCTCAAGTGGCGCAGGAGTGCAGACCGCGCGCTTCATTTCATAACCCAAACCAAACCAAGGCTTCACTGTTCACCTGATAGATGTTTATCTCTTTTTGGGGGTGATGCACCATCCTTTAGATCCCCCCCAAAACATGAAACCCACAGATTTCTCACAGAAAAGGTCTGCGTTCTCCCCCACCAGGACCTGATGGTGGGCGATGAGGCCAGCGAATGCCGCTCCATGCTGGAGGTGTCCTACCCCATGGAGAACGGGATGGTGCGCAGCTGGGAAGACATGCTCCACCTGTGGGACCACACCTTCGGCCCCGGCCGCCTGAACATCGCCCCGCACGAATGCAAGGTAGAACGCAGGCGGGCAGACGTTGCACCCTGCTCACCTTCTGATGTCCATTAAAGTCGCACGGGTCTCATGCAACCAGCGAGAATCAGAGGCGTATGATCGTTACATGTCGTGTCTGGGAGCTTCACTCAGTTTGCATTTCACGCGTCTGTTCCTTGAGATCCTGCTGACGGAGCCGCCCATGAACCCCACCAAGAACCGGGAGAAGATCGCGGAGGTCATGTTCGAGAAGTACCGGTTCCACGGCATTTACGTGGCGATTCAGGCCGTGCTCACCCTCTACGCTCAGGGTAAGAAATCCGATTTAAATCTTCTCTCTGTCGGACCTCCAGGATTATGGGAAATGCTTCATTCAATAATCTTTCGGCGAATGCTCCTTTGCGCAGGTTTGCTCACCGGTGTGGTCCTCGACTCGGGCGACGGCGTCACCCACATCTGCCCCGTGTACGAGGGCTTTTCTTTACCCCACCTCACTCGCCGGCTGGACATCGCAGGACGGGACATCACGCGGTACCTCATCAAGGTGAGTGACAGAACCGGGGGGTTGGGAGGGGGGACGGGAACGGGAACGCACGAAAAGACAAAATGACCCAATGACCCTTTTGTCTCCACCAGCTCCTGCTCCTCCGGGGCTACGCCTTCAACCACACGGCCGACTTTGAGACGGTGCGCATGCTGAAGGAGGAGCTGTGCTACGTGGGGTACAACGTCGAGCAGGAGCAGCGCCTGGCCCTGGAGACCACCTACCTGGTGGAGACGTTCACGGTGCGCGGAGGAACTCGGGGAGGAAATGAAAGTGAAAGTGTTTTGTCGAATTGAAATCGTTTCTTCCTCCTGTGGTGCAGCTCCCCGACGGGCGGCAGGTGAGGGTGGGGGGAGAGCGGTTCGGGGCCCCCGAGGCTCTCTTCCAGCCCCACCTCGTCAACGTGGAGGGAGCAGGAGTGGCGGAGCTGCTTTTTAACACCATCCAGGCTGCAGACATCGACCTCAGGTCCGAGCCTCCTCCTCACACACACACACACACACACACACAAGACTCACTCTCCGAATCACCCGTCTACTTGTTGTGTTTCCTGTGCAGGGCCGACTTCTACAAGCACATTGTTCTGTCAGGAGGGACCACCATGTACCCGGGACTCCCATCCAGGCTGGAGAGGGAGATCAAGCAGCTCTACCTGGAGCGGGTGCTGGACGGAGACACCGAGAAGCTATCCGTAAGAGAGCCGCGTAGCACACCTGCACTTTTCTGTGAATAAATACCGTTTTGTGAGTAGGATAGACGCACAATCATGGAGAGATCCCCGAGGTTCAAGGACCTCCAATTTTTGCCCCATTCGCCCGCGCAGAAGTTCCGGATCCGCATCGAGGACCCTCCGCGGCGTAAGCACATGGTGTTCCTGGGCGGCGCGGTGCTCGCCAACATCATGAAAGACAAGGAGTCCTTCTGGCTGAGCAGGGCGGAGTACGAGGAGAAAGGCCCGGCAGCGCTGAAGAAACTGGGGGGAGGAGTCAGATAGAGAGACGGCGTGTAAACAGGAAGAAGCATCAGACAGATGTTTCTGCTTTTATTCCACGTCTCACCTTGAAAAAACAAGCTGGTGTTCAATGTGTTTCACGGAAAAATGGCGCTCCTTCATTCCAGCGAGTGCTGGATGCGTTTTAAAAATAATCAGTTAGTCGACTGACAAAAAAGGGCCGGTTGCGTTTGATGGACAAGGTTTACTTTGTTTATATTATTTAAGAGTGGGCATGTTTGCATTCGGACGGTTTCATGGACTTACTTTATCTCAGAAGTTTGAAAGATTGCTTGGTAAAATCAATATCAGATTTGATAGAAAAAATAAAATGTGACCACAGGTGTCTCTATTACACTGTAATAGTGTTCATGTGTAAAACTTTTATATGTTTTACGTTCTGAATGTGAAAAAAGTGCGACCTCAGGCGACTGGAAACAGGAACTTTTTATTTACCCAGCAGAAAGAAACTTAATAATCATAAACCGGTCAAGGTAGACGGGAGGAAAGAAGTCACTCTTTAGCTTTTTAATAATCATAAGATGATTAAGACATTATCCGTCTTCGTACACGGGAACCTCAGTCCTAATGTTTCATTATCTAGATGGATTTGAAATTTGACAACTTTCAAACTAATTTAAACATGCAAATTGAGTCTTGTGTTAAAAATCCAACCAGTTCTTTCTTTAATTTAATAGAAATAGGAGAAAAGACCAAAGGTTTTAGAAGCAGGAGGCAGGATGTGAGGTGCTGCTCGTTTAAGAGGTTTGCTGCCACCTGGTGGTTGAATTAGTTCACAACGTCCAATCAGAAACAGCCACAATCAAACTGAATGGAACAACAGATATTGCAATTTTATTGCGATACTGAGATACCTGACAGAGTACAGTAATGAGTTTCTTCACACTGAAAGTAAATAAATAAATAAAAAGTGAGCTCTCACAATGAACACATGCTGCACCACACTCGCAGAACCTTCACGTTAGATGAAGAAAAGAAAAGCATGCAATAATGTTCAAAACACGTCATAGTTCTCAAAGCGAACCTCCTCGACTGATTCGAAAGCCGCAGACGTGTGAAAAATCCACACGTATGTCTGATATCTACCCGACAAATTCAACGATCAAAAGTTTAAGTTTAAGATACGCAATACGACAAATCGGTAACAACGCCGAGCGCAACAGTCGGTCGACAGTGACGACTTGCAGCAAAAGCCACCGGCAGCTGGTGACTGGGTTTACATTCGACCCGTCGCCCCGGGGGTCCGGGAGGGTCCTGGGGGGGTCCTGGGGGGGTCTGGGGTCATGGGCCCTAGTGGTGTTCTTACAGTGCGCCCCACGGAGGAACTATAATATATATAAAACAAGCGGATGATGAAGGCAGGGGGGGTCGCAGAGGGACTAAAAGGGTCTCGTTGGTTTTGATTCAGACATCCAGTCGTTCAGTGGCGCCGTCGCCTCGGCGTGTTTTATCTGGCTGTGGTTTAAACGAAGAAAAAGAGAGAAAGACACAGAAAGCTTTTCTGTCACTTCCCTCCCACTCGCCCGTTACTCCACCTGCCAAAAACAGGGGAGGAGAGTCTGGGCACTTTTTCCTTAAAATAAAGAGATACAATTAAATCGTCTTGGCGGTTGACTCTAAAAATGAAACAGCTGATTTAAAGCTTCCTGTTAACGTTTCCTTCCTGTGAAATGGCCTCTTTGTCTACGTGTTTCTTGTTTTGGTTTCACTTTGGTATTGAGGTTCGGTCTTGGCTATAACACACGTCCCCCGGTGGGTCAGACTGTATTCCAGGGGCCACAGAGAAGAAACCCTTTAACCGCCGTTCCGTCCCACATAACAGTGAAGTAATAAAACATCCAAGTGTCTTTTTTAGATTTTTTTTTTTGCCCAGAACTATACTGCGAAAGGGTTACATCGCCACGGTGGAATATTTCCCTTCTCGTGTGCGTGCAGGAAGTGATTTTTGTTTCCAGGCAACAGAAGTCTCAGAGAATTGGTCTTTGGGTTTGTGCTTCCTCACGTTTCTAGTGACGTAATCCCCTTCGTGGTATAACTCTGGGTTCATGTTCAACGACTAAAAACAAAAAGAAATCCATTTATTACACATTTTCCACAAATAGGAGCACACGCGTGGTACACGGCACAACCGCTGGTCCGCGCGTCGCTCCTTTCTTCTCGCAAAAAGAGTTTTACCGTCAAAAAGGTCGGCGCCGGGTCCGGAGGAGGCCGGCTTCTCTTTTCAAAAAACGAGTCCTCGCCCACGACGAGACAGAGGCAAGAGAGGGAGAGACAGAGCAGCCCTCCTCCTCCTCCTCCTTACTCCCCCCCCCCCCCGAGTTCAAACACACACACACACACCCTCCATTCCCTCCCACTCACTCCTCACACACCGACTCGCTCAGGTCCACGGCGCCACCTCTGGTGAGCCGCCGCATCTTGCTGAAGTCGTGGTCGGTCCTCAGGTAGGAGAGCGAGGGCCCCCCCTCGCTGTGGCCGGCCAGGTCCTGCGGCTGCGCCTGCGGCGGCAGGGGCCTCATCTCGCCGCCGCTGCGCCAGTACAGGGCGTACTGCTCCGGGTCGGACACGCCGAAGGTGGCGGCGCACAGCTGCGCCAGCGCCTGGCTGGTCTCCCCGGCTCTCCACTGCAACGTCCGCGCGGCGCTCCGCTCGCCGTCCTGGAACAGTATCCGAACGCACCTCTGGAGGGGAGGGAGGGGGGGGGAGAAAACACAGAGTGAACATATACTGTATTCACGCAAAGCAGAGGTCAAGAGGCTTACGGAGTGAGGGCAGAGGAGGGGGAGGAGAGAGAGGGAGGCTGATAATCCGCTCTGACAAATGAGGCAAAATGATGCTCATGAAAGATTTTCTCTCGAAAACACAAAGCTTCTGCTTCCCACACACACGAAAACCCACAGCCAGCGGGTCCGAGGTAAATGGCTCTTTTTCTCGGTTGCATGTTAGTCTCTCTGCTGTTAGCGCCCCCCCCCCCACCATTCCCTCCCCAGGTATGAATGCCTCACAGCGCGTCCAAACAGAATCCTTCTCGCCGCTCCAATGAAAGTTTCCCCCTTTTGGCACTTTGGCCCAAACTTTTCTTTCCGACGTTCTCAAAAAGAACAGAAAACGCGCTCAAATGCACAGACCCACAAGTCGCCTCCCCCCCCCCCACAACCCGACAATCGCCCCTCTCCACAGCTCTTAAGCAGCGACCCCCCGGCTGTTACATAACGCCCGATCCGGCCACCTACCGACGCCCTCGCAGCTCTCCTGGAAACGCTCACGGAGGGAACAAATAAACCTCTCACCAAACATCCCAGCTTCAGAACCCGGAGAGAATCCTCTTCTCAGCCGCGCGCGCAAAGACACACAACTACCCCCCCACCTCCCCTCCCCTCCAAACACACACAGACGCACAAGTGGCCAAAACATGCCCCTTGAGTGAAGACAGAGAAAGACGCGTGCAGAAATCAACAGGTGTGCCGCCGTCAACACTTACAGAGTCACTGAGCTCCTCGCTGTCCGTGTGCATATTGTGTTTGCCTGCTTCGATGGGTAGATGCAGCTCAATAAATTTCATGTTATCTGACCGCCCACTTCTTCATAGCACTTGGCTCACTGATCCCGCCTGTGTCAGTGGAAAAACTGGCTGCCGGGTGAGTTAGATCGCCTATTTGAAGCCAGGAGAGGCACCACGTGACGAGACACAAGCGCCGGGGATGACAATGCCCTTTTTTTTTTCCCTCCTCTCTCCGTGGCATCTGGTGGAACGTTTTTTTTTTTTTAACCCTTTTTTTGACAGGAGAGTGTCGGTAAGAAGTCGGTGTGTCGATCGGCGGATTACCTCTAAAAACGCCCAAAGACTAATCCTCTGAAATGAGTTCAAAACGCCTTTAGGGGGGGAAATCCAGGTGTGTGTGTTGGAGGCTGCTCTGTTTATTCGCCCCCCCGGGCCCGAGCGGCAGCGGTAATACCTGAGGTGGACTCTGACCTGTCGCCGTCCCAGCTGTAGATAATCTGACGGTCCTCGTCCCGCCATCACTGCAATTAACGCAAAGTCCGACCTCTTTGGTGGATTATCGCCCCGCGTGACGTGGACGCAGTTTGTTAATTGTTTGGATTGTTTTAGAAGCTGGAGTTTGGAGCCAAAGTGTCCTTCAGTGTAAGGATATTGCAATTGAATCACATTCTGATCTATAGTTACATCATTTAAACATCTCACATTTCTCACGGTCCCACTGTTGATTAAATGAGAAGAGTACACAGAAGCAGTTGGGGATTTCTATGTATTGGAACCTTTTGCAGATTAATTTCACAGATTACAGTTCTAACCAGACATGAACCGGCTTAAAACTACAGGTTTGGATTAAACTCTTCCACATTTCAGCTGCAGATTTCTCATCACTGTGGCCTTGATTGCGCCGTCGGAAGATGACGATAGACGCACCAGTTCACTAAGTGCCAACCAATGCTGCCCTGAGCTTTTTGGTTGGAACATCTGGAGCTTCAGCATGTGCACACGATCACATATTGCCGGAGTGGAGAAGTGTTCCACTGCATAATAAGCGGTTCCTTCACTCCGCACATCCAGCAGCTCTTCACACGGGGAAGCCGTGTGTGACAGCTTCAAAGTAGATCAGCGTGCAAACCCACACATGCTGCAACACCACCGGTGTGTCTGCGTTGCGCTGCCACAATAACAAATAACAAACCCACCTGGCTCTGCTGGTCGTCCTGTTGTCTCTGGGCCTCTCGGCTCCTTCTGCAGCTCCACTCCTTCAGAGCCTCCTGGGCCTGGGGGGTCAGGCAGCCGGAGACGGGCTGGTCCCCGTCCAGGCTCTGGATCAGACACAGGCCGGCGTACACGCTGGTCAGGTAGTACCCACCTGCAGCGGGAAACACACAACGAGCGCACAACCCCGCGGTTACTCGCTGTAAACAAACAGAGGATATGCTTCATGGTAGAAGTTTGGAGCGGGACCTTCAGAGAGAGAGAGAGAGAGAGAGAGAGAGAGAGAGAGAGAGAGAGAGCGAGCACGGCAAAGTATTGATTCAATAGTAGTTTGTTTTCTTAGTAGTAAGTTGTATGAATGTATTGATAGTGAAATATTGTGTTGAGTTCATTTACTTGTTGATTAATCAATAATAAAACAATGTTAGAAATTGTGATGCTGGTTTATTATGGTGGTACATTATACGTAGTTACAAATGTTTTTTTTTACTATTGTATTGATTAAACTAGCAATTTAAATCTATGTCACCTTGGCTGTAGTGACATTTTCTTGGCATTCTTTCAATATTTTCTGACAGAAAAATCGGCTGGAAATATTTAATGATGGTAAAATATTTTCGTTCGTCAAGCTGCTGGATTACAGTCCGTCCACATGATCGAAAAGCCACATAGAGCTCAGGTCGTACCCTCTCCGCCCAGCCAGGAGGGCTCCAGCAGCTCCATCATGTACTCCACCTCTATGAGGATGTGAGGCCTGTTGCACTCCACAATCACGTAGGACAGCGACGGCAGGAAGTCCTCCCAACTCACTTCCTGTCCTGCAAGGAAAAACCCACGAGGACAGCCCAAGAGTAAGCCATGCGTTATATATGAAAAAGCAAAAGACACACTGCAGCCTTTGAAAGCAAAGACTGTTGACCTTTGACCTAGTCCCTTTTCTTCCCCATGGAAGCCCTCGAGCATCAAACCCAGCGGGTGTAACAGTGTAAAGCAGTAACATTTCCCGGTCGACCCCCTCCCTCGGTCGCCGTCCTCACCAGGCAGGGAGCCCATGGCCTTGTGCACGCACTTGCACACCTGCAGCAGCAGCAGCACCTTGTCGATGGGCGAGTGCGTCCTCTGCATCAGCAGCAGCTTCTGCTTCACCCGCTCCACCTCGCGGCCGTCGGGGACGCCCGTCCGCACGCCGAGCCGCTCCATGGCGCCGTCCCCCTTCAGGCGCGCCATGTTCTGGGCGAGGCGCCGGCTGCTGCCGTCCTGGGCGTGCGACGCCGCCAGGGCCCTTTCCAGGTGGGACCTCAGGGGCCGCAGCACGCAGGAGAACATGGCCCGCTCCAGCGCCAGGTCTGAGGACAGAGGGGGGGGGGGGCAAGGGGCTCAGACGCTGGCTTGTGCGGCGTGGTCGTTCGCAGGTGGAGCGGCGTGTGGTGCGTGTGTGTGAGAGGAACGGTGGTTAACAGTGGAAGGAGATCCCATCATTGGATCGCCTGTGTGGAACAACCAGCAACATCTGGTGTTCATGCGATTTCTAAACTGCATCTTCAATGGTTGAATTTATACATTTCTCAAATAGTAGAATTGTTGAAGTGTTTCGTCCACCTGGTGTAAAGTTGAGCAGGTGTGTATTTAAATGAGCATCACATGTTCACACGCACGCTGGGCGCCAAAGGACCCTTTTAACCCCCCCGCTTGTTTATCTTTCTTTTTAAACATTCTGTAGATGCACTTTTATGTTTGGGCTGACAACAGTGAGGTGTAACACAAAGGAACTCTGGGATACGTTACACGTGCACACACACACACACACACACACTCACTCACACACACAGTCAGTGGGCAGTCCTGAGTAACAATTCTCTAGTGCACAGTTTTCCACACATCATCAATATCCTCTTCTCCTTATCTCATGTTTCCCTCCTGTACACCACCCCCCCCCTCCCATCCACCTTACTATATCAACCCCCCCTGTGTTTAATCATTGACGCCCCCCATGCTCTGCTTCTCTCCCAGCATCCCTCTCTTCCAGCAGCTCTCTGGAGTAACATATTTCCTGTAGTGCGATTACAGCCCTGTAAGTTGCGTGTAAGCTTTTTCCTGCGCTAATGAATCTGATTACCGTTGCAAAGTATTCTTCCTATTTCTATCCCTCCCTCCCACCCTCCCCTGAATCGTGCTGCTCTTCAAGTGAGCGTGGGACTGTGATATCTTTTTATGATAAACGAGGGGGAGAAAAAAAAAAGGAAAAATGCAAATGCCTCCCACCGACGCAATGCGAGATAAATCAGAAGGAGAGCGCGGGAAGGAAGGACCCGAGGAAGGAAGGAAGGAAGGAAGGCAGGAAGGCAGTGGCCGACCGCTCTGCCCTGAAGCCTCTGCACTGCCAGGCAACCATCCGTCACAAACACATCTGCAAACGCACACACGGAAAGGAGACAAACCTCCGCGCACGTGTGAAAGAGATCCGACTAGAAAGGAGGGCTTTCCTAATGCTGCTTTCTAAATAGCAGACAATAAGAGCTCTGAATGAGCCCCCCCGCCCCTCCACTATGTAAACTACTTTGTGTGGACAGTGGCTGTCACTGGCTGTCTGTTTCCCTGCGTCCTCTAATGAGTCCGTGTTTGCTGATAGCACCGTCCTCCCGCGCTGCAGCCGCCGGCTCCTCGTTTCAGAGTGACAAACTAACCCTGCGAAGCAGAAGCTTCACGAGGTCGAGGAGATCACCTCAAAGTGTAATCCAGCACAGTCAGCGCCACTCGATTTGTTATTTCTTCGGTTTGCATTGTGGGGAAATGATTATTTTGTGTTTAGTAATGACATTTTACAATAGACTACACTCTGGATTAATAACACGTAAACTCATTTCTGCCATTATGTTACAATCTGGGAAAAGGCGGACGTGTCGCTTAATTATCTAAATTATCTAATTTCTGCGGTTTCTGAACCTTCCTCGTGACAGGAAGTCGACTGCACACGCCGCTGACATACAGAAGGCCATCTCTTGGTAACCGGGAATTTTCAGTTCCCGCCTCACAAGGCCCGTGCACTCACGGGGGCCGTCTTTAAAACGGCCGCGTCCTAACGTAACGCGTTTAGCGCTTACCTTTCTCGTTCTCTGGCACCAGGGTCTCGATGGGCGGCTCCAGCTCTCCGCTGTCCAGCAGGCAGCACTTTGCCTGAGAGAGGAAGAGGCGCAGGCCCTGGAGCAGCTGCACGGACGTCACGCGGCGCGAGGAAGAGGGCGAGGGAGAGGCCGCCAGGGATTTGAGCGCCTCCCTCTGCGCCAGCAGGAAGTCCTGAACCATGCCGCCGAAGGCGGAGCGCCTGTCTCTGGACAGCTCCTCCACCAGCCGCGTCAGCCGCTTGTCCGGCGCGAAGAAGCAGACGAAGGCCTCGCTCATGCGGTGCAGCCCGCCGCGGCCTCGGGAGCGCACGAGCGGCGGCCGCTGGTGGAAGCGGCCGAGGGGCCGCGCGGCGCCATCGGGCTCCGGGTCGGAGTCGTTGTCCTCGTCCATGCTGCTGAAGGAGCTGCTGCTGTCCAGCTCGGCCAGGGACGGCGCCGGGCGGCGCTCCAGGGCCAGGACCGCCACCTCGATGCCGCTCTCCGCCGCCCGCACCGACTGCCGGGCCTGCGGGGGCTCCTCCGCGGTGGCGCGCGTCTTGATGGGGGACACAAGTGAGTCAGTTTAAAGAGTGACGGCCCGAGACACAAATGAAGAGGTAAGCGCGCATTACTCCTGGCACGTAGACGGACATCCCGTCCTCTTCCTCCGCGGAGCCCGGTGACACGGCGGGCGTTCTCCTCAGGACCCCCGCCCCGGGGTGAACTCTTCTCTGCGGGATGCCGCCGGGCTTCTGCAGCCCTCTCCGACGCGCCCAGCCGCTCCAGCGAGGAGGGGGGCGAGTAGGAGCCGACCCCCTCCAGGGACAGGTTCATGGAGGACTCGGAGAGCCGGAGCCGCATGCTGCGCTTGAAGCGGTGCCGCTTGTTGGAGGCGCTGTGGTTAACGAGCTGCTGCTGCTGCTGCTGCTGCGGCTGCGGCGTTTGCTGCTGTCAAAAGAAAAAAGTCCTTCATCTCACAAGAGCCAGGGGGCCTTTTTGCACCGTTTATCTTTCAAAGGGTCGAGAGTGAAGTGCATCGCTTACCACGCTGACCTCCAGCTGCAGGAAGAGGGGGTTGATGAAGCAGAGTTTGCCGGGTCCGCCCCGGAGTGCGCGGCGGTCCTGGCTGCCGCCGGTGGAGGCGACCGGGCTCGCCGGTCCGTTCTGGACCTCGGAAGCCGTCGGCGTGCTCCAGAACTCTGGTCCAGAGGGAAGAAGAGGGTTTGGATACAAACATTCGACCACTTTGACAAATAGTTTTATTCAATCAATCCGATCGTTTCTGGTTTGTTTGGAGCTGTTGGGCAAATATTTTAAAACCAATAACACAGAACCAGACTTATACTTACAGAGTTACATATATATTATATATATATATATAAGGTCATCTTACGTTGAGCCGTGATCAAACCATGACATCCTGCGTGGATAATGTAAGTTTATCTGACCGAACGACAGCGAGAAAGCATCGTTTGTCTCTGAGCTGCACTCGGTGACACATGCTGCGTCTCGCTCCGTCACACCTCGGTTCTCTGCTGCTGCAGAAGTACGTTAGCATGTGAAAATAGACGCGAGCTGGCAGGCGCTGCCTTAATCACTCGTTCCTTCACTTTATTTTTACATTTGAAGCACTTTGCTGAGGAGAAGCCGCCTGGGAGCGACTTCACCGCCTTCACGACAAACCACAGTTACGATGCTAACATGTTAGCATGCTAGCTTCGCCATCTCCGTTGATCAGCATCAAATATCGAGACTGTCTATTTAGCCAGTTAGCGAGTATTTGATCATAAAGAATGAAATAACAGCCGATGCCAGGTGAAAACTTCCTCCTGTCGCTGTACCTTGTCCCATGTGGGAAATGGCCTCCAGCTGCCTGTGTGTCGTGGCTGCAGCGATGGCTTCTGGCAGCTGCAGCGGGAAGGGCAACACATCTCTGCAGACGAGGACAAAAACCAACACAAAAGCGTAATAAATCAATATGGACACACGTGTGATTTGGTGCACAAGGTACGACGATAAAATGTCGGAAAAGATCGAGTCTGATCACATTCTGCCACACAAAACTGGAAGGAAAAACTGTTTCTAAGGAGCTATTTGTTGAGAGGGGGCGTGGCCATGTTGTATTGAGAAAACATTAACGTTTATATTCTGGCCGTGCTGTGCCTCCGTTCCACTGATGCATCACCTGCTGATGCAGTAGAAGGCCACCAGGCGACACAGGTCCGGGAAGGTGAGCGCCGAGCTCTCCAGGGCGAATGCTGCTTACAGAAGAGACGAGAGTGTGACGGACAGCCGTGGAGGCAGCGGTTCAAATGCCACAGGAAAAACATGGCGGCTGTAAAAACACTCACTGGAGTCCTCCTCGCAGATGAAGCACTCCTTGACGGAGGAGGCGCTTTTGTCCGCCGTGGCTCTCAAACACAGCACCTTCCTCTGGCTGGAGCTGCACTTGCACACCAAGAAGGTCTGGGAGCGCCACGGAAACGAGATATAGAAACGCAGGCATGTTAAAAATATTGTTTCTTTTCACAGATTACTCCGGAGGAGGGCACAGATGGTGCAAATGGCAATGTGACGTGCGAAATAATAGCGAGATGTATCCCTTGAATATTGGCCTTCAGGGTGCTGCCGGAGCCTCGGGGGAGCTGAGTAAGAAATGAGAGCAAAACTATGGTTGTCTTTGTTAAAATGACACAAATATTCATACTACAGCTTCCTCTTGTCTTTGGTCAGGAAGAGTTTATCGGCACCGTAATCACATTTACTCCAACAGAGTAATGTTTCCCTGCATTCCTTTTTAACCGCCGACGTCATACGGCGGGAATGAAGTGCAGAGTCCGTACCCCAACAGGCTCCCTGAGCAGGACGTAGAGGGCGGAGTCCTGGTTGAGTGACAGCTGCAGCCACACAGGGTGAGTGAGCAGCAGGCGATCCAGGACGCTGAAGACCCGCTGAGAGCCTCGATGGGGGCCGCCCGTCTCCTGCATCTGCAACACACAAGGATCTACAAGGTGATGCTCTATTAACAAAAACACCACAAACACTTTGGTCAATGAGTTTTAGAGCAAACTATATATATATATTTATTAGACAGGTGCAGTGTGCAGAGGTTTTGCTTTAGAGCTGCGCCAGACGGTGCCCCCTGAAGCTGAAGTGACACTTTACAGCTCTACACAAGTGTTCTTATCCAGTAAAGAGGGTCACGGTGAACACGCACATGTAGCCGGCGTCACTTTGTGCATTTGTCACTGAGATCAATATCCAATTTATCGCTGGGCTGAATTGTGTTGCATTAAAAGTTGTTGTTTAATGTGTTGCGCTGAAGGGGGAGAAGCAGGTGTGGTCAAATGCACGCTACTCTGTATACTCCAAGTCTCCATTATCTATATATAAATATATATAGATATAGATATACAAGTTGTGCCATACAAGTTGTATCAATGTGTTTGATTCTGAGAAATAAAAATGAAGCTTTACAATCATTCAGTTTAAAAACCAGTGTGTTTTTCTTATTTTCGGCCCTTACAGTAAATGTTATCATTCGACCAGTCTCCCCCCCCCCCCCCCCCCATCCCTCCCTCTCTCACCCTCCCCCCCTCCCTCAGATGGGCTTGCTGCTGGATGTCACACTGTGTGGGCTGCCGGCGAGCGCTTGTGAGCGTAGCAGCAGATGGTTGCCATAGCAATCCGGGCCTACACATCGTACCAGGCATTCCCACTCAGCGAAACACCCTTTCGCCAACAAGATGCGCGTGCACACACCATCATGCCGACACACACACACACACACACGCACACGCACACACACACACACACACACACATACACGCTATCTTAATACGGTGAAAGGGTTTTACGGGGTACGCCGTTTTTTTCTTCTTCTTTCGAGGAAGCTTTTCTTTCACAAATTAAAATACAAAAAGGAAGAAATAATGAATTCATTGCGTTCACAGAATATTGTTTTCATCCAATCACATTGGAAGGTTTTTACCATTTCTCACCAACTTATTACATAAGGCCCCGCCCCCCTCCCAGGGGCCTCAGAGGAAACTCTCGCAGACTCTTTTTCCCAATTCGGTTTAAAAATGAGAAAGCAGACTGTGCTAAACCCCAAAAGAGCAGCTGTCCAATTAGAGTTCATGGTCTGTGACGGGCAGGTGTGTGTGTTCTCATTGTGTGCACGGGGCTGTTGGGAGAGTCCAGACCTGTGTACGTCTGTTTCATTTAACCGTATGTGGTTTATGGGGTTTTAAAATGAGTCAGCAGGAAACATTCAAAAGTAACTCCAAGAATGAGTTTTTATTTCCAACTCTGCGTGAAGCCGAACGCGTTCTGTTATCTGCATATGCGCTGAAAGTCCGAGAGAGAACGAAAAGCAAAGCAGGCAGAACGAAGCAAACTCTCTGATGGAAGCAAATAAAGCCGAATACGTTCACATTCACTTCCTCCAACACTTCACAAGTCAACAAGCACCTGCACATCAAGAGTCAAATATGGTTTTGCCTATTTTAAAGTGAGCTTTAAAAAACAAACAAAAAACAAACAGGAAAGCTGTGAGTCTGATGACACACACACACACACACACACACACACACACACACACACCATACAAGGCTATAAGACACCACGAGAGATAAACAAAACAGAGAGCAAGACCCTTGTGTTTCTCCAGCCATTTCCAGGTCCGCCTTACATAAAAAGCTACGCTGCCCACACACACGCACACGCACACACACACACACACGCACACGCACACAGACTTATGTAATTCCCTGAGAGAACGAGAGCCACACAGAGAGGAGAGAAACACAAGAGAAAGATGAAAAGATAACGAATGAAAAAGAGGAGAGGAACTGGAAATGAATGTGAAATCCGATGCCGCGAGGCGGCAGACTGGAAGTGTGATGAAGCAGAAGGACGCGCACACTGTACACCTAACAAGGTGCTTCTGTGCCCGAGGGCAGCGGCAGCATCCGCGAGAGTCTGACGCCGCTGAACGCAGCGACCAGTAGATGGGCCAGACTACATGAAAAGGAGATGATGAGGAGTACTGAGCCTGTGTAACGGCTATCTGTGGGGGAGCTGGGGGTAACCCCCCCCCCCCTCATAGACCTGAGGGTCCAACGGGCCAATCTGGGGTGGCTAGTTTGCATCTTCTTCTTCTTTGGAGGTGGACGGAGCGCTGGCGGTCCGAGGGAGACGCGCGGCAGGTGGCGAAGGTATCGGTGCTGAATCACACTCTCCTGCACATGCTGGAGGTGTTAAGAATGATCGGCTTAGCATGAGGCCGGTTTACGCAGGAAGCTTAGCTCATCACCGCAAAGCGTTCACCCGATGTATTTAGAGAGAGAAGAAAGGGTTTGAGACCCCCCCTCTACACACACACACACACACACACAAAGAGCATGAGGTAAAGCGGGAGTCGCATCGTCCTGAGAGAAAAACAAGGCTTTTAGGAAAACAGTGTAGGACGAAGGAGAGCTCTGCCAGCGCTGCAGATGGACGCCATCATGGCGTCCAGATTCGTCCACCTCCGGACTGCTGCCCCGTCTGGTTGGATAGGCACAGCCCCCCCCCCACCCGCATAGACGATCAATGGTTCAAACGACCTCCACACTCATAAGTGGGGGGTTCTCATGCAACTTTCGCACACTCGCACTGTCCTGATTGGTTTGATTGGCGGCGGCGACATCGAGGCAGGTGTCATATTTCAGCTGATTTGAAAGCTCCTTACTGAGGTTTTTTTGTCTTAATCTTTGTTTACTTCGCGAGGTTGACAGAGAATTATATTATATTAGACCGGACTACTTTTTGCTGACAGCTTCATTTCTCACAGTGAGTTTTCTGACAGTGTGAGTGTTTGATCATCCGGCCCAATTCGTACGAAACAGTGCGCTCTTAGTGTGAAAGGAGACCTGCACATTTACAAAGAAACTTTTTGAAGCTTGTGTGTTCGCAGAAACTCAATTTCAGCGTCAACAGCCGAGTGATAAATCACCACCACCGCTCATTACATCTGCAGCAGACAGTTACAGGGACTCCCGAGGCAGCAGGAGGGGGGAGAGGAGGGGGAGGGGAGGAGGAATCAAACCCCCCCCACCCTCCCCCGCAGAACACCCAGCTGATGCGGTCGCTCTCCAGCCTCGGCCTCATCATCCGAGACGCAACACCACAGGAGTCCTCGTGACCTCCGGCCAACCGGCACGTGGCGAGAGAGCGACGCTGGAGAACCGGCCGCGCGTGGTCACATCCTGCATACGCTATTTCCATCTGGAGGTTTATTTTGACAAGCGGGCCGCTGTAAAATCACACGATTCAAAACAAACAAACATTCAAACGCTTTCTTCCCCTTGTGAATTTTTGTGACGCATGTTTGGCAATGTGACCATGATCTCCTCTCACAATATTGATATATATATAAAAAAAAGACATAAATATGTATAAATATACAACTCCCTGTAGTTATGCTGTCATAACTATGCCACTATCTAACTCCTACAGGTGGATGGACCTTTTATCTGACATAAACCTACACAACAACAGATGACCACGCACCGATGAGTGGAAACAAACTTTGTCCCGAGCACAACAACGACTGTTTACTTCATTATTCATCGCGTTTGACGCCGACAGCAAGCGTCAGACTGTAGATCTCTAATTTTTTTGCACAAAGAGTGACCATGACGATGGCCAAGTATAGCCGGCGGCCCTTCAGTGCCTGCGTGGGATGACTAATGGAACAAACATAATTGCAGTGGGCTATAAGTATCTACAGGGGGCAACAGTGGGCACCGGGGGCCTGCTGGCTGATGGCAGGTGTCCGCTTTGATGCCTGCTGCACCCAAAAAAAGAAAGAAAAGGCGCCGTAGTGATGATGACACTCCGGGACAGTGACAAGGAAGTGAGAGCTGTGTGTTACAGCGCGTGTGTGCGCTTGTGTGTGTGTGTGTGTCGCATAGAAGCATTAGTGTTGAGTCAGAAGCAACACTGGAGAGAAGACGGCCTGTTGGCATAACTGTGAATATTCATAATTTTAGAAGCATATCAGTTAACTGATGCAGTGATGAGCATTGTTACAAATAGTTCTGTCAGACCAGGGGGGGGGGGGTGTAAAAGGCAGAGAAGCTATATCTAACCATCATTATGTCAGACATGTTTCCTTGATTTGTCTTGTATCCTCTGAGGCTAATAAGAGGCTAGTGAGAGGCTAATAAGAAGGTCGTGTGAGGCCATCCAGGCTTGATTCTGATATGTACTGTGGCACGATTTCTAAAATCCCGATAATTGTGTATGAAATAATAAAACTGATAGTCAAAGAAATGACCCATGTACCATATCTTGTGTCAAACAAAACATCGTGATAATTAATATCACCCAATCTAATCATTACGAAATGATGGGGGTCCTTAAGGGGTCTGAGACTAGAACACCATGATGACATCATGTCACCATGATGTGATTGATGACAAGTTTTACTACTAATAATTTTCTATTTATGGTTAGCTTATGACTTTAAAACAATACAATAAAAATGCTATAATCACATAATATATTCGTAGTTGTGTTTCAACAATGGATAAAATAACTAATTACGTTAATGAAGAAAAGCGGTGTCCGTAGAAACTCGCCCACAGAGAATTAGCATCTGACAGCTAACGTTAGCTCTCTAACTGTTCAAGTCAATTTAACTTAATTTAATACGTTAGCAACTTTTGAACGTGTCTTTCACACAATAACTTAACGTTCACTCATACCACCATGGTTGGCGGCAATTATCAGCAAAAAAAGTTATAAAACGTCGAGAAGTATCAGCAGTTAGGTTAGCAATAAGCTAACGTTAGCATATAAAACGTTAGTTGAGCATATAACGCCAGCTGCTAACTAGCTAGCTAAAAGCCGCACACACATTTCCCCGGGGAGCGTAAGATACCAAATATAGGGGTAAAAGTGAGCAAACGTTGAACTCACATTCGCGAGGTTTCCACAGATACGCCTCCATGTAAATAAGAATGTTGCCCATAACTTCTGCATAAGTTAGGAGGTTTTAGCGAACACGTAGTAGCCAATACAGACACAATGTTGTGTGTGTGGCTTGTTTCTGCTGCCCCCAAGTGGCCACAACCGGTCAATGCAGGTCAGCGAACGCATGCGAGGCCTTTTCTGCAGGAAACTACCATCCATTTTATACCACGTGTTATTGTGAATTTATTTTATTTTAGAATAATTTAAATATTAAGATAATATTAGTACAGTTTACATGAAATGGTACACATTATAATTACTGGTATTTTGATTTGAAGTCAACTATCAAAGGTCAAGGTATTTTCAACACACATCACAAATATGTCTATAAAGTGTTTTCATTGAGATTGAAAAAAGTTTATAACTGATGTGTGTTGCTTACTTTACTTAACTGGCATTAATTCTGTTCTTCTCACCTTGTTTTAGAGCTTGTCTTTTGTAGGAACGCTTCACTTGGCAATCCCACATCCAGGTCCTCCAATTGACTTTTCAGATTTTTTTACACAATAAGCCGGGGAAACTTGTTAGAAAAACAACTAGAATCGAGTTGTTATTCATCCACTTGTCTCCTGTGGAAAAGTAAAAAAACATTTTCCAAGATGCTGTCACCTGTCACTGTCACTACTCAAAAGAGCAAAGCACAGCAATGGTCTCGCCACGCTGCGAGTTTTCACACTTATTTCAATAACAAGAATGGATATCACACTCATTTTTGGGGGGAAAACAATAACATTTTTGGGAAAAGAAATGAGAAACTGACTAATAATTTAGCCTGACAGTTATGAAATAATTTATTTAAGCCCTTTAAAAGTTGTTTTCTGAGCTCACACATCCTGCTTTCAGTCTGCTTTGACCTCCGGGTGACCCTGTGATTCACAGTGTGACTAACGGAGCACTTCACACAAAATGATATTTTGGTAAAAGAGTTGTTAGGTAATGTCAGAGTTTTTCCATATACGCCGGTATGAATAATGCCTCGTGAGGAGAGGAAACGAGGTGCTTGAAGGGGATGATGTTGAACAGAATCAGGGGCTGCCTCATCAAAGGGAACTGCCTTTGGAGGCCAAGTTAATATACCGGATCATGGGTTTATTTCCTCTAAATCAGCAATCTTTATAAATAAACTAGACCGTTTCCACCCCCTCCCTCAATAAAAACTGACAGGACAATGAGTAACAGGCTTCAGTTGCAGCATCGGATGTAATAAATCCTTCTAACCGCCGTAACATTCGGCCTCCATGATGCATCTCTCAAGGCGTTCCACACCCTCGCACGCGTCTCCCGGGCGCAGGGTTGACAGTGAGGGATCACTTCCGTCCTTCGCAGGCGGTGTTAGAGTGACCACATGAGGACGAAAGCCTGCATTAAAGTTCTCTGACGCTGCCGGGGGGGGGGAAGAACGGTGCCCGGTCAGACCGCCTCCTGCTCAGATTCTCTCTTTTTAATGTTTTTCTCAAAACTTTTCAGGGAGGGATTTCTGACTCCAATCAGAAGAATATACGACCATTTTACGACCACAATTTTCTTTCTTTTTTTAAGAAGCATGATGAATGTTGAGCTACAAAACATCAGCTACAAAGCTGCAAAGCATCAGGGAATTTTTGCTATCAAAATATATCGATATCATCATATCATATCACATTTTACTAGTTGAAAAATCAAACTTAAGACTGCAAATAAAGGATGATGATGAGAGAGCATTGAACATAAAAACATGCTGTGAAGTGCAATTCAAGGTTCAACTCATAAGACGCATGTAATTACTTTAGCGTGCCCACACACATTACTTGGGTTTCACAGTAAAACGGTAATAACTGAGATTATCAGCATTCCTTCAACTGACTGAGGGTTGACTTGGTAACCATGGAAATATTATTTTTAACCTGATTCGCTGCTTATCTGTAATTCCTAAAACACACTGAGAACTTTAACGCTTGTCCAGCATCCGCATATGAAACAGTCTTATGTGAGAAAGTATTTGCTAATGGAAACGACGTAACCTTCTTCCAGGAAATCATTTAAAAACTATCGGGGAGGAATTCTCTCAATTCTAATTTCCTGTGAGTTTTGTAGCACGACGACGGTGACGGTGAGGATGAGGATGAGGATGAGGATGAGGATGAGGATGAGGATGACACGGTCCCCCCGAGCAGTGATGGGGGAAGCCTGCCATGCTCATGAGTCAGGTCACTAAACGTGTCCGTCTGCGCACAGAGGACAGACTGCTCCGCCGAGGGACTGAACTGTGTCCAACAGCTCCGAGCGTCACCGCGATCACACCCCTCCTACACAACACAGGGCACAACGCAGCATCCCCACACACACACACACACACACACACACTCCAACACACGCACACATTTGGTCAAATTGCAAACGATCGTGTCATTCAGCAATCACAGACTTCATGCAGGTTTAGGCGGCGTAACCACGGAGAGGAAGACCTCATCTGCATGAGAGAAAGGAAAAAACAAATAAGCATCCCCCCAAGGCCTCCCCCCCCCCCCTCCAAAAAGAGGAAACCAGCAGTTAAGTCACAAAAACGCCACTTACAGTAATGTGCCGCTCCGATTTAACGAGCACAACAGCAAGGAAGTGGGAACATCACATCCACTCCCACGCAGGCAGGATGGCACTTGAGTTTTGTAAAGTTATGTAACAGTCCGACGGTGTGAGATTACATTCAGGGGGGGGCGCAGGAGATCAGGACCCCCACAGACTGGAAAGGGTCTGAGTGGCTGATTAGAAACGAAACGCACGGTGCGCATTTAATGGCATCACTTCCCACCGAAAGCTGCTAATTAAAAGTAAATGAGAATATTTTATTTGGGAATCTGGCAAAAAAGGTCCAAACTGTGAGGCGTTTTGCGTCTCCTCACCTCGTGTCTTCGACACCACCCTGAAAACGACTAACCCCACCCGTCACCCCTCTCACAATGAAACCAAGTCACCGCGCCCTGCGACACCACCTCCTCCTCCTCCACCTCCTCTCCCCGTGGTCACTAATGATTAATGGCACAACGCGCACGGCTCGTGCGCGTGAGTCACTCTGAGCAGCGTTGTTATCAAGACGTCTTCCCGCCGACGCGCTGCGGACTCGAGGATTGAGAGAGAGAGACCTTCCCAAACGGGAGGGAGAGAACATCTTAGCACGGACGGGCTGCGCGTGCCAACTCTCCAGGAACTCCCGTGAAAACCTCCTCTTCCTCCCTCTCTCTCTCTTCCTCTCTCTCTCTCTTTCTCCTTTTGCGTCTTTGCGCAAAAGTCCGCTTCCCGCAGTAACTTACCTTGTCTCTGAAGGTGGGAACAGGTGCCGCGCGGCGCTGTGCGTGCGTGCGTGCGTGCGTGCGCGCGCGTTCTGCAGCCTAATTGCAGGCGTCCGGGACAGAGTTTGACCGGTTCTGTGTGGAGACGCTGCAGAGGCGGCGGAGTCCGAGCGACATGCTGCGGGAACACGGAGCCTGTCAAGAAGATGCGCGCAGCGCCCGTGACAAGGCGGAGGAGCGCATTTTTAATTCTGTCTGAGCATCTGAAGTGATACACAGTCACCGCAGAGTCTGTGTGTGTGTGTGTGTGTGTGTGTGTGTGTGTGTGTGTGTGTGTGTGTGTGTGTGTGTGTGTGTGTGTGTCAGGGGGGCGGGAGGTGGGATACACACGGAACCATACAAAAAATGTACAATTTTTGACAGTCAGACCACTTGGTTTATTTGGAGAATAATAAAAAGAGTTTATCCCAATGATGCACACATTTATCAACATCCAATACAGAGCAACTAAAAAGTGTGTGCATCACATTAAATGATTGCATCAGCAGGTTGAACAGCATGCAGATGTCATTGGAATGTATTTTACTAAGATGCTGGAAACTCGTCCCTTCGTGCACGCGCGCATCCTCTGTTACATAAAAGGCTTGTGCGGCTCTTTGGAGGAGCGAGGACGCGGCGGAGGGTCTCCGCACTGATTGAATGATGATCCATCTGGTGAGGCGTGTGTTGATTATAAATATCACACTCCTCTCACACTTTGACCATGTAACATTGAACGCGTCATGTAAACCGGAACTGGACTTTGACGCACTTCTTCTTTTTTTTGTTCCTGAGAGCTATTTCTGGAGCGCTGCAGCCTTCGTTTGCTTTCTTTCCGCAGGTGGGGACGCGTAGTTCCGTGGGTGCCCGCTGGGGGGCGCCACAGACCAACATGAAGGGAAATAAAGTCAATCTCCAAGAAATGTGGTTTGTGTTGTCTGCTAAGCTCTTTTTTTAATGAATAATCAATGACATCATTTTTAAACTTGCTTTTATGAACAAAAGCTGTGAACATGATTTTTTGTTGCTAAATAGTGTCACGTGATACAAAAAGGCTATTTTGTGGCCGTGCATCTTATGAGCACGAGAGCTCACTTTGATTTAATAACCAGCCTTTGTTGTTGTTTTTTGTTCCCAGTAAGACTTGTTTTTTATGGCGCCTCTGTGCCTCTCTGAACTCATGCTTGCAGATGAGTGTAACTGTGAAATCCTGCAAACTGATGACAGCGACACTTACAAACTGAGTGTTTTTCCTGCATAATCTTTGACAGATTTATGCTGTTTCCGCCTCTCTGTCTGCCCTCAGTTTGGTCACGGAACACTAATATTAACATTTTTTTTACGCTTCCAAGAGCCGTAGCCAAGAATCCACCGACCAAATACAGGAGGTAAAGTCTTTTTTATATTAAACTTTTCATTTATTTCATTTTGGGGGATCGATCCACAGACGAGGAATAAAATATTCACAACTCTGTAGAGTGGGAATGATCCCATCTGTAACGGGGGTCTGAGTGGACGATTATTCAGTTGGTTGCAATCCGGAATCTCACCAACAGATGTCGCCAAACGCGCTGTCCCCTCAAACCGAGCAGCTCTGTGAGGGAAACGCAGCTGAACACAAGCAGCTAAATGTGAACTGAACAAGTGCGGCGTCGGCATTTCCGCTTCAGTGCCGTTGAGCAGGATTACATCATCATTTACAGGAAGTTTCCTGAAAAATTAGAGCCCCATAAAATGAAGCCTGAGATGCGGATTAAAGACACAACTGTGTGTGTGTGTGTG